AAGCTTGGTCTTGGTTTTTGGTTTTTTTTCCCATCGGTTTTTAGATAGAGTGGAAAAGAGGGAGGGAAGGAAGGATGGAGGGAGAGAGAGAGAAGCATCAATGTGAGAGACACATCCCTTGGTTGTCTCCCGCACACACCCTAAACCTGCAACTCAGGGACATGCCCAGGACCAGGAGTCAAACCTGTGACCTTTCGGTGTGCAGCCGATGCTCTGACTGCTGAGCCACACTGGCCAGGGCATTCCTGTGAATTTTTCTTACTTTTCCTTTCTTGTGCTTTTTAGTAGTTTCTTTTACTTTTTAAATAATTTTAAATATCTTTTGTCATATATTTTTGGAATAATGTTTCTTATTTGTGATTTCCCTTTTGATTTTATTTGTGAGTTTGACCCACAATATCTAAATATATCCCTTACAAGTAATAAACAGGACCCATCTGAATAATGATGAAACTTCACTAGAGAAATTTAGATTCACAGACGTACAGTGCATTCCTGGATGGGAAGATTCTGTGTTTTAAAGATTTTGTTTTTTGCCTGGGCCGGTTTGGCTCAGCGGTTGAAGCATCGGTCTGCAGACCAGAGAGTCCTGGGTTTGGTTCTCACTAGGGGCATGCACCAAAAAAAAAAGATTAAAACAAAAAAACAAACAAAATATTTTGTTTTTTTAAAACTAATTTATAGTTTTGTGATTCCAATTGAAATCTTCTTGAAATTGATTAAATGCTACTATAGCTAGTTTAGGAAAAGCAAAACAAACCAAAACCAGAACAAGAGGGAGCTGTTCTCCTAGACTTTAAAACACAAAACAAAAAACATAACTAATGTACACAGAAAATAGGGTGGTGAAACATGGTAAATTTAAAAGATGAAAATAAATAAATAAAAAAAATTAATAACTATAAAATTAGGAAAATTAAAGTAGTACACGATTGTTGTCAGAATCAATTGATTATCAAAACAGACTCAGAAGCCCTGAAACAGACTCCATTTTTTTATAAGGACTCAGTCAGTGGTAAGAGAAGTGTCATATAAAGATGGAATAATTGCCCTGGCCAGTTGGCTAAGTGGTTAGAGCATTGGCCTGCAGACCAAGGAGTCGTGGGTTTGATTCAGGTCAAGGGCACGTTCCTCGGTTGCAGTTCGTCCCCAGCCATGGTTAGGGTCCTGCGGGAGGCGACTAGTGGATGTGTCTCTCTCTCTCACATTGATGTTTCTCTCCTCCCCGCCTCCCTCCCACTCCATCTGAAAATCAGTGGAACATATCCTCAGGTGAGGATTGAAAAAACAAAAATGAAAGCTGGACTAGTCAACAAAAGGCGTTGGTTACCTGGAAGAAGAGAGTTAGATTCCCTTCCAGGCCATGGGCAGAGTAGGATACTAAATGTACAGAACAAAACCTGGAAAGAGGACCCGCCTAGAGTGCGGAAGAGTGTCCCTTCCGCCCTGCGTGGGAAGCTCTGTCACACGGAGGGTGGGAGGCGGCCGTGGAGGGATTGAAATGGCCGGGCGAGGGCCCTGACCATTGTTCGTGTCTTCTCGCTCAGTGAGCTGGAGGAGGCCCTGCTCGTGCTGCCCTTCTCCTACGTGCCGGACGTCCTGCAGCTCTTCGAGCAGTTCATCCAGCGGGGCTCCGACGTGGAGGTCCTGTGCAGGTGCCTCCTCTTCCTCCTCAGGTAACTCCGTTCCCCGCCAGACCACGTCTGCCCCGCAGCTGCCCGCAGAGCCTCGTCTGCCGCTGTGGGCGCTTTGCGGGGAAGAAGTCGGTGTTCCGGTTTCAGAGACTCACAGCATTTCGTGCTGCCTGGCGTGAATTATTCCTTATCCTTCGAGATCAGCCGTGCCCTTGGGACAGTGCTGTGAGGTCACACGTCGCTGGGGATGCTTCGTCAGGCAGGTCTGCAGGCTGCAGCCGGACGTGGTGGCTCTGGTTCTGGTGTCTGCCGAGAGCCCGTCACCGGATCACTGAACGGCCAGTGGCCTCCTTTGTAACTCTGTAGTTTAAGTTAATGGGTCCATTGTGTCCTCCTAGCAGCCTTTTCGGGAACAGTGGGTTTATTTTCTAGGCCTCCACAGGTACAAATGCAAAAGAAGGACATACATAGTGGAAACTAAATTGGAAAATATGTTCATTAGATTATATCCTGAAATATGAAGAATTCTTGTTCACATGTAATTGAGAAGAATATATTTACAAAGGCTTAAGAGTGGATTCTTGTCTCCCACTCTCTGCCCCTGAGTTTAGGCTGTTAGAGAACAGGAACAGAGACAAATCGAACATTCTTTAAAACGCTGTTAGAGGACAAAATAAAAACTGGTCAGCCAAAACCATAGTTAGAAGAAAAAGTATGTTTAGTGAAGTGGGTGAATTGGCCTGTTTTCTGATTCTTAACCTTCCATTATTTTTATTCTATCCTGATATTAGCAAAAGAACAACATACTTATTTTGTTCTGGTGTCATAGTTAGAATTTGGGGCAAGTTGTGAGGACATAAATTCATACTCAGCAGTATGTCTGCAATCTCTCATTGCTGTGTCCTGTGTGCTGCTGAGGCAGGTTCGCATTCTGAGGGACACCTGAATACTCGTGTCATGGGTTCTAGGGCTTTCCAGTCTGAAGAATCAGCCTGTTCTTTAGGCGGCTCTTCCTGCCACTAAGGAGAGTTTGTTCATTTCTTGAAAGTTATCTTAATTCTTGAGCAAACAAAAGGCTGAATCCATGTCATGTTTGTGCTTCTTGGAATTGATCATTGGAACATAAAGAAATTGTAGCATTTTCCATAAACAAATTGTAGCATTTTCCATAAACATTATTTTTTTTAATCCTCATGCGAGGATATATTTTTTTCCCATTTATCTTCAGGTAGAGTGGAAGGGAGGTGGGGGGAGAGAGAAACATCAATGTGAGAGACACATTGGTTGCCTCCCACATAACCTCAACCAGGGCCAGGGACTGAATTGCAACCAAGGTACATGCCCTTGGTCTGCGGGCCGACATTCTAACCGCTGAGCCAAACTGGCCTACATAAACATTTTTGATGGTTTCCAAACCAAAATAAGTTTTAGGAGGGCGTTGTACCTGTATATGTTTTAAAAGTGCTGCCCAGCCATAGCTTTGCCATCATTTAAGGTCAGCAAATGTGGGCATTTAGGGGTGTTTCTGTGTGGTAAGTGCTGTACTAATCAAGGACAATGAGAACCTGGAACAGATGGAGTTATGTGAACAGTGAGTAACTCAGCTGTAACTTTTGGTCAAAATACTGGGAACTCCTTAACCCTAAGGGTTTGAGGTTAACCATTTAGTTACAAAGTAAATTTTAAGCCAAGCAGATTTCTAGTCATTAAATCAGCGTTAATTGGCTTAGTAGCTAGCCATAGGCTTATATAATGCTCAGTACAGGAACCATTTAATGACTGATATCTCTTGGAAATAATGTGATGTTACTTATATAATGTCATAAACCTCATGAATAGTTTATTAGGAATATTACATCTAAGCTTGTGTGTGTGTATCCATGTAAAGAAGAGATGCTTAACAATTTTGAGATTTCCTGGCTGGTAGTTAAGTTCTTGGTGTACTTGGTATGAAATTGTTTCTCAGTGGCCAATGTCATAAGTCATCTCTCATCCCAAAGAAATCCAGTGAATCTGTCAGAGTGTAGGGCAGGTCAAGCCACAGATGATGATTCTCAGGCCTTGCAGCCTCATGAAATCTGCCCTGCTGGGTTGCAGTCTTGCTTTAGACCAGTGACTCTTCTATTCCACTCAAGTCTTCCTTTTGGAATGGGAATGTCTGTGCTGTGCTTGCTCACCATTGTATTTTACAAGCGGACTACTCATTTTCTAGTTCACAAGTCCAGAGGTGGAGAAAAAACCAGCATAGGCCATACCAGAGTCTCACCCATACCTGAGCTAGATGATGAAATTTAAACATTTTGCTGATGCTATTTAGATGAGATTTTGGATATAGAGTTAATGCTGGGATGGGTAAACGCTTTTGGGAATGTTGGGATGGGGTGAATGTATTTTGGATGTGGGATAGATGTGAATCTGGGGGAGCCAGAGGATAGATTGTACTGGGTTTGTCTCCATAAAAGTCATGTCTACCAGAACCTAATTTGTAAATAGGGCCTTTACAGATGTAATCATGTCAAGATGAGGTCCTTCGGGATTAGGGTAGCCCCTAAATCCAAAGAGTAGTGTTCTTACAAGGAGAGAGATACAGGGAAGAGTGCCATTTGGGACAGAGGCAGAGATGGGAGTTGTGCAGCTATGAGCCAAGGAACTCCTAGGATGGCTGGGCAACCACAGACATCAGGACAGAGCAATAGAACAAATTCTCCCTCGGAGTCTCCAGGAGGAACTTGCCCGCACCTCGGTTTCAGACCTCTGGCCTCCTGAACTGCAGGAGAATATGTATCTGGTTTTCAGCCACCTGGTTTATGGTGCTTTGTTAGGGCAGCCCTGAGAAACTAAAGCAGGTTTCATAAAGCAGCTAATACAAGGAAACTAATACAAGATGTTACTTGCCTTTTTCTCTCATGAGCATAAAGTGGAGTTTCCTAGAGGCTGTAGGATGTGTGATATGGTGACAAATTGAATATAGAGCAGATAAAAAAAAAAAGAATTTTATTTTTCATTAAAAATGTATTTGTTAATATATTGGGTTTATTGGTTTTACATAATTTTTCCCAGTTTTAATTCTAAGTTGGTAAATGTGATAGATGTGACTCGTAAACAAAAGCTCTTTGGGATCTTCAATAACTTGAGCCTCTGTTTCCTCATCTGTAAACTGGGGAAACTAGTATCTATCTTATAGGCAGTATGAGGATTAGATGTGATACTATATACAGAGGAGTGTAGTTATTAAAAACCACCATTTTCATTCCATCAGACTAAGTGGCTCATTGGATTCTGGCTTTAAGAATAGAAAAAACATTAGGTCTAAGGCCTCAGATTTGAATGGTTGAAAATCAGATTCCCATTTAGTACTTACTGGACCTACTCTGGAGAGACTTGACGGGACAAGAAGACTCCGAGATCAGAGGAGGGAACCATAGACGTTCTCTGGTCTGTGGGCTTTGCTTTTCTTTGGGGAAAATCTTGTAGTCTTTTATCATAATTGCTGCTTGTTAAAACTGGTACAATACACGTTAAGGACTATGATTTTCATTACCAAATGATTCGTATACACAAACTCTCATCATTTCAGAATTTGAACCTCTTCTCTAGCATCATTAGCTCAACCTTAGGTACTTTCCTGTCTAATGCAAATTTTACATGCTCAGGCTTAGGGGATGAAGGATGGATATTGATCTCTTAGAATTTCCTCCGTCCCCCTAGTGTATGTTTCTCTGCCTTTAGAGGAGCCGTCAATCACCATAACTAGGCCCCAAAACCTTATCAACAAACGATTTCATGGTTTTTTGGTGCAGAGGGGAACAGATGGGCTATGAACTATCATAGTCATCGGACGTAGATAAAGATCTAATAAAACTCTTTTCCCTGTCTATCTTTAATCCATAAGCAAGGAAATAGAAACTTCGACAGCATAAGTGCTGAGTGCTGTGATGGCGGTGTGATCAGGAGCAGGGATTCAGGAACTCAGATCAGCAGCTACTAACCTTGTGAGAGGATGGAAGGGGACCTAATTTTCAGAGGGGAAAACTGGATCTTTGGTTAATTTCCTTTTATCACTAAAGAAGAACCCTGTCACCAGTGCTTGCTTGTCTGTCTGTCTGTCTGTCTGTCTCTCTCTCTCTGTCTCACACACACATCACATTCCCAGTGAGGTCTTTCCTGACCACTCCATTTTATATTTTAGTTGCTCTTATCGGGGTGACATTAGTTAATAAAATTATATATGTTTCAGGTATACAATTCTACAGTACCTCATTTGCATATTGTGTGTCATCACCTCAAGTCTGCTCCCATCCCCATTTATCCCCCCTTTACCTCTACCTCCATTTTAAATTGCAAACCTCCTTAACAGTCCCTGTACCTCCCTTTCCTGCTTTATTTTCTCTGCATTGTACTTACCACATTACAGGCCATATTTCTCTGGGTACTGTCTGTCCTCCTGCTCGAGTGCAAGCTACATAGGGCAGGGATTTGTGTCCTTTCTGTTCATTGACCAGGGCCTAGAATACTGCCTGTACTACATCTTACTGTCATTATATTTGAGAGAATAAATGAGCAAATGAATTCAACTCCACTTCTGTTGAAATCAAAGTCATCTGTCACAAGTTCCTTGAATTTTTTCTTCCTCTTAGAATGGCTGGGTTTGTAGCCACCTTCACACTCTGTGCCCAGACTGACGCTTCAGCTCTGTTCTTGATCCTTCTCTCGCTGTCTTTTGGATGTTGCTGCTTCAGTTGCTTCCTGTCATCACATTTTCGGTGTCTGTCTTCCAATCCATTCTCTTCATCCTGCACACTAAGTCCACAGCAAACTGAAGCTCTCTGTGCTCTGCTGGGGACACCACATTTTCTTGCTCTTTGTTAGTAGTACATTCTCTTCAGTCTGCACACGCAGTATTTCTGCTTTCTGAACACCAATTGTTCTTTATCTTTTGCAACTTAGTGTTTGTCCCAACCATATCTTGTGGTCCTATTTAAATCTGAAATCTCTTTGACGTCACTAGCATCTGTCAACTATGTGCGGGTTTTCCTTTAAATCCTTTCTATGGCTTCTGCGGTATTTGATGGTTTTCTGTTTGTTCTGTTTCCAGTGGCTCCACTTCTCTCTCCTGCTCCCTAGACAGACCCCAAACTTCTGTTCTTTTTTCATACCTTCATTCATCACCTCTAAGATGATGCTTAAACTGGTGTCTCCAGCTCTGACTCCAGCTGAGATCCAGTTCTGCATATCCATGATTCAGTGCCTGAGCCCTGGAGTTGAACTCTTCTGTCCTCTTCCTTCTATCAGTGGGTTCCCCTCCGATTTCACAGTTGTCCCTGCCAAATGTCTTTCATCCACATCCCTCTTCCGTGTCCACTGTTGCCACGCCATGCAGCCTTCCCACTGTTCCCTGCACATCCACTCACTCTTCTCCTTCAGCACTCCCTGCCCAGCAACACTGGATCTGTTTCCATGGAAACTTCGTGATTATGTTCCCACTGCATCAGAAATCTTCAGTCATCCACTGTGTTGCTTATTTAATAACGTTTAAGCCAAGGATTCAAAATCTTCCACAACTTGATCCCAACCAACTTTCCCACAATATTTCCTATACTCCCCAAACTTGCATCAAATTGAACTTGATAATCCTCCCAAACCCCTGGAGTTTTCCTATTGCCATGGGTTTATTCCTTCTTTCTAGTTTAAGTCTCCTTTCATAAAAAGCTTTTTCATTCTATAAGACTCAAATATTAAATAGATATATGACTATAACACAAAGTATATGATTAATGTCATTGGAATACAAAATAATAGAGGAATCAAGTGTGAAGCCTTTCTGCTACTAAATTATGTAAGTCTTTTATAATAGAGTCCAATTTTATGTATTAAAAATATTTCATATAGTACCTTGCATATAATAGGTAATATCTATATGATATCTACAGGGGAGACACCCATATGAAGTATGTATGCTAGTTCAGCGAATATCCATTCAAACTTTACAATAAGAAGGTATCTCCTGTCTCTCAACAAGATTACAAGTTTTTTTGACAAAGACTTGCTTTTAAAAAAAAAGGAATTGCGATTGTCTGATACTCCACAGACACCAATAGCATTGGCATTGATTTGGCTACAGTGACTGCACAGTTCTGTGTGGCAGGCACCTTGCTGATGAGTGAAGACTCTGCTTTTAAAAATAGAATTAATGAAGTGATGGGGTGCAGGTGTGAGGGGGTGAGAAAATAACATTTTGACCTCCTGTTCTCCTGGCCCAAATGTCATCTTGCACTGCATATGACCACTCAGACTGGACTTCAAAGGATATTCGCTTCCACAGGTAAGAACAGGACGTCATGCTCGGTTACGATCTCGATGTTGTGAGAGACGTGTGTGGATCCCGTGGCACCGTCTGCGCCCACGGCCATGGCAAATAGCTCCACTTTCAGGTCCACCTGCAAACCAGCCGCCACCTGTGCGACACAGCGGAGCTTGAGAATCAGACATATCTGAGTTCACGTTTTGGTTTTCACACCAACGTGGGCAGGCACCAACTGAAACTCTAATCTGGTTTCCTCGTCTCTAAATTTGACACGAATGACTACTCACTGTGACAGCATTTAGAAGAAGTACTTCACAGACTAGTGGCAGAATTTCATTTAGTAAATGGGCCCCAGGATCAGCTGTTGAAAAGAAAACCCGGTGCTATTTAAGAAGAGGCATGAGGGAACTAAATGCCAGGGTGCAGGAGGTGGCACCGAAGGCAACTTTTATCATGCCCACAATGTGCCAGCTCTTGAATGTCAGTAGTGAGTTCTGTCTGTCAGCACCTTGCAGATAAAGATGCATTCGATCTAAGACAAACAGATTTAGGACTGGGTGAATCTCACAGCTGCTAGTATTCCTTGTGTAGGACCTGTGACGTGGCAGAGCCAGCAGAGGGAGACAGAACGAGTTTAAATGCTGAAGGGCTTAGGTCTGAAAGCTACATGGAAGAGGTTTGTACCTACACAGAGGAAAGCTGATGCGTAACGAAGAAGAAGCAGGGAGGAGTGGGCTTCTCGCCTTGTTCCTTGAAATTAACACTATCCAGGAAACAGAGAGTTGTTTGTGTTTGTAAGCTGCCTCTCCAGGGGCGGGTTAAGAAGCAGACTTGAGAACAGTTATCTGGAAAAAATAAGTCAGAAACTACTACATGGAAAGCAATTAGATGCAAATAATTTTTTCTTCCATGTAGTTTTAGTAATAATAAATTGAAAAATGTTTCAGTTTTTTCAACAATGTGCCTGTGAATGTCGGTCCTGGAAGGGATCCAGGAGCTCTGTTTCTGAGGATCGGGCTCTCGGCCTCCAAGCCCAACAATCCGAGCGGAGCTGGGAATGAGGACTTCTGCATGAGGAGGCTGGAATGCGGCCACCACAAGGCTCACCCATGCTTTGAGCATATTCATTTAGTATTGGCAACCCACCAAGCTGAACAGTGGCCAGATTTACATATGGAGAAGTCTATAGATTATGTATTTGCCGGAGCCAAAACCTACCGTCAAAAAGAAAAAGAAAAACTGGAAAAAACTAACAGTATAGAGTGAGCTTCAAAGAATACATGCTGGGTTTTTAGTACCTATGAAAGTTGATCCAACAGTCACTTTGGCATTTGGCATAATCCCTACTTTAAATGAAAAAGATTTGCTAACTTCCCAGAATGGTGGAAGAAGAGCTTGCTTTGGTTTGGTTTTGCTTTGTGTTGTGAAGATTCTGAAATCTTGATGATGTTAAATTGCTTTGGAGAGAGACTCATGAATTAGTGGATCTAATCCCTGAAAGTAGTTCTGTTTGGAATTGCATTCTGCATACTACTGTGTCACAGACCATAACATGTTAGAGCTGGAAGAGGGCTGAGAAACGATCTGGCCTGAGCTCCGTTTACAGCTGAGGAAAACAAGGTGCACGGGTTAATTAGCTGACATCACTGAGCTGCTTGGTTGCACAGTCATGACAAGAAGCCAAGTGACTTTGCGTTAAACCAAGCACACCCTCTAAGTCAACATGTAACAACTTAGGACTCGGGACTCAGTGAGCCCTGTGTGCTGGCCTTGGGACTGGATGCCCTCGTTCAGTGCTCCCGTGAGCCTGTGCCTGTGCCCACCTGTGACCCACGGTTCAGGTACCTACCAGACGGCCTCACTTCCTTCTGTCCTCAGTCACACACCTCAAGTGCCCACCTCGTGCTCGGCTCTGGGAGCTCCTTTCACGTCCCACTCATTTTAACATCCCTGTAGCCCGCACTCTCAGGGGCCTGATGGAGGAACTCGGGTTGTTGGGTGCAGTGAAAGGAATATTAGAGCAGCAGGTGGTGCACTGACCAAGAAATGTATATGACGACTTATAAATGTGATTTTATTTTAGTTTGAAACAAACTTTCATGTCACACTAAGTTTCTGAAATATAATTTAAAGTAAGTGGCAGTATCATCAAATCATTAAACAAGTGTTGGCGAGGGTGTGGAGAAAGGGGGACCCTAGTACACTGCTGGTGGGAATGCAGACTGGTGCAGCCACTATGGAAAACAATATGGTGTTACCTCAAAAAGTTGAAAATGGAACTGCCATTTGATCCAGTGATTCCACTTCTAGGAATATACCCTAAGAAGCCTGAAACACCAATCAGAAAGAATATATGTACCCCCATGTTCATAGCAGCACTATTTACAATAGCTAAGATCTGGAAACAGCCCAAGTGTCCATCAGTAGATGAGTGGATAAAAAAGTTGTGGTACATATACACAGTGGAATACTATGCAGCTGTAAGAAAGAAAGATCTCTTATTTTTTGAGATGACATGGAGGGTCCTGGAGAGTATTATGCTAATTGAAATAAGCCAATCAGACAAATATCACATTTCACTTATTTGTGAAATGTAATGAACAGTATAAGCTGGTGAACAAAATAGTCCTGGTGACACAGAAGTAGGGTACAGACTGACAAACCTCAGAAGGGGCTGGGGTGGAGGGAGGGAAGAGATAAACCACAGAACTTATATGCATGTATGCGTAACCAATGGGCACAGACAACAATGCAGGGGGGATCAGGAGGAGGGTGTCAATGGGGTAAAAAGGAGAAACGTCTGCAACAAAAATAAGTTAATAAAAATTGAAAAATATCACAACAAACAAAAAAATAAAGTAAGTGGCAATATATAGGTTTTATACTAAGCATCCCATTTTGGGGAATGTATCAAATAAAGTCAGAACAGGTTGGCATTTTAATGTGTATTTTTGAAAGATCTTTGGAGAAATGAGGCAGCTGATGAATTTAGTATACTATTTGTTAGTTTATAAAATAATATACTTATTAATATTCTTAATATTCTCTGGCAAATACCAAGAGAACAAATCATATTTACATAAAATTATAAAGAATAGAATATTTCTTTTTACAAAGGACTTTTCACTGTGCAGAAGGATGTCTTTAGGTAATCAGCTTCCCAAGAGCATGTTAAATCATATTTAATTATTGCAAAGGTGTTTTTCATACGACTATCCAGAACGCTAGTATTGAGACAAGTGAGGTGATCTCCAGAAATGTTTCCCTAGCTGGAAGTGTAACTGTTTGCACACGGGATGTGTTGTGGTTGTGACGTGAAGTGTCATCGAGCACACGCTGCGCCAGTGCCGGGGTCCTTTGTGTGCTAGATGAGTTAGCCTTCCGCATAGTTTAGACCGAACGGGCAGAATGACTGAAGAGCCCCCTTCACTGGAAACATACCTGTACACATTCACGTGGACACACAGACACACAGTGGGTTACACACAGACTTACAGGCCCAGGTTTGTAGGTCACTTTCAGTCCTGTGCTGGGTGGCGGCTGCTTGACCTTAAACCTGTCAGGCAGAGAGGCGGGAATAAATTTATGCCATAATGAAAAACACAGTGAACGAACTGGGCTATTAGAAAATCAGGAAGGTGTTAATATTCACACCGCCAGAGCATGGGGTCTGTGCCATTAGAAAAGCAACCTAATATTCAATTGGGAGAAGACTCCGGGGCCCATTTCACAACGGCCTTTCAGCAGCGTCAGACAGACAGCCGAGTTCCAGCCCTTTGCTACGGATGCCAGCGGGCTGCGAGCAGCGGCGGGCAGAGCTGCCGATGTGCGGCTGTTGCGTGCGTTGCAGCGAGGCCGCCAGCGTGCACCCAGACGCTGGCTGCCAGACCGTCCGCTGGAGAAGAGGGCTCCTTCGGAGAGCAGTGGAGCGCGGGAGCCAGTCTTCCTCTGTTGTGGTGAGGGGTTTGCACGTTTAGGGAGAAGGGACCCAGGAGTTGGAGAACTTGAAAAGCCCTCTGCTCACAAGTGGTGCCCATTGGCCCCTTTCCCTTTTTTGTGGTGTGTGGGTTCCGCCTGAAGGTTGGAGGCCTGGAGCAGATTCAAATGCGGAGGAAGCCCACCTCCTCCTCTGTCCTCACCCTGCCCCTGCGACCATCAACTTTGTTGTCTGCCCTTTAGTGGCTAAATGTAACAGACCAAGGAGTAAAATCTCTAAAAGTCTATACTGAACAGATGGGGTTCGCACAGATGAGTTGTATTAGTTTGAGGTTGACTTTCTATTCCCACCCACTCTCTTGTTGGCAGCAACTTAATAAAACCAATAATGTCTGGTCTGGTGGGCTGGGTCCCTCTCAGGTTGTTTCTGAGGAAGCAGCAGCATTCCTGAAGTGGGGGGTTGGCCTCAACTGAAGCGGGACAGTCATCTTTGAAATCAGATGCTCCTGCAGCTAGCTTTCCTCCATGTATTTCCAAACCTGAGTCCAGAGTCACAACCATTCTTTATTTATTTTATCATTTATTTATTGGTATGTGCCCCTAGTTGCTAGGGCCTAGTGGGAACTGAACCCGGGACTCTCTGGTCCGCAGGCCAACGCTCCAACCACTGAGCCAAACCAGCCAGGGCTTCACAACCATTCTTAAAGGACTTGCCACTCACACTGAGAATAACTGCAATTGAAATAAACATTCCATTTTTATAGGGGAACCTCTTCCCCCCTTCCACGTTAGGCTTAAGTTTAAGTCAAAATGGAATAGGGCAATGTTGTCTTTGGGAGTTGTCTTAGTACAGATACGTGGTACACTGAACCAATGGGAAGGAGCCCACCCCCACAGGAATCAGTGACAGCAGCTGTGTTGGTAGTGAGCTGCCTCCGGAGCTAGTTGGTACCCAGGAGCCAGGCCTCGCCTTGCTCTCCCGCCTACGAGCCTTAATGCGAGGGACATAAGAGACGGCTCGGGCGATGGGCGCACGATGCAGTCGATGTTTTATTGAGTTTGTACCCTTGAAACCTATATGGTTTTGCAAACCTACACCACCACAATAAATCCATTTATTTAAAAAAGTGTTACTCAATTTGTTCATATGTAATGGCCTCTACAAGCTCTAAAATTCTCTTGGTCTTGCTGTGGAAACGAAGGACTGACTTCTTGTCACTGAGTGCCAGACACAGTGTGTTCTCAACGGTACAGACTGAGTTAAGATACTTGTTATCAAGTCTAAGTCAGAATTTTAGAGCCAAAATGACCCTAATGATTCAGGTTAAATTTTTTCCTTTTTGGTTCCATTATACAGAAGTAATGTAATTAAAATAATGCTTAGATCATAAAGTAAAAACATGTCAGCTGGTACCATAGTTGGTGGTAGATTTGAAAAGTAGATATTCAAATTTTATGTATTAATTATTGTTACTGGTACAGGCTTTTGTTTATTTGTTTTTTGTTTTGCTAGAGCAGATCAGGCCTGGAGTTGCTTCTACCAAAGTATAAATAATGATTAATAGGAGGGCAAAGAAGTACCTACAAATTGTTGAGGCTTGATAAATATTGATTTGTTGAAGAATGAATGAATCAGTGTCAATGAACAGAAGAATTAGCAAGTAAATGAGTGAATGAAGGATGTGGAAATCCAAGAGTCAGAATGTAATTACAGTTCAATTCAATAAACACTTGCTGATGTAGGAAGTCAAAGACAAGCCACAGAATAGGGGGAGGTGACCTGAGCAGACATTGGTGCCTCAGCCTTACCTGCAGAAATCCACTCCGACGTTCTTGAGCTTGACAGTGGTTTCGTAGGTGTGCCCTTCTTTAAGCACCCCAAACTGCACTGACGGAGGGAGAAGATGGAATCCAAAAGGGGATGAATTGGGGTGATTAATGGCAGCCGATGCAAGAGAGGATGTTTTCACTCTTCCTCCAACAGAATCTTGCACCTTTACATTAAGGAAAAAGTAATAACATGAAATAAAGTGGTTCTATTTTGAGTTCCCAAGATGAGAAAAAGGCTCTGTTTCCAGAAAAAAATAACTGCTTGTCTCAGGGAGGAAATGAATATTTACCATCTCATGTAATCTTTACACACAACACCATTGTAAGCAAGTATTTTAGGCTTTGTTTTGAGGCTAAAGAAGCTCAAGTTTAGAGAACTGAAAGACAGATCATTTGTTCAAGTGGTAAGTGGCAAAGTTTCACGCTCAAGTCAGCCTGAAACTGAAGTCTGAGCTCTTTCCTCTGTGCCAGTGATGATCAAACCTCGGCTCCATCAGAACCACCTGAAGGACTTGCCAAGACTCGCATGGTTGACTCCATCCTCCGAGTTCCTCTGTCAGTAAATCTGGGATGGGATCCATGAATCTGCATTTATAACAAGGTTTCAGGGGTTGCCGGTGCTGCCGGTTCAGGCGATCGGGAACCACTGCCCTGTGCCCTTGGTATTCCTCGGATCCGCAGCCCTGACTTTCCTGGGACTTTGTCAGAACTGCTGAATCTCAGCCTCCCAAACCAGACCCAGTGAGTCAGAATCTGTATTTTAACAAGATCTGTGGGTAACCTGTGTGCACACTGAAGTTCGAGAAGCACCCCTAGCGCACGTCAGTATATATGTTGCAACACATTCTGTGATGGCAGTGGGCTTGGGGCCAGGAAAGTATCAACGGGTAACATCAAAAGGTGTCTGGTGGGCTCCAGAAGGCTTCCCAGCAGAGCTGAGGTGGGATCTGAATCTTTGAGGCTCTGAGGAGGGAAGGAGCTGATGCTGTTAAAGAACTAAGAACTAAAGAACTAAAACCCCACAGTGGCTGAAGTACAGTGAGTTTGGGTGAGCCAGGAAGCAAATGGGGCTGTGCTTGTGGTCATGCTAAGGCATCTGGATTGTGTCCTAAGAGTCGTGAGAGGGGTGGCCGATGACCCTCCGCCAGCAGTGTGCATGTAAAACCAGCTCTCTGCAAAGAACCTCATCAACAGCTTTTGTCGATTTCTGTGGTGTGAGAACTCCCAGCCGAGCCGGGCTGATCTCCAGCTACCGATGGTTTAATGGCTGGCTCATGAAGTTCCTCCAGTGAGCCTGTGAGCTGGCTCAGCAGAGCCCTGACTCCGTTCCTCCCTGTGACCTGGAGGCCTTCGTGGTGAGCTGGTACGTACAGTGAACAGCAGCACCCAGTGGCTGGCCATCGTAACTCCAAGCCAGGTTGACATGAAATGCTGCTTGGCTCTGGGACTTGGTCGCCATGTCTGGTTTACCTGTGTGAGAGGTAGAGACTGGGGCTTGGTACTCAGCAGGTAGTGAGGCAACTTCACTTTCTCCTTCCTCGCTTGCCCTGCGACATCCTGCAGCAGCGACTGGGTTGGGATCTTCACGGACATGCACGACTCTGGCTCTGCTGGAGAGAGAGCTGAAATGACCACATGGACACTTATTCAAAGACATTCAGGGTCAGCCCAGGGTATAAAGTACATTAACTTGGGAAACTTCTTTCCCTTTTCAAGAGCTTAAAGGAACAAAAAGGCTTTGTTAATTCTGATGTTGTTTCTGTACATTTTACAAAGAGATTTTACCAATGTTGGTCCTCACACCAACTCGATGAGATGGGCAGGGCAGATCGCCTTTTATAAATAAATGATTCTAAGAAGCTGAGTGACTTGCTTCGATGCACTGAATTTATACGGAGATCTGCAGGGCTCTTTCCACTGACTCAACGAGGTGCAATACAATCAAACACCGATTCTGAAAGATTTCTTCAAACTAATGAGGGTAAAATCTTGAAAACTTCTTTGGTTCAAGTACTATATTTATAGTTCTAAAAAGTGTTAATAATTATAGGTAAGTCGAGCCAGGGAATTAAGTCCTCAGATCATTAAATTTGGTGAGGAGAACGAAATACAGGGAGTGGCAGCAATGTCTATTTCTCCAGATATCCAGGTGATTGAAAAAGAATTGTGTTTTAGATCATCATATTTAAAAATACTTTTTCTCGCTCAAAATTCATCAGGACAGGAAAGGGGCCGATATTTGAGTGTCCACTTGTCTGCAGGCAAGCACCACAGGCGTATTTTACAAACAGCATCTCACTTATTAAACCCTCTGAGCTGAGGCTCGTGGTAGCGATAGACTGTGTGTGCTCAGCTCTGTCCCCATCGCCCCTCCACACCGACTCCCTACCACATACATTTCCGGGGCCACGACAGCCCTGCACCCAGCCGTGAGGACAGTACATGAGCCAGGCAAAGCCAACACGGGCCCTTCACCGGAATATTCCCACCGAAGCTGACGGATAAGGCCATCTTGCCAACTGGGTTATGGGATCAGAACCTTGGACCTTCATCGTCATGGGCATGGCCTGCCCTTTGTAGAAGAGGATAAAACCGAGCCGGACGAGTAGGGACAGGGCAAAATGGAGGCAGGGAGGATGCCCAGGGAGACGGGCAATCACACATTCCTGCAGAGCTGGGTGCCCGCCCCCGTCGTCCCTGGGCCGGCACCATCTCCACCTTCTGTGGTTTAGTTTTAGCACCAAACAAACCCTGCCCACTTGGTGGTGGTTCACTGAGTTTGAGTTTCAGTCCTCTCAGTTACCAACCAAAGAGACCTGACTAATAAAACAAGCATCTCTTTTACAGATGAGGAAAGTAAAGTAAATAACTTGTCCAAGACACTGAAGAACTGTCAGGGCTGGAATATACACCTAAGGGTGTCAGACTCCACAAGGAACATGCTCCTTTTACTGGTTGAGAGAGGGGGGAACATATATATTGGTCTCTGCTCACCATTCATGGGACAGAGCACCTAGGACCCTTGTGATGTCCTAAGTGGTGGGAGCCTGGCATCATCTTTTGTTCCAATGTTTGTTCTTTGACCCAGGGTCCTGACACAGGGCTCCTGGCTTCTAAATCCCTTGGAATTTCCTGGGTGACAGGAGTGTCTTGGTCTAATGAGGTGGCCGTAGCTGGGTTCCTGGACAGCTTCAAGATGGGGGCCGTTCACCAGAAAGACCAAGCCACGATCAGAAGCTTGGAACGGTCAGCTCCACCCCACCCTCTGAGTTAACGAAGTCATGTCTGATGAAGCCTCCATAAAAATCCTGCCGTGCAAGGTTTGGAGAGCTTTTGGGTTGGTGATAATCTCCGTGCAGAGAGGGCGGACACCCGGCTCCACGGGGACAGAGGCTCCTGTGCTGGGCCCTTCCGGGCTCACCTGTGTACCTCTTCATCTTCACCTGGGCCCTTCATAATACATGAGTTAACAATGTACGAGTTCTGTGAGCTTTTCTAAAAATTATCGGACTAGAAGGGGGATGGGAACCCCAATGTATAGCTGGTCAGTCAGAAGCACAGTGACAACCTGGACTTGTGATTGGCATCTGCAGTGAGGGGACAGCCTTAGGAGACAGGCCTTAACCTGTAGGGTCAGTGCTGACGCTGGTTGGTGTCGGAGTTGATCTGAACTGGGGGCATCTGGCTGGCGCCGCACAGTACCTCGGTATGAGGAAAAATCCACACACGGCTGGCCACAAACGTGTTCTGTAGCAGTAACGGGTTTTCCTACACAACTCCCCACGGTGTCCCAAATCCACCTGCATCGTAATCTGGGCTGATTCGGGAAAAAGAGAGATTCCCAGGCCACATGCCATACAAGCTGATTCCAGACCGAACAGAGTCAGAATCTCTGGGGATGGAGCTCGGTGAGCAGTGTTGAGTGGCGACCCTGTGACCGAGCGATGCCCGCAGTGTCCCGTCCTCACCGTCCTGCTCGCTCCTGTAGACTCAGGCCTCGGCTTCTCGTTTCAAGTCAACACTTCCTCTTCTCGTGCTGCTTTCTATTTCACTAGTCTAATGGGTGCTAATTAATTGCACGTACTGTTAACAGTAAATGCTGACACAGAATTCGTCGTGTGCCAGGCACTGCTCTGAGCATTTTACAGGAACGAATCGAACCCTCACGGCCCTGTGATGTGTATTTCGTTACGACTCCCCTTTACGGAGGGGTTCTCCAGTGTGCCCATGTTCTTAGTGGTTCTGTTAGGAGCCAGGGAGAGGCTGCCTCTTGGTGAGCTCTGAGCCCCGCTGTTACCCCACAAAGCCTGCCCAGGGTTTGGGCAGGAACTGGAGTTGGAGGAGGGAGCACCTGACGGGCTTGGAGCAGAGAATGGTCACCAGCTGACACAGTGGCCATGTGAGCAGCTAGGACGGTCCCACCAGTGGTGTCACCTGCTATGACCTGGGCCACCTGAAGAGCCTGTGATGGCGCCCTGTCAGTGCTCAGGCAGACTGTCGCATGTCCTCTCAGTACTTGTTTCGAGTCCTCTCAGGACTTCACGTTCCCTGCCGGTGGACACATCTCCTCCCGCCGACTCGGCTGGCCACAGGCTGTGCTGGGACCGGGGAGGTGGTGAGCAGCAGCACGGGGTCCGCTCCTCTCCAGCTCTGAGCCTCTGCCAGCCGGTGGCAGCGCCTTCCGGGCACCCAGACCACACCTGACCTCACCTGCAGCCGGCGGCTGCTGGCAGAAGTTTAGCCACGGCCTCTCAGGAGAAAACTTGCCGCGTTTGCACATGTCGCAGACTTGCTGATTTCTCCCACGGCTGCCTCAAGCCCTCAACCTGGGGTCACAGTGTGGAGCTGGGCCGAGATGAGCGCAGACACATCCTGGACCTCGTTCTGACCCCAGCGTGTCCTGGCAAGTATGTTTTTATTTTACAAAATCCAAACCTTCTCCAGCTGACTCTATTGTTTTCTAAACATTGTCTCGTGCTGTTGCTAAATACGAACATTCTTGATCTACTTACGCTGGTTTCCTGTTCATTCATTTCTACCTTCAGGCTTTTGAACACATTTTTTTCTCAGTAAAAGGAGGGTTGTCCGAGGCGATCCAGTCTCGTGTCTTAAAATCTATGAAATTCTACTTGTTCTTCAAGACCACCTCTCTCCTACAGCTATCCCCACTGCTTGCATTCCTCTCTTTTTACTCTGAACTTCTTAAAACATTGCTGTTTGTGTGAAAATCAGTTTGCTTCTTATAGTGGAGTCACATTACTGGGTCTTGTCTCAAGTATCTCAGAGTCCAGGGGAGCAGTCGGTGACCTTCTTGCAAACTGGTCTGTTTCCTCCTTCAAAAACTCCCTTTCCCTGGCCGCTCGTGCCTCCAAGTTGTCACTCATCCCCTTGACTCACTGGAGACCCTGACTCCTTGGATGGCCTTCCACTCCCTCTCTGTTGGGGACATCACCCTGCCCTCTCTGATTCTCAATCATCCTGTTTCTTCATCTTTTCCTCTCTGCCTCAGAAACTCCAAGGTCGTACCTTTGACCTTGCCAACACCAATCATCTTACCACCTTCAAACTCTCGTTTCAACCTTCCCTCCAGATCACTACCTCCTATTCCTCTAGCTTATTAATTTATCATATTTAACAAGCCACTGTTGCCTTGGCTGGTTTGGTTCAGTGGTTAGAGCGTCGGCCCATGGACCAGAGAGTCCCGGGTTCGGTTCCCGCTAAGGGCACGTACCCCGGCCCCAGGTTTGGGTCGTGTGGGTGGCAGCCAGTCAATGTGTCTCTCTCACATCGATTATTCTCTCTCTCTTCCTTCCTCTCTATCTGAAGATAAATGCAAAAATGTCATCAAGTGAGGATAAAAAAATAAATAAAATGAAACACATGCCAAGGAAACCTGTAATACCCTTAAAAAATATATGTGTGTGTATATATATAAAATAAACAAGCCATTGTTTGACCTCACTGAGACCTCTAATGAAATGACCCTCATCTTAAACCATCGGTCATGTCCTCTTGCCTTGCTTTCCTGTCTCTCTGGAATGGATGATCTGTTCTGTCATTATATTCATTCCTTGGTGACCGGACTCACTCATCTTCCCAAACCCAACATACTAAGCGACCTGCCAACGTATCCATGCAGTGCTAAGAAGCCTTTCTAAGTTCCATAGCTCCAGACCCATGACACTCCAGGTTGTTTCTATAACCACCAACCACACCGTCAGCACCCAGTACCATCTCCCATACTCCAGAAAGGCATACTGTTCAGTTTTGAGAGACAATGAGATAAAACAAATGACTGCCATACCTGCGGAAGACTTTGTTACATTTTCAGTTTGCTTCTGGATAGCGGACTCCTTGATATTCACAAAACCCTCAAATTTTGGAAGATAAGATGTATCTGAGGAGTCCTGTCTTAAAACTTCTTTTGGCTGGGGATCTAGAAAACCCAAAACAAACATTATAGTGTGATATTCCAGACAATGGCACAGTGACACTAATGTTTGTGTTCTTCACCAAGAACAAGGTGCTCCCCTACCCCCCTTGAGAAAGACTAAGTAGAGGACAGCTGTCACGGGGCAGCGATGCTTCGTGTGACGCCACGTCCACCATGACCAAATGGGACAGTACCCGCAGGGATCGCAGTCCCTGGGACCTAGCTGGTTCTTTCTGGGCCTCATGATGACACAGCAGTAGTTACATTGATGGGTTATGAAGCAGAAGCCAAGTAATCTGGCCTACTTTTATCTGCAAGAGTAACTGAAATGTGATTTTTTTTTTAAATCCTTCCAATCTTAAATGTATTCATTACTGTGAACATGTAATCCTTTTTTTTAAATCCTTACCTGAAGGTATGTTTTTTATTGATTTGAGGGAGGGAGGGAGGGGAAGAAAGAAAGAGAGGGAAAAATTGGGGATCGAACTGGGATCGAACCCACAACCTAGGTATGTGCCCTGACCTTTTGGTGCATGGGACAATGCTCCAACCACTGAACCACTCGGTCAGGGCTGGACATGTAATTTTTTTTTTTTTCTTTTTTTTTATCCTCACCCGAGGATATTTTTCTATTTTTTGTACAGATAGAGTGGGAGAGAGAGAGAGAAAGGGAGAGAGAGAGAGAAACATCGACGTGAAGAGACACATCGAGTGGCTGCCACCCGCACGACCAACTAGGGCCGGGGACAAACTTGCAACCGAAGTACATGCCCTTAGCGGGAACCGAACCCGGGTCTCTCCGGACCGCAGGCCGACGCTCTAACCGCTGAGCCAAACTGGCCAGGGCGACATGTAATTTTTTTAGTTCAAATGCCTCTGTAAGGAATCACTGCGATGTGAAACACATTTAAATGAACATATCAAGGACCACCTTGTGTCTCTTATAATATAGAAGAATTTTTTTCTGAAGAGTCCAGGCCTGTTGTCTTAAGAAAATGGTCTCCATTCTGGATTTGTTTGTTTCCTGTTGATTACATTCAGGTTAAAGCTCCTTGGCAAGCATTCTCCTTTGTACACCTTGTATACTCCACTTCATACTGCATTGTATGAGAAAGCACCTGACCTAGGTTGTCTCTCAATTGGCAGAAATGTGATCACTAAAGTGGAAAATGCCATTTCTCTCCATTGTAAAAGGACACTGTCCCCCTTATAATTAGTAGGTAATATGTGAGGTGATGTTTGAGACCTGTGATTAACCTCTTCTCCAACAACCTCTCATTTCTCCCTTGTGTTTAAAATTAGCCAGGTCTTCTTAATGCTTTTAGGCAAACTTTAAGCAGATAGGATGACAACTAAATCTTGGTTACACCTGGGCTTCCCCGTATGCATCACAAGACTAACGTACTGGTCACAGCAGGCTGTGCCGCTCGCTGTAGCTAACACAAGGTGGTAGGAACGAGTCACGAGAGGCCACTGCTGGGCGTGGTTCGCTCATGCGCATCAGCAGGAACAGGAGCTACGTGAACACATTACCTGGGTGAAGAGCACCTGTGTTTTTTCCAGCTGTGTGGCTCGCAGCTTCACTTTTCTTTGTAAAAGGATGTAAGTTGTTGGAAAGGGTGTCCCGACGAGGAAAAAACAAAAGAATTATGTTAGACGTACACACGGCTGAAAGACAAGTGCCACGAGCATGTTAAATTGATGAGCATGCCCTGGCCGGTTTGGCTCAGCGATTAGAGTGTCGGCCTGCGGTCCAGAGAGACCCGGGTTCGGTTCCCGCTAAGGACAGTACCTCGGTTGCAGTTTGTCCCCGGCCCTGGTTGGGTCATGCGGGTGGCAGCCACTCAGTGTGTCCCTTTCACATCGATGTTTCTATCTCTCTCTCTGTCTCTCTCCTCCTCCCACTCTATCTGAACAAAATATAGAAAAGTGTCTTCGGGTAAGGATAAAAAAAAAAAATTGATGAGCAACAATCAAAGTCTCTTTTGTTAAGGTCCTGGAAATAACGCTGTGCAAACTAAAAGTTTCTCAAAAGACTTATTAACTCAATTCTAGCTTTTGTTAATTAGTTTCCTATCATTTCTTCTCAGGCAACCTCTGGTTAATAGTAGCATCTGGGCCCAGCTGGTGTGGCTCAGTGATTGAACATCGTCCCATGTACCAGGAGGTCAGGGCTCCATTCCCAGTCAGGGCACATGCCTGGGCTTGGGCTCCATCCCCAGTAGGGGGCGTGCAGGAGGCAGCCAACTGATGTGTCACTCTCATTGATGTTTCTCTCTCTCCCTCTCTCTGAAATCAATAAAAACATATTTTAAAAAATAATAGCATGTCGGTTTTCATAGAAACACGGGGAGTTCTGAACACATGAAAATATTCACTTTGCCTCAGAGTTTCAACGCTTCACAGAGGAGAGCATGCTCTGCCTCCACGGGCCCCTGAGAATGTAACAGCTGGTGCCCTCTCTGCAGCTGTGGGCAAATAATTTTAATGGGATAAAAACTTTAATGGAATAAAAATGGGACTTATCAGAGGATTCTCATCAATGGGGAGAATGTGACACAAAAAGGGCTCAGATAGATGGGATAAGGCAATGAATGGTGATAATGCAGGACGGGCAGGTGGAGGGGTAGAGAATGTCTACTTAGTAGAGAATGTCTACTTAGCCTTCTCTCACATGGGCCTGTGAGGATGTGTATTTGAAGGGTGTGGGTTAGTCAGTGGGTTTGCTGCAGGAAAAAAACATCAGGAAAGGTACTTTACATAGTAACATAAGCACCATATCAACTTTTAAAAAGACTGTTACTCGATTGTTGTTAATTGCATTCAATTACCTGAGATTGATGTGTCTTGTTCAATTTAGACTTGAAGTAGGGTGATATTATTTTGTTCCTAATTTTCATTAAATAATAGTTTGTGCGGTCAATTTCCCTCCTGGTGGATAGTTCCATAATTATGCAAAAGAAGACATAAAATATTTCAAAATGTTATTTGCTTGTGTTTTAGCTCTAAATCCCACAGAAAATGGGATCACTAACAGTAAAACTGGTAAGAATGAACTCATCAGACATTTTCTTGTCAATTTGTTTTGGTCTCTTTTCTGCTGCTTCTAGAATCAGTGATTTTTCCTACCTAATTTCCTTAGAAATTAGACTTTCATATAGGATAGAAAACAATTATGCCAGGTGGTAGTTTGGTTTTACAGTTGATCTCAAGAGACTAGAAACCACATGGTTTAAAAGCCAGCTAGATTCTACTTATTTGCATAATTTCAGTGGCAGTGGCAGCAAAAACAGAAACTTGAATAAAGGTTTATGAATAATGTGATCAGTGCTTACAAAATGGAATAATCCTGCTAGGTGTCTTTCCAATGTCGGAACCCCACATTGGGGAGGCAATGTACCAGCTGAAAACTACACTTCCCAGCCTCTGCATGTAGAGAGAGGTAAACTAAAGTCACTGAGTGGACTCCCGGTAGCTTCTGAAGAGGGCTAACTCAGCTGGAGGCTCTCCCTTTGTCCTGTCTCATCGCTCTTCCTGCCTCCTGAGATGTGGATGGAATAAATGGCTGCAGCTGCCGCAGTCATTCTGCAACCAGGAAGTAACCTGGAGGATGGGAATCATGTGCTAAAACGATGGAACAGATTTAAAAAAAAAAAAAGGAATCTGATGATGTGGCGCTGTCTACTTCTTTCTTATAAAAGCACTGGTTTGGGGGTTGTCTGTTAAATGTAGCTGTACCTAATCCTATCTGAAATCGTTTTCAATCTCAAGTGCTATTGCATGCCAGACACTTTGCAAAGTACTTTACATTTAATCTTACAATTATTCTGAGTTACCTTTTTTTTAATCTTTATTGTTGGAAGTATTATAGATGCCCCCCCCCATTGATCCCCTCCTCCCTGTTCCCCTCCCTCGAGTTACTATTATTATTCCCATTGTATTGGTGAAAAAATGAAGGTCTAGAGGAGTTATGTAACCTACCCTAAATCACTAAGTGGTAAGAAGTGAAGTCTGAATTAAAACCCAGGTCGCCTGCCTCCGAGCCCATCATCTTGATAAGTACACAGGCTGGTCAGCAATCAGTCCCCCACTGTACGAGCTGACCTTGGATATTAGGTGGTTCGATCCTTTTATAGATAAGCAAACTGAATTCCTGAAGTACATTTTACTGAAACAGAACAACCAGCCAGCACCACACAGCCTGTAAGGAATCGGATTGGAATAGGCCCCACGTCTGCTGCTCTAAGAACAGTGCTCCCTACACTGGATGGCCTCTCCAGAAATGCTGGCGGAATCGAAATACCATCTTATTTAAACTACTTGAATTTCTCATGAGAGTGCCTTATCTCTCTCGCCTCACCAGATTCGTCCATCAATGTATGGCAGTCCGCCTGTTGCCTGTCACTCTCTTAAAACTGTTCTCACAAAAGAAATCAATAAATCTTCCAACTGATAACTCTGAATTCCTCTTTTCATTCTCCTTCCTGACTCCCCCCAGCCCGACGCTAGGCGCTCACCCCCTGCTGCCTGGACACTGCCCTCCCTCCCTGGTCCCCAGTCCACTCTCATGCTGCCCACACCTGTCTTTCGTCAACACACATCTAGTTATGTGTTTCACATTCTTTTGAAAACCTTTCATTGGCTTGCTATTATTTATCTCTTGGTTACAACTGGAAATTTTAGTGTTTCGAACTTCTAAAAGATGTAAACGGATAACACATGTACATGTACACAATTCAAAAAGTGTGGAAGAGTATGTGATAAAAGTCTCCGTCTCGCATTGTCCCTGACACTCAAAGCCTCCTCCCCCACAGGCAGTCACTGTCACCAGTCCCTTGGAAATCCTCTCAGGGACATTCTTTCAGAAAACTGTATATACCTTACAGTTTGACCTTGTCTGTAGGGTGGGCCATGAGACCTAAGGTCTTATCTCCCCACTTCCCCAACACGTTCCACAAGGTAACCCAGACATTTGTATTGAGAAATATATTCACCCTGGGAGTCACTCTGGAGGGGAGCCATGTGAATGTGTACAGTAGTGCCGTATATATTACTGTATACTCAGTAAATTATCTGGCTTCCTCTGGGTACGGCCAGAGAGGTGGGGTTGGAACTGTCAGCCAGGACTAAAAGGAAACCGGAGCACGTAATGCTTCCAGCACATTCCTCATGGGAGTTACATGAATCTTTGAATGTTTATGACTATGCTCTACATTAAGTTCTAGATTATTTATCAGTAATTAAAATTACCAGAACACAGAGAGCTTTGTTATGAGAGGGAGAGGATCTAACTAATGGTCAAATGGGCACCCCCAAGAGATAAGGACATTGTCACACAGAGCCTGAATGACCACTTGACAGAAGAGACCCGGGGAACAGCAGGGAGCCTGGGTGGTGGGCCCTCCCAGCCCCTCCCACGCTAAGATCTGTGACCACAGAACGGGGCTTGTGCATGTGCTTGCGTGCACTCCAGGGGAGAAGTACCTCTTCTGAGCTATCTTTTCCTTCCAGCGCCGCACCGTCGCGATGTGCCTGTGTGGAAGGGGAGAGGGGTACGGTGAGTCCTGGCACTTCGCTGACTTTCCACACAGTAGCTCTTTCTCTCTTACCATAATTGGCCCATCTTAGGTCACTCAGTCCCCCACAAGGGAGCCTCATCGGCACCACAGGCCCGCCCAGATAACCTGGCTGCCTCTGGTTAAGTCCATGGGATACTCTACCTGCCTAAAAGCAAATTTCTCCTTTTTTCTAAAACATGCCCCCTTCCCAGCTGCCCTATTTTTGAAGTCATAACATAGGGCCTCACTGTCATTTTTCCTCCTGGTGTCCCAGGCATGCCTTCCATGACAGTTCTCCCAACCCGTCATGGCCTCTCCACGTGTCGACTTGTTTAGTGGCTGTGCCCGGTGCTACCCTACAAGCTCCACGGCAGCACTGGCCAAGTGATGCTCCATACCACTCTACGTCCAGCTCTCAGCATGAAGCTCTCCCACGTGCGCACGCCTCAGTGTTCATTTGGATCAGTGAGGAATCAACAAGTGCACGTGCTTGCTGATAAAGGGGGGCAACGCTCTCAGCCGACAAACAGTAACAGGAAAGCCACCCCTGTATGATAAATTCACAGCATGGCAGATGGAAGCCTGAGTACTCCTGGGTGCGGTCCCCCACAGTTACGACACCCACATCGCTCCCTTCTGCAACCAGGGTGTGCTAACTGGAGCCCGTGACTGGATTAGCTTACTTCCACCTCTTTTCCGAGAGGTCCGTGTCCAGTGTTTCCGGCAGACGTTCCGGAGGAGTGGCCAAAGACTGCTGGTACAGATCGATTAGGTGGGCTGCAACTTTCAAAACAGATGCATTTAACTTTACGACACCACAAGGAATCCCAGAGACTCATTTGCAGTCCTTTCTAAGAGCCTATCTTTAATCCATCAAGTGTTGACTAGAGTTTCCACCATCAATTTGTAATACAACAGTAAACGTTTATGCAGCAGCCCGCTAGAGGACGAAGTGGGAAATAGAGCGACACATTGTTAGGAGAATCAGTGTCTGCCTAACTGAACATCTTTGTATCTGAAGCACCAAAATTGAAAACAATTACTCATTAGCCCGGCCGGTGTGGCTCAGTGGTGGAACATTGACACATGCGCCAAGTGGTTGCTGGTTGATTCCCTGGGCCCGATCCCCAGTGGGGGGCATGCAGGAGGCGGCCAATCAATGTTCTCTCTCATTGATGTTTCTATCTCTCTGTCTCCCTTCCTCTCTCTCAAAAATCAATAAAGAAAATAAAACTTAAAAAAATAAAAATAAAACAATTACTCATTTTATTGAAGTTTTTGTTTTTGTTTTTTCCCCCAAAAAAACACAAGGATCTAAATCTAAGGATATGAATGTAATGCAATGGTTTTTTTTTATAATTTGGGAAGTGAGTCTCAGAGTTTATTCCACAGATCATGGTCTTGGTGGGATGCTAATATTAAAAAAAGAAACAAGCACCCTAGCCAGTTTGGGTGAGTGGTTAGAGCATCGGCCCATGGACCAAGGATTTGTGGGTTTGATTCTGGTCAAGGGCACGTACCTTGGTTGCGGTTCCCCCCGGCTCTGGTCATCCCCGGCCCTGGTCAGGGTCGTGTGGCAGGCAATAAGTTGATGTGTCTCTCTCACATCAATGTTTCTCTCCCCCTCTCTATCTGAAGATAAATGGAAAAATATCCTGGGGTGAGGGTTAAAGTAAAAAAAAGAAAAACACAAGGTTTCATGGTTAGATGGGCTTGGGAAACACGGCTCACACAAGATGAACTGCTTCATTGCCGTGGGATCTCCGCATCGTCCTGGGCTACGTGCCTGAGGCTCGCGGAGATCCCGAGGTGGTCCGAGGCCAGTGTTTGAGGACACACTGTGGGAGCCTGGGCAGGATCACCACTGCAGTGTGTCAGCGCAGCGGCACCTGTGCAGACCCTGCCTGGCTCCTGCATCTAGTTGTCAGTTTGTATGTTTGAAACATATTTTTAATTTGTCCTTCACTGTAGGACAACCTACCCATTTACCTCTCTGGTGACTCTTCCCTCAAGCCAGAGGTTAGAAATTCAAATGCCACAAGGGGGGAGGGAGGACTACTACACAAAGTACAGGGTATCTAATTAAGTTTGAATCTCAGATAAACAACTAATACTTACACTAAAATTTATTTTTTGTTTATCTGAAATTTGAATGTAACTGGGCCTTCTCTGTTTTTATTTGCTAAATCTGGCCACCTTGATAGAAGGGCAGCCCAGGTAAGTGACAACAGAGGGCACGGACAGGGAGACACTGGGGTTGTGATGGAGTCTTCTGTTCATGGTCATTCTAAAGGGGTCAAGTGACATTTCAAGAGAAGAAAAATTCAGATAAACAAGAACAACTGTGCAAGGCAACACTATCGGGACACACGGAGCACGTCTGTGGGTGGAATGAAGTCCATGGCTGACCTTTGACTTTAAAAAAAACCTTTTTTTTCCTTTATTGATTTTCGGAGAGAAAGGAAGGGAGAGAGAGAGAGAGATAGAAACATTGATGAGAGAGAACACCGATTGGCCGCCTCCTGCATGCCCCCTGCTGGGGATCAGGCCCACAGCCTGGGCATGTGCCCTGACAGGGAATCGAACCGGCGACTTCTTGGTGCGTGGGTCAATGCTCAACCACTGAGCCACACAAGCCAGGCTGACCTTTGTCTTGAGGCAAAAACAAAAAGGAAACCCCAAATCATCAAGTTTTCTGTGGCTTGTCTCCCATGAACCGTGAAACTGTGCAACCAATTTTGTTGGAGCCGTATATATTCCAAAATAAACATGCTTTGAATGAGGCTATTTTCCAAGAGTGGACAGAGTGTGAAACAGGGCACGGTTCTGGTGATAACTGTGCCTTCACTCAGTTCCCTGTGTGTACGTGTGGGGCAGGGTGCGCGCAGGTGGATGGTCTCCTTCCTGTGTCTCAGCTATGTTCTCAATGCTTGTCAAGGTTGTTAGCATGGAAGCCGAATGCTAACTCTTTTTCTTAGTTCAAAAGATGAAAGTTGAGAACAAGTGGAAGATGGCGGCATAGGTAAACGCAGTATCGCAGTACCCAACCACGTCAAAATTACAACAAAACTACAGAACAGCCATCATTCAGAACCACCTGAAATCAAGCTGAATGGAAGTCCTACAACTACGGGATTAAAGCAGCAGCCACATGGAGACTGGTAGGAGGGGCGGGGCCAGGGGCGGGGCCGGGGGCAGACGGGCTGGTCCCACACCCATGTGTGGTGGATAAAAATCAGGAGGGACACCTCGACTGGGAAGGTCCTCCCTGAGGACTGAGGGGTCCCCGTCCCACCCCTGGCACCCCGCTCAGGGTCCCAGTGCCAGGGAGAAATGTCCCCATAACTTCTGGCTGTAAAACCAGCAGGAACTGAGGCTCAGGGAGGCTGCGGCTGCGGAAGCCCCAGCAGTTCCTCTTAAAGGCCCCACGCACAGACTTACTCAGACCCGCTCCCTCTGAGCTCTGAGGGGAGGCAGCTTGAGGGCCACCAGAGAACAGGGAAGAACTGAGCTGTGTTTGGCCTCTGGACAAGGGCTGGAGGGGCAGCTTTCTCCTAGACAGACGGGCTGTCAGAGGCCGTTTTTCCTTTGGTGAGCCCTTTCCTGGGGCGGCAGACAGACACCATATCTGGGGCTCCAGCAACCGGGCTCACACTGTTGGCCCTGCCCTGGTGATTCCCTGAGGCCCCGCCCCACCCAACTTTCGGGCCCACCCACGCTGTTTCCAAAGGCTTTACCATAGGATTGGCCTGTCTTGGATCCTGCATCAGAGTTTACTAAAATCTCTCAAACAAGCAGCATCTGGTACCTGAGCCCACCAGTGCACCTGGCACCACTGGGACAGTGGACACCCTGTGTCAGCACAGACCAGTGCACAGTCATAGAGTGTCAAGGTGCTGACTGCAGAAACCGCAAATGGCTGGGAGCCCAGCACCATCCCCTGCAGTAGCAGCCCGATCAGAGTTGAGATATACCCTCAGCAACAGAAGCTGGGGAACAGACATCCATCCCCAGGCAACAGAAGCACAGACCAGCAGCAGAGAACTATCCCCCCCCCCCAAAAAAAAATACAGTAAAGGCTGAGCAGGAGCTGAGCCCCACTGCTGGTGGCTGGGACCAGGTGCTCCATAGGGCCCTGTGCGACCCAGCAGCCCACAAGAATGGTAGGAAGCCGGGACTCGAGAGAAACCAGTCTCAGCGAGCCCATACCTCTCATTAAGTGGCCCCAGGCCTGGCACTAGAAGCAGCCAGCCTTGGTTCGCAACTTGACTTTTCCTGGACACCTCCAAGCCCAGCACAAGAAACAGTCATCTGCAGATCACTTTGTAGCTTATGCCTGGTGGCCCTGGGTAGAACACAGGCAGTGGCTGACCTGGCCCAGAGCCAGCACACCTGGTGGGTACCAGAGCCCTGCTGAAGTAAGTCTTGCTCTGTGTGGTGGGCCCCTACACAGCTGATCCTCCAGGGTAGTGGCTAGTGGGCACAGCCAGTCCTTGCAGCTGACCAGCCTGAGTAAATCCCTTCCATTGATGTGCCAACAGCAATCAAGTCTCAATTACAAGGAAGTGTGTATAGTCCACACTAGGGGTGCACCACGAGGGCTCAGCTGGGGTGATCAGGGAGACTGTGCCACTGGATTCTACAGGATACTTACAACAGTAGGCCACCCTATGAACCCTAGGAGGCATAGCAACTCTGCCTAATACATAGAAACAATCACAGGGAAGCAGCCAAAATAAGGAGACAAAGAAACGTGTCCCAAATGAAAACAAGAACACAACTCCAGGAAAAGAACTAAACAAAATGGATATAAGCAACCTAACAGACACAGAGTTCAGAACACAGGTTATAAGGTTGCTCAGGGAACTTGGTGAGACATACAAGGGACTTAGTGAGACCTTCAAGGAACTTAAGGAGACCTCTGAGGAACTTAGTGAGAATATCAACAACATAAAAAAGGGCCAGTCAGAAATTGAGGATGCACTAACTGAAATAAAGAATAATTTATAGGGAATTGATAGTAGAGTAGGTAAAGCCAAGAAACAAACCATTGACTTGGAATATAAGGAAGCAGAAAACACCCAACTAGAACAGCAAAAAGAAAAAAGAATAAAAAAAAATGAGGATAGTGTAAGGAGCCTCTGGGACAACTTCAAGCATGCCAACATTCACATCATAGGGGTGCCGGAAGGAGAAGAGAGAGAGCAGGAAATTAAAAAACTATTTGAAACAATTATGACAGAAAACTTCCCTAACTTGGTGAAGAAAACAGACATATAAGTTCAGGAAGCACAGAGAGTCCTGAACAAATTGAACCCAAAGAGGTCCACATCAAGACACATCATCATCAAAATGCCAAAGGTTAAATACAAAGAGATAATCTTAAAAGCAGCAAGAGAAAAGCAGTCTGTTACCTACAAAGGAGCTGCCATAAGACTGTCAACTGATTTCTCAAAAGAAACTTTGCAGGCCAGAAAGGAGCGGCAAGAGATATTCAAGGTGATGAAAAGCAATGACCTACAACAAAGATTACTCTATCCTGCAAAGCTGTCATTTAGAATCAGTGGCCATTATCAAGAGTTTCCCAGACAAGAAAAAGCTAAAGGAATTCATCACCACCAAACCAGTATTATATGAAATGTTGAAGGGTCTTCTTGAAGGTGAAGAACAAAAATACGAACAATAAAATGGCAATTAGTACATATCTATCAACAATTGAATCCACAAACAAAATGAGCAAGCAGAACAGAAACAGACTCAGTTACAGAGAACTTCTTGTTGCTTGCCAGATGGGTGGGGGCAGGGAGGGTGGGTGAAAAAGATGAAGGAATTAAGAAGTGCAAATTGGTGGTTAGACTGATGAACCTCAAAGGGAAAGGGGGTGGGAGGGTGGGATGACATAAAACAAAGAACTGTGCATATATGCACAACCAAGGGACACAGAAAATAGTGTGGGGAAGGCAGGAGGGGGTGGGAATGGGGAGGAGGCAGTCAATGGGGAAAAAAGGGAGAAACATCTGTAATACATTCAACAATAAAGATGAGTTTAAAAAGAAAGAAACAAGAGCCCTGGCCAGTTTGGCTCAGCGGTTAGAGCGTCGGCCTGTGGTCCGGAGAGACCCGGGTTCTGTTCCTGCTAAGGGCACGTACTTCGGTTGCAGTTTGTCCCCGGCCCTGGTTGGTCGTGCGGGTGGCAGCCACTCGATGTGTCCCTTTACGTCGATGTTTCTCTCTCTCTCTCCCTCTTCCTCTCTCTCCCTCCCATTCTATCTGTACAAAAAATGGAAAAATATCCTCGGGTGAGGATAAAAAAAAAATTAATTAAAAAAAAAAAAGAAACAAGGAAAAAAAAGATGAAAGTTAAGGATGACTTAGAGGCAATCACAGTTTTCAAGACTCTCACAATTCAGATAGAAAAAAAAAACAAATAACTACAATACAGCAACAGAAAGATGTACGTAGTACTTTGCTATCAGATGTCAGAATAAGAACAGTATTTAAGATTGTTCCTTTGAAATATGTAAATATTTTGCAAAAAATGTCAAATGTACTTACTTTCAGTATCATGACTTGTTATAGTTTCTTCCATCTTCGGGAATGACTGAAATAAAGATAAAGTTCCTTAATGATAATGATAATGTTACACACAAAGTTAACTTTGTTTACAAGCATTCTTTATGGGATCAACCTGATCTTTTATGAAAATTACTACAAAAGGAATTATTTTTTATTTTTATTTTTTAATCCTCACCCGAGGATATTTTTCCATTTTTTGTACAGATAGAGTGGGAGGGAGAGAGAGGAAGGGAGAAAGAGAGAGAAACATCGACGTGAAGGGACACATCGAGTGGCTGCCACCCGCACGACCAACCAGGGCCGGGGACAAACTGCAACCGAAGTACGCGCCCTTAGCGGGAACCGAACCCGGGTCTCTCCGGACCGCAGGCCGACGCTCTAACCTCTGAGCCAAACTGGCCAGAGCAAGGAATTATTTTTTAATGTTAATACAAATCTCCTTTGAATTTTAGTCATTCCTTTCACTTAACAAATTTCTAAAAATAGAAATCATTTTTAGCTGCAGAAATTCCTTTTTCTTCCTCCTTCCCACTTCATTCAGTAATTCTTTCAACATTTCAAAGAATGTCAGTTTCTCTTAAGAGAATAAAAACTTTTATTTAAGAGCCTTCAGAGTTATTTATGATTTAAGGAAGAGACTAAAAAGCATTTGGAAAATTCAATGTATAAGGAATTAGATTTCCACAGAAATAAGACATTATAAGGAGGGGAAAATGCTCCACCCAAGTGGCAGGAAGATCTCCTTACAGTCCGTCTCGGAGCGCCTTGTACCTAAGCGCCAGTAGAGACACGGTGCGCGGTGTCTGCCTCACCATGACCAGCTTGAGAAGATCCGCGGCGTTGCCTCTCTCCTCCTCAGTTCGGGAGTCCTTCACGGTCATGTCCTGCAGCTCATCTTCTTTCTTCAGGATGTGGTTTATATAATCCTAAATCAGCGGAATAAAACAAATCAGTAAAAACTAGGAAGAAGGTAGAGGGAGACACCAAATAGTCAACATCAGCATGGAATATCACGAAAAGATGACGAAAATATAAGTTCACAATGGTCAACAACCACAGTTACTGGTCAAGTAATCTAGAAAGCCTTCTCTTTAATATGTTAGTAAAAAAAAGACCCCAAAAACTCAAAAGCAAAGTTTTTTTTTTTTATTAATTTATTTTTGTTAACAGATGTTTCTCCTTATTTTCCCCATTGACACCTTCCTCTCCAACCCCCCCACCCTGTACCCAGCTCTGTTGTCTGTGTCCATCGGTTATGCGTACATGCATATAAATTCTGTGGTTTATTTCTTCCCTCCCCCACCACCCTATCTTCTGAGGGTTGTCAGTCTGTATCCTTCTTCCACATCTCTGGGTCTACCCTGTTCCTCAGACTGTTATGTTCATTATATTCCACAAATAAGTGAGATCATGTGATACTTGTCTTTCTCTGTTTGGTTTGTTTTGCTTAGGATAATACTTTCTAGGACCCTCCATGTCGTCTCAAAGGATAAGAGATCTTTCTTTCTTACAGCTGCATAGTACTCCATTGTGTATATGTACCACTGCTTTTTTATCCACTCATCTACTGATGGACACTTGGGCTGTTTCCAGATCTTAGCTACTGTAAATAGTGCTGCTATGAACATGGGGGTACATATATTCTTTCTGCTTGGTGTTTCAGGCTTCTTAGGGTATATTCCTAGGAGTGGGATCATTGGGTCAAATAGCATTCAAGTTTTAATTTTTTGAGGTAACACCATAGTGTTTTCCATAGTGGCTGCACCAGTCTGCAAGGCAAAAGCAAAGTTTTAAGGGTCATTGAATATTAGAACTGCACTAGGACTCCAGAGAGGCCCAGCCTCTAACTCTGTGCTCCATTGTCCCCAGCAATAAAATGGACAGAGGCAGGTTAAATGACTTCGAGAGTCCTTTCCAGGGATAGACTTTATGAGTTTATCTTTGAATATAAGCTGCTTAGGCATGGCTTTGCTTCCAAGAGGGGTATACTTTATTTTTTACATAAATATTTCATGTTTCCATAGATAATGGTTCCCTGCTCGATGCCAGGTGCTGGATACCCATAATCAAAACACATATGATCCCTGTTCTGAGATTTAACATACCAGACAGTGAAATGTTACAGATATGCCTATACAATTAACTGAATATTTACAAATTCTTAGGCCACTTCCCAAAACCAACAACCCTCCTCTTCCATGGACAAGTGTCAGATTACTGTGCGGTTCTGCCTTCTTCCAGAGGTCACTGGGTAGTTTTCCACATAATAAGAAAGGAGGATCCATATAGCAATCACATATAAAACTTACTTACCTTCTACATGTCTTTGGGATCTCAGTACTCCCTGTATCTTATGGGACTCACTTAATGTTTTCTACCTCTCCGCTTCCTACCCTCCGGAAGATTGACACTCGTGTTACATTAAACAAATATTGGTAGAATGACCTAATTCAGATTCCTTGGGAAGCCAAGAAGAGTGATTGCCATGTTCCTGATTCTTTTGGGTCGGGTTACCTGGATTCCATTACCTTAAGGGAAATCTGTAGTCTCAGCTTCACCTCGTTGTTTATGACCTCGTGCTGGATGAACTGGCGTATCTGCAGCACTTTGGGGCTCTTGACTATCGGGGCTGGGGCGTTCACGAGCTGTTTGGCCTCAATGCTAAGGCCCTTCCAAATCTGAGTTCCAAATGGAGGTCCTGGAGTTTTTTTCTGTTAACAAAGCAAAGCAAAAACAACTAGCCAAGAAATCAGCATTTTTTTTTTTTCTTTATTGATTTTGGAGAGAGGAAAGGAGAGACAGAGCTAGAAACATCAATGAAGAGAACATCCATTGGCTGCCTCCTGCATGCCCCCCACTGGGGATTTGGCCCACAACCTGTGCATGTGCCCTGACTGGGAATCGAACTGGTGACCTCTTGGTGCATGGGTCAATGCTTAACCACTGAGCTACACCAGCCAGGCAAGAAATCAGCATTTTTAAGAAACTGATTACTTATTAGGTAGACACTATGCTAGGAACCGCTTGTTAGGGAATATATTGGAGAAAAAAAAAATATCCCTACTCTCAATAAGTTTCGCAAATTAAGAAAACTCAGTAACAGAACTGAGCAAGCTTTCCTCTTTATGTGTGTTACTGAGAATTTGGATACTTTACAATGCTGTTGCATGATGTCCCACTGGATGGTCGTTAGGGGAGTGCTAAGCAATGCTCCGTCACGGCAGTGCTACGTCACGGCAGTGCTACGTCACGGCAGTGCTACGTCACGGCAGTGCTACGTCACGGCAGTGCTACGTCACGGAAGTGCTATGTCACGGCAGTGCTACGTCACGGCAAGGCAGCTGCAGCCTCGCTTAGGCCAGATGCATGTGCCCGTCCTGTCCTCCCCGCAGGCAGCCGACAGCATTGGGGGTTAAACAGTCTTACACTGTCTGGTTCCATGTGTATTTTGACTTAATGGGAGAAATCATCCATTGATCTGAGAGGTGTTTGAGCTCACTCTAGATTAAGCATGCCTTCAGAGTCTCCAGAGCAGAAAGAAATGTCTGCCTTAGAGTGAACTCATATCTCTGTGTTGTTCTCTGTTTTCGGGAGTGGTGTGGTGTGATGCCCTATGTCCGCAGTGTGTCTGATGTGCTTTGTTTAAATTGCTATTTAGTGTCCACAGCCTAGTCAGTGCTATCGTCTCAGTGTCTTGCCTGGGTTGGGCCACGCCCACTGGGCACGGTCATGCCTACAGAAGTTGCAGAGGAAGAGACCGAATGTCCTTCATTAGTCTCAGATGCGGCATATCTGTCACAAGGCAGCACTTGCAGCTTATTTACAGAGCCTCAGGGAGCCACCGGTGCAGCCTTTCATTTGTACATAAGGAAGTGGAGGTCCCGTGTGACTTGTCCCGGCCCCTACGTTAACAGTTGGGAGAGTCAGGACTAGAATTCAGTCATCTCCATCCACCATGTAAATTGCAGTCACCACATTAAAATGTAGGGCTGCACTTGGTTCCCCCAAGTGTTCACTATCTGTGCCCTATTACAAAACTGTGCAGAAAAGCAAAAATCATCACAACTCGAAACATCCTCCTCCTCAGTGAACACTAGTATCTCTCTGTGGCTGTCTTCTCAGGGTTCTCACTGAACTAATAAGTAATAATTTGACACATGCTGGACACACTGCACACTCTGCTTGCAGAATGAAATGGCAAATCTCACGAGATTCAGGAGTTCATGATTCTCACTCAAGATGTTTTCTTTACAAAATTCTTAGGTGGGGCTTCTCTATTGTAACCTAGTTACAGTGTTTATTTTTTAACATCATCGTTGGAAATCCCTGTGTATAATCCTTCACATTATTCTTATGAATTAACATGTTAAGAAAAAAAGGAGGATGAAAGACCTAAAATTGTGTGTTAAAACTAACAAATAAGGAGCAGGAGAAGGGAAGACTTCTGCTGCCTGATGCTGGTGATTCGTGGCAGCAGAGCTGTGACATGGTCACTCAGCGAATATTTTTAGATCATAAGGAGATGTTCAAGCCTGCAATGTAGGATGAAAGAAATAAAACAGATTAGCTAGTCAGGTGTATTTAAAATCTACAATGTCAAAGTCTTCAAATATAACATTCCATAAGTCCACCATTCACAATTTACATAAGAATGAAAATATGAGAATATATGGGAGAGGATCTGAGACTCTGGTTCATCAGTGGAGGGATATGCAAATACAGTGACTTCAGGAAGAAAATGTATACCTCTGCTGAGGGAAATGTGTCCCATGTCCTTGACTGAAGATTGGGAGGGACGACCGTATCTAATTCTTTCTTCATTAGCCACGGTGATGCTTCGCAAAAAGGGCGAAGGACAGTGATGCTGAGGGCCCCTGGTTCAAAGGGAGTTATAAGAGGGTCATTTCTTTATCAAAAATATTCTGAAAATTTCAATGGGCATTCACTAAATCCAACAAATACTTCCTTGTGAGTGAGACAGAGCAGTTATGCTTAAGGGCCTTAAGCTCTAAAAAGAAAGGAGAGGCTTTTAGTCGCCGTCACACCTACAGACAGGACTTAGACCGCCTGAAAGTCTTCAGTGACATCTCACTGTCCTTCAGAACCCTCACCCACGTCCTGTCTGCTCCTCCACGAAACATTCCGGAGTGCACCGCCCCTTCCCCCCACTGTCCCTGCCTTGGACCATCTGCCTCAGAGAGATCCTGGACCTCAGCAAGGACTAGTTCTACCCACAGCTACTCTGAGTGAGTCGACCCAGAAGTCAGGGTGGCTGATCACGTTACACTGCGATTTCAACTCTTTGTTCACTTCCCACTGCTCACAGGAGAAAACCGAGTCCTTACCATTTTCTCACCCCGGCCTCTACCTGCACCATTCTCCCTCTGTGCTTCAGGTACTAGGCCTTCCGCCCCTTCTCCAGTGCTTCCTGCTTCCTGCTTTGTATTCTCTCTTCCCAGAAAGCGCTCCCTCCTGTCTTAACTAACTCCTACACGTCCACCAGCGGCCGGCTCCAGTGTCTTCAGGAACCCTTCCCCACTATGTCAGGTTCCTCTGTTAGATGCTCTCACAGAACTGTTCCTTTCCTTCATAGACCTTGTCCCAACTTACAATCACACAGTTCTTTGTGTGCCTATCTCTCTCACTAAACTCGAAGCCCAACGAAAGGAGGGTCCAGGCTCTCTTAGCTCAGCATTGTGTCCCTACCACCCAACCAGTGTTTGGCCTGTGGTGGGTTGTCAAGCAGATGCTAGTTAAACGCAATGAACTCTTATTCTCATGCAGCCCCCCCACACACTGCACAACCAGCCAGAGCACCGCTCTTCACGTTCACAGACAAGGCGGGGCTGTCCCGTCAGGCCCACGCGCACGGCCACGCTGAAGGATGTAAGTGCAGGGATTCAGGCATATTCATAATGAGCACTAAATATATCCGTCCAACCAGAGGAAAAAGTAAAACACACACACACACACACACACACACAAACTCAGGCATAGCACTCTAATTTGGTATACAGATAATATGCAAATTTATATCCATGTTTAAATACACGTATTACATATACTGATGGTTCTTACTTAATGCAATATGTGTAACCTGTAGTCACACACAGATTTCTTTGAAATTGACTAAGATAATATAAATGCACAATGAATACATCATAAAACATCATATATTTCAGGTTGGCTTTCTAACTCACATAATAATGTACTTTCTCATTCTATTAAATTCATTAAGGCAACACTTTTGAAAAAAATAAATTTACAAGAGACATCTCACTTTTTTTTTGTTTCTTTCCTAAGATTAAACACATAAATAGGAACCTAGGTACATACTTAACACACTTAAACCAGATACAAATCTGCTTATAGGTAGGAGAGGGGCTCATCCAGTTTACATAGGTTGCTGCTCAGATAAAGGTTGGGATGAACAGAGATTAACTGTGTAAGCAGGTTGACATGGCCAGGTGGAACGTAGAATTGAAAAGTGAGCAAAGGGGGAAAAGTAGAGATGACCCAGGCAGGGACTGGATAAGGAGGATGAGAGTTGGTGAAGGGACACAGTGAGTCCCAGGCAGGTGGGGTCCCTACCCAGCTGTTCCTTTATTGGCTCTTGAAGAACTACAGTGGTCGATTCTCCGTATGCCAAGGACAGGTATTCCTCTATATCACTGTCTCGAAGAAGTTCTACTCCGGACCCATCGGCATAGATAACGAAAAACCTATTTGAAGAAATAAAATCAAATCACTTTAAGTGTTCAGTTAAAATGCTCCTTGAACTTGGAATTAAAAATAAAAGTCCTGGTATTATTTTATCATATTACCTGGGGACATGTTCACCATAGATTTGCAGATGATTTTTATGAAGGTGAGCAGATGATAAAGTGTCATAGCCTTCAGGGCTGGCGATTAAATCATCTTCCATATTGTTTTCAGGTAGCGTAGTTGATATGCTACCGTCAGCCATGACCTAAGGGACAAAATATATAAGCAACAAATTAAAAAAAAAATGCCATAAAGCTTACCTTGCTGCTGATCCTATTTGAAAAGCAGGTGATTTGGGGTGTTCTCAGAATATCAGGGATATTCATTTATCTGTAGGAATATAGCTCACTAAATATAGACTGCATAAAAGTGAAAACCTGGCAGCATGTGTCCACCCACAAACCACACCTAGACTGTGGGAGCGAACGGGAAGAACCAGAATGCCCCGAGGATGGCGACTAGGCAGGGCCCTCCAACCTTATCTTCTGGGGATTAGTTCAAGGAACTGGGCATTTTAAAATTTTATTTTATTTATTTATTTTATTGATTTTTGAGAGAGAGAGAGAGAGAGAACATCGATTGGCTGCCTCCTGCATGGCCCCCACTGGGGATTGGGCCCACAACCTGGGCATGTGCCCTGACCGGGAATTGAACCAGCGACCTCTTGGTGCATGGGTCGACGCTCAACCACTGAGCCACATCAGCCGGACAAGGAACTGGGAATTTAAATAGACTGGTCATGTCATAGTTGTCTTAAAATACTGAAAGAGGTTTATATTCTGCAACTCCAAGCACAAAATGAGGCCTCGGAGAGACTAACAGGGAAACAGATTTAGTATCGCTGTGAGAAGAAGTGTGCTAGCCCTCACTGCTGCTGGACATGGTGTGGGTTTGTCCAGGAAGCAGTGTGGTCCCCGTGAAAGGCCATGGCAGGGAAGGGCCAGGCAGAGCATCCAAGTCCAGAAGCAGGCTTGGCCTGGACCACCCGTGTGTTTCAGCCCAGAGGGTTTGGGCTTTCCGTTTCAATTTCAACTCGCTGTACATGGAAATTTGTTAGCAGCCTGCACTCATGCTGTAAAGAGCTTTATTTACTGAGTACAGAAAAAATAAGCTGGGTCAGGGTGTGCCTGTGCCCCCCAATAAAGTTGGGGTCTCTGCAGTGTGGTTCCAAATCTAAGAAACCGATTCCCCACCGCCAGCCGACACATAAAAGTCCACTGTCGGGTGAGGACTGGAAGTGCCTCGAGGAGGGTTGGCAGACCTTGTCTTTCAAGGGCCAGTATTTCAGGGTCTGTGGCCAATCTCTGCTGCCACCCCGCCGGTCCATGCCAAGCAGCCACGGACAGTGTGTGAGCAAGTGAGCGTGGCTGGGTTCCAGTAGAACTCCATTTAACAACACCGAAACGTGCATTTCCTGTCACTTTTATGTGGCATGAAACCTTCTTCTCCTTTTGATTTTTTCTAACCATTTAAAAATGTAAAGACCATTTTTAGCTCATGCACCTATACAAACAAATGGCCATGGCTCGCCAGTGTCTGGCCGAGGGAAGAGGGAAGCTGTGGTTTGGAGGGACAGAGAGACAGAAGGGAGAGCTGTGCCATGAGCAGCTGACGCTGCCCCAGACGTCCCCCTCCCCATCTCCAGCCTCCCCGGAAGCCCCATCCGAAGTTCCCCGCCCGGTCCAGCACACTTGCATGCTGTCACAGTGCTTGCTCTCGCCTGAACCTGGACCAGACCATTCCTACATCACTCCTTTGTGGAGGCATTGTTTATCATGTTTAATACTGTGTCTTCCCTTCTGTTCTAATTAATTATCTGGTTATATCATTTCTACCATCCCAGTTGCTGGGCCTGCTATCCCTATGAGAGTTCACTTGAGAATCAGAGAGACGGACATTTATTACTGCTTGCCCAAAGTATTGGCAGTAAGTAAATCACGCCCCAAAGCAGCTAAGGCCAAAAGCTACATGGAGACTCTCCTGTGTGAAATATCTGAAGAGGAAAAGCCCCGGCCTCTCTCCCTGCCAATGGTGTGTTTCACCTGAAATGTGTTTCCCTCCGGATCCAGGACCTCACAGACGACCTCTGAGGTGTGCTTCATGATGTACGTGCTGGTTCTCAGCCGTTGGCGTTTTTGGAAAGGGTGGTATATGTCACTGTTTGATTCATGGCAATATACCGCCGAACAGTCCCTGTCAATGTGAAGACAGCCTGTGTTTGGAGGTAACACCTGGAAGGGTATCAGAAAGAGAGAAATTATTTAAAATTTCTTATTCAATTTGAGGGATTTAGAAAATCACTTTAGGAAACCAATTATCCACAGGTCTCTGCCACAAACTGCATTTCCGAGAAGGGAATCCAAGAGAGGACCCAGGGTCTGGAAAGGACACACCAGGGTCCGGTAAGGAGGCACAGCGAGGGACCGTGTGCACATTTCCCATGTGACCCTACTAACCGCCTCGCTCACTGTGTCTCCCACGTAATGGCCCGTGCCTCCAGTTCAGAGCTCTGATGCGGGATAAGGAAAGCAGCTCTCAGCGCAGTGCGCACGGCCCTGCCCGCAGCGCCTGGGCTCCCTGGAGCGCTCGGGCGGCGCTGAGGCTGTGGGACCAAGGCTTTCAGAAGCTCCTGCCTGTCCTCGTTCCTCTGCGGTGTCCTGCTGGTGGCACAGGTCATGCGGAGTGACAGCTGCGGTGCCCACGTCCTCGCTGATGTTTGGAAACTATTTCTGGTGCTGCCAAGGGACAGAGCTGGCCAGGACCAAGTCCTCTGTGCGGCGCGCTGTCCCACATGCGCTCTCCCCGCACTGCGCGTGCCCAGACCGGCCGGCGGGGGATGGGCAGAGGCATCTGACATGCCGCTTTCAGTCTGTAACACTAGAGAATTATAAAACAGGCACTGATGAAGTTATTTTGAGGATTTTTGTTTTTGTTTTTTCTTCCAGTTGGGGACTAAGTCTGTGTGTTCTTCAACCAGGAACAGTCGAGCTTCCGGTCCTTCCTCGGGCTGTTTCGAGAGACAGGCAAACCTGGGGAGCAAGTGTGCGCTCAGCCATGCAACTCTGAGCATCTCCGCGTTGCAGCTCTTTTGTTTGTCTCTTCCTGCAGTGGTGGCCGTCACTGGAGCTCACATTCCTTGGTCCTCATAGTAGTAACCATTGGAGTTTGGGGCTATGATAAAAGTTAGGTAAACTCTGGTCTCATCACAGAATCTTAGGAGATGCTCATGACATCTGGTAGGACACATGGTGCTGGAATATGAATGCTGCCAGTCTGCCTAAAAATGGACATTCTGAGTGCTCAGTAACAAATAGCACCTCCTTCTCCAATTCAACGTTTCAGTCATTTCTCACGTTCTGCACCTTCCTCACTCCATAGTTTACACGGCATGAAGGGGGTAGGGTAACATCACCAGGAGGGATGGGAGGGATACACAGTCTACACGGGTGAAGGGGGTAGGGTAACATGACCAGGAGAGATGGGAGGGATACACAGTCTACACGGGTGAAGGGGGTAGGGTAACATCACCAGGAGAGATGGGAGGGATACACAGTCTACACGGGTGAAGGGGGTAGGGTAACATCACCAGGAGGGATGGGAGGGATACACAGTCTACACGGGTGAAGGGGGTAGGGTAACATGACCAGGAGAGATGGGAGGGATACACAGTCTACACGGGTGAAGGGGGTAGGGTAACATCACCAGGAGAGATGGGAGGGATACACAGTCTACATGGGGTGAAGGGGGTAAGGTAACATCACCAGGAGAGATGGGAGGGATACACAGTCTACACGGGTGAAGGGGGTAGGGTAACATGACCAGGAGAGATGGGAGGGATACACAGTCTACACGGGTGAAGGGGGTAGGGTAACATCACCAGGAGGGATGGGAGGGACACACTAGCTCCAGCAGTTTTCGTAGTAACACGTTTGTCACTGAGGTCCCCGTCCACTGTCTTCTGCTTTGAGCTCTGGGTATTCTGGGATGTCATATGACATCCTGGCCCTTGTGCCCCCTCTCCAGGGAGTGAAGACAAATCCTTCTAAGACTAACGGGGCTGCAGGCTGACACCAGGTGGTTGTGTTTCCTAAGGGAGGTAGAGGAGTTGCTAACAGGGTTCTCTCCAGCCATCCAAGGACAAATGTCCCTTCAGCTGGGCAAGCTGCCCTCCTGTCCGGTGGGACTTCAGTAGAGTGGGGAGGGACCTGTGGTGGGAAGGACGGAGATGAGAGCAGAGGGGAGGAGCTGGAGCTGGATGGTGGCACAGGCACAGTGTCTACCACCTACCACAAGGACCCCTAGCTGTGCTTACAACCTTGATCTGAAAATACCAAAGCGCCGTCAGACGAGCAGGACAATGTTCTTCTGGAATGGGTTGTAAAAGGGTGAATAAGTACAGAGAGACTGAGGAGCGTGTCCTAAGATCAGATGAGACGAGAGAGCACAGCCGTCTGCAAGGCAGGCACGCTCACTGCCCGGAGGAGTGGGCTCTCTTAGTGCAATGGACTCTTACCTTTGGCACTCCTCACCCACCCCAGACCTACCTGGTATGTCCCCTGTGGCTTTGCGATGACAGACGTCCCATCCCCAAAGGTGGCGCAGCATCGACTGTCCTCGCAGTTGGTGATGACAGTGGCATAGTGTGAGTTTTCTATCCGCATGCACTTCACCTGCCTGGTGACAGTGCGGAGACCTTCGGCTGCGGGAAATGCAGGCAAGCAGGTCTGAGAGGACGCACCCCTGGGAATCAGCTGCCCGCTGACCGTGCTCCTGCTCGGGCGCCCAGCCGGGAGCTGAGGCTGAGTGCCGAGAGCCCAGCCCGCCAGGCTGTGTGCCGGGGGAGTCCCTGTCCACGCACCGCCATCCCGGAGGGGACTTTTCTGACTAAGGCGGTGTGCTGGTTCCTTCTCACTGTCTAGTAGAGTTAGTTTGAGAAATAGAAAACATCCAGAGAAGAATGAAGCATAATTTAACTACTCATATGCTCACCGATCAAAATATACTCTTAATATTCTGCTACAGTTGCGACAACATTTTTAATATGTACATAAGAATTTATTCTTTATTTATTTCCTTCTCTTGCAATCCATTTGCATACTTTTGTACAAATATGTGTATCAAAAACAATGTATAATATTATACATGCTTTAAAATGGCATGTTATATATGACTAGTATCATTCTATACCTTTTCTCACTTCGCCTTGGAGACCTTAGCACCTTGATATACATGTGTTGTGTGCATGTGCATGTAGGTGTACTTCTTTCCCTTCGACTGCTCTATAGCATTCCTTTGTAAGCATACACCACATGCTATTTTTCTGTTCTTTTGATGGGCATCATGCTTCCCAATACTTGAATGTGATACTCCGTGTCGGAAGTGGCACTTCTGCACCCATTTTCTTGTACAAATGTAAGAGTGTCTTCCTGTATCTGCCTAGAGGTAGAGTGAGTGCATCATATGATAGGCACCTTTTCAATCTCCTAGCTCTGTTAAAATTGCCCTTCCCAGTGACTCTTAATTATCACTCTGTCGAGCAGGGTATGAGGTTCCTCTTTTCCCATTCACTCACCAATTTTGTTGCACTTAATTTGGCAATGAAGCGCTTAATGCCTTAGACAAACTCTGGAATTACAGAAAAGGGAGTCAGGGAATAATTTTTCTCCAAAACTCCTGCTCAGATTTGGGTTAGGAAGGCTGGTAGGCTTTCCGATTCTTTGAATAGGTGCAGCTACCTAGCAGCTGCTGCTTGCCTTTCTCAGACCACCTTTCCGGGAGAGGGGGGGTGCTCAGAACTGGGGGGGTGGGTTGTCGGAGGCCACCTGTTTATGCACATTTGATTCCTTAAGGATCAAAGAAAACAGGTGTGAGCGCTAAGGTCCAGAACAACCGAGTCACGATCATTCACTCTTAGTTGCCATGGATGCAGACCAGAGGTTTTCAGTGATGAAAATGGAAAAGCCACTCTTACCATCCATACGCCAACTGGAGCGGTTTATTCCTTACCTAGCTCATTCTAAAGACGTAAAAGAGCGTCATATACTTGAAAAATAAAACTTACTTTTTTGATCATCCGGAGGAATAATTTGATCTTCATAAACTTGATAAAAGGTTGTGATTCTGGTACCGTCAGCATGGTCCACTATGCGGGTCCCGTCCTTCTTCTCAACGATGATCACTTTGTCCTCTCGGGTTGTCATCACCTGAACACACAAAGGCAGCGTGGTCATTTGGTCAGGTGGCTAGGCCCAGGTGCGTTTACTTTTACACCCTATGCAGTACCGTCAAAGCCTGGTTATTTATTTATAAATGGCAGTGTTATCTCAGGTGTTTGCTCTAACCTTGACAACAACCCTGGGGGACAGGCAATGCTATCTTCGTTTTGGGAAGGAGGACATTTAGGCTTAGAGAAGTGAAGAAACTTGCTGAGGTCCTTTGGCAAGTGCCGGGGCTGGTGGTGCACTAAGGCTGTCTGACTTCAGAACCGATGCCCTTCCCACTGCCACAGATTTGTGAGCAAGAAGTAACGTCAGGACTAGCCTGACCCCAGCTCTCTGGGAAAATGGCCCCAGGTCGTGCTTCCTTGGCCGGCAGAGGCTCCAGGGGAGCGTGGGTGAGGCTGCTACGTGGGCGGCGCAGGCTTCGGCCTGGTGGCACCAGAACAGGAGGTGAGGATGGGGGGCACAGCGGCCGTGCCTTCCCCGAGTCGAGTTGATCCACTCGCTCACGGGCGCCCGTGTGTGGCTGCCGCACGGGACCCGTGTGGACCTGAGGGTAAAGGAAGCCGGGCCGGGGGTGGTTGCTGGACCTCCCACGTGGATGAGGCTGCTGCACTGACCACGCAGATTTCCTGTCTTGTATCCTTGCCAGTTGTGTCTGGCAGTCTGACTGTCCAGTTTAACCCGCAATCGCTTCTGTTCTAGTGGAGGGCGTCACTGTGGAAAATGGAGAGATGGTCCGTGAAGGAAAAAACTGTATCACTCAGGACAGGAAGCCCAAGGGCAGCCAGCTTCGTGTTTCCAGGTCTGTCCGTGCACTCCCACCGAATGCCGCTTTCCGGAGGGCTGCGTGGAGAACCGCACAGGTGCTGGGAACACTGTGACGGAGGACACTGAAGCCAAATCCCTGCTCTCTGGTTACAGAGCAGAGGAAGGACAGTCACTGAGAAGTGGCGTTGGAGGGACCGTCTGGCTTCCCCTCCGAGGAAGCAGCACCGGAGCGTGGGTTTAATGCCCACGGAGGGGAGCCTCGCAGGTGAACGCTGCCAGGCACGAAGGTGCCCAGGGAGCAGGGGGAGAGGCAGGAGGCACGGCTGGAAGGTGAGGGACCAAACAGGGGAGGGCTGTCAGCCGTATTAAGGATTTCAGCCTTCACTCCACAAGCGGAAAAGCGGACAGAAGGGTTTTTTGTTTTTTAATACACATCCGAGGATATTTTTCCATTTATCTTCAGACAGAGTGGGAGGAAAGGAGAGAAAGAGAGAGAGAGCGACAGAGAGAGACATCGACGTGAGAGAGACACATCCACTGGTTGCCTCCCACAGGACCCAGGCCAAGGCAGGGGACGAACCGCAACCAAGGTGCATGCCCTTGACCGGAATCGAACCTGCGACTCTCTGGTCTGCGGGCTGGTGCTCTAACCACTTAGCTACCCTGCCAGAGCTGGAAGTATAAGGAATAGAACAGGAATTACAGAAAACGTTCAGTCAGAACCGGCAAGTGCTCCACCTGAAAGAACAAGCTTTTATACATGTGCTGCACCAAATGGTTGACCCGCAAAGCTGTGAACCCCCAGGGGGGTGTGTGCAGATGTGGCAGACACGGCCCTTCAAGAAAGGACTTGTCCCCAGCAATGGGACCAGCGAGCAAACAGCCTCCATCGCCCTCAGCGCTTCCGGTGTCTGCCTGAGCTGCAGAGACGCTTGGCCTGCCCCCTGGTTCCCGGGGAGCTGTGTCCAGGGCTCGAGTGGGGGGGGGGTCTGGTTCCTGCTGCCAGACTGGGGCACTGAGACAGCTGGCACCGGCGCTGGGCCCTGCCAGCTGACCAAGCCTGTCAGGTTGGGTCCGAACCACCGATCAGTTTCTCCCTCTGCCCATTCGTGCTTCCTCCCCTTCCTTTCACAGACGGTGTCCCTAATAATACCTTGCACCCCAAACTCCATCTCAGCTTTAACTTCTGGGGAGCTCAACCAGCAACAACATATTGCAAATTACATGTTTTGATCACTGAGCACTTTCTAACTGTACTGTGTCCTAACGGAAAGGGTCACAGTATTTACTAGAGTCCAGAGGGATGTGACACCGAGTTTCCCAGCTATTTTTTTGACTCAAATGTCTGGGGCTATGGAGGTGATAATCACCTTCGTATTCTTACGATAGGCAAAATCACTCTGCTTGAGAGAGAAATGCATGCGGATTGTTATTTTGGGCTCTCCTCACTGGCGCCCAGCCGGTGTGCGTCACGACGGACTGCGATGGAGCAGTGACGGAGAGCACGGCCGGACCGCACGGCCTGCGTTCAGACCCGGGCTCCACGGACGGCTGCTCTCTCTGCTCCGGCCTTCTCCTCTGCAACGGGAGCCAGTGCTGGTGTCTTCTCCAGGGATGTTAGGTGAATCATAAAATAACACTGGTAAACGGCTGGCCACTGAGTTAGCAATGAGTATTACGAGCTCTTCATCTAGTATAGCTATTTACATATTACTATTTAGAATTATTCAAACATTTCATAACATCTCATAACTCTGACATTTCCTTGTCACCACAGGGCGGGATACACATCCTTCTTAGTGGTGGTAAGAAGACACTAGCTAGAATATTTACTGAACACCTGATAGAGCTGGATCTGGTATTCCTTTCCCCAATTATTTCAGATAGTGGCCATTATCTCCGTTTTATGAGTAAGGAAGCCAAGATTAGAAACTTGTCCAAAATCATGCACCCAGTCCGGGGTGTGTCAGGGGTACAAAGCCAAGTCTGCCTCACCAAAGGTCCTCTGAAACCTGATGCTTCATGTTGCATGTGGCGAAAACCTTCGTTTTCACTTTTGTTTCATATGATCATGTTAGTTTCTTGACCCTTATTTTCATAGTTGGTTAAGCATGTGGGATCTGGAATGCGACCTTATGGTCCACTTTCTGACTTTACCACTTGCTATGTGATTTTGGAAAAATGGCTTCACCTCTCTATAGCTTAATGCCCTCATCTGTAATGGATGTTGTGAGAATTAAATAAGTTAGTATGTGGAAAGTTCTGAGAACAGGGCCTGGCACACAGGAAGTGCTCAGTAAATATTATTTTTATTATTATAATTATTATTATTATTCTGTTAGATGTCTGATGTTTAATTCATGCCTGAATCCAGGCTCTTGGATGTGGTCATGCCCCCATAATGGTGATAGGTATTATTAAGAGAAATCGAGAATTATTAACTAAGAAACAATAAAATTTGCATATTAATCCAAATAATCTGCATCTGGGCTGAATTAAAGTGAGTAGTGGAGGTGACCTAGAAGCCTTTCTGAGATGACATGTACTTTGAGCCTCACAGAAAAACAAAACAAAAAACTAGCAAATAAGGTAAGAGATTATGACATGATTTCAGAAATAAACCGAAGAAGAAAGAAAAACACATTTGGTTAGATAGTGTAATTCATCACAGCAGCAAGTAGACATTTTGTGTTTGACCAGCAGCAGGTGGTTATAAGTGGGTAGGGAGTCCAGAAACCAGAGATAAGGCACTTAGGAAAATCTTCGTCTTGTTTAGACTCAGAAGGTTGCAAAGCTCCACCTAGGATGTCAGAGGACTAGCTGAGGACCAGAAAGGAACAGTGTTCAGTCACCAACAACTGGTTCCAGGCCTGGCTCCGGCACGTCCTGGGTGCATGCTCCTGACCATGTCACATTACTCGCTGAGACCCAGTTCCCTCACCTGTGTAATAATATTCATGGGTGTAAGGACTGATGAGATAATGGATGCGAAACCCCTAACAGAAAGTCCAGCACGTAGAAGGTGCTATTATTCATTGCAGGAGTTCCAATTTCACATCCTAAGCAAAACCATTATTTTCTGTACTCCTCATTTGGCACTTACTCTCATGCTACAGATAAAATCTTTTGTATAGTTTCTCTGTGGTGTTCTTGAGTTTTTTAATGCGAGAATTTCCTTAAATGTACTGTGAGTTCTTTGAAGTCAAGGATCATGAACACATTCCTACCACTCACGTCAGGCACACACACATAAGTAGGAATAAGGCACAGACCCTCATGTGTAGGTAAGACACACACAAATGTATTCAACGTAAGGAAATAGATGACATCATTAATCACATATGTCTGAAAGTGGTATAAAAAATTATGACCTGTGTCTCATTTCAAAAATTAGTATTTCAGCCCTGGCCGGTTTGGCTCAGCGGTTAGAGTGTTGGCCTGTGGTCCAGAGAGACCCGGGTTTGGTTCCCGCTAAGGGCATGCACCTCGGTTGCAGTTTGTCCCTGGCCCTGGCTGGGTCATGCGGGTGGCAGCCACTTGATGTGTCCCTTTCACGTCAATGTTTCGCGCTCTCGCTCTCTTCCTCCCACTCTATCTGAACAAAAAAATTAAAAAATGTCCTCGGGTGAGAATTAAAAAAAAATTAATAAAAATTAGCATTTCATGATGTTCTATGCTAATCAAATGACAGAATGCTTTTTGATTTGGGGAGATAGATCCATCCATTCATCTATTCATTCTTCCTTCCATCCATCCATCAATCCACCCAACCACCCACCCACATACCCACACACACACTATTTACTACTTAAAAAACTGTTGCTGAAAATTTATTATTTGCCAGGCATGCTTCTATGTGTTGTTTCAGAATTCTAGTGATTTAGGAAATTTTGCAATATACCACAGTTGGCGTACCGTTCCAGTGACGGGATCTGTGGCCTTGAAGGACAAAAAGGGTGCCAAGTCTGCTAGTCTTTCCAAGCCCTTGGTGCCGATCCGTCCTCCTGCAGGTGTGGTGGTGAACCAGGTGCCTGCGTGAGTCTCCACAGGAGTCACCGTCTGAGCTGTTTCTGTGGAAGGTTCGTGGGTTTCATTCTTGTGTGGCACCACTGACTGATTCTTGTGACTTTTCCCTGTGGAAGTTCAAGCAAAATCAAACAGAACAACATAACTATAATATCGATTATATACATCATTCATTGTTTGATTCAGTGTGAAGAGATTGGAGCATAGAAATTCTAAGTAGTATTCACCAATTACACGATTTCTCAAATGATGAAAATGTCAGGTTATGAATATCTTAATTTTTGTACTTGAACCTTGGCTGGATTCTTGTCACCTGCCTCCAAATATGTGTGTGTATATATCTATCTATATATTTATATATATAGATAGATATATACACACACACAGTTCACTCTCTCTGATGTAACACTTATTCTGGTCAGTTTATGTACAGTTTTGAGTCTTGCTTACATCTCTCTGGATCCCAGATTTGGGGTTTTGTACCACGGTTTCTGAAGCCTACTTTTTCCTCCTGTATATCTGTCAGACTCCTTTCAACTTACTGGACTTTAGCATTTTACTAGATTTTTAACCTTTCGTTCCCCTGATTTTTAACACTTTTTCAGTCATAGATAGAAAATATCTTTCTTCAGCCCTGAATCTGAAGAACCTATCAGCCAGGTATATCTTTGGCCTCTCACCAGGAGAGAGGATTTGTACAGTTTAATTACTACATTGATAATCATCCGATACATCCCTCCAAGCGTCCCTGCCACCATCCATATGGAACAGGAAGATATAACTGAAGATACCCACGTGGAACTCTGTGAATAACACCTCTGATCTATCAGGATAGATTTATTTACTCCACTTGTATGAACAATAGTGAGTCATCTGCAGATGAGATTTGCCTGTGTTACCAAATATCAGTCCAGGTAAACTCAGACCCAGAACAAATTTGCAAGCAGAGAGAGAAAAGGACTGTCCACCAGGAAGACCCATCAGTTTCATACCGTGGCACGTATATTAGGCATAGATATTGGCTTTGGTGGCAGACTCAACTAATGATGGGAACCGAAGAAGACAGATACATCAGCTAAGACTTTTCATTGCTTGAAGATTCATTTTGGACCTACAAGTATTTCTAGAGAATTAAAAGACAACAGAAATCCCTGGCTGGGTAGCGCAGTGGGTTAGTGTCTTTCCAAGATGCCAAGGTTGCAGGTTCAATCCCTGGCCCCGGTCAGGGTTATTCAGGAGGCAACCAATTGATGTGTCTCTCTCACATTGATGTTTCTCTCTCTCCCTCTGTCTCTCTCTCTTTCTCCCCTTACCACTCTATCTGGAGATAAAAATGGAAAAATATCCTCGGTGAGGATTTAATAAAAAGAAAAATACATGAGAGACTTTCTGTTTTTGTCATCTAAGTAGCAACAACAGATTTGCGACTTTCCCCTCTTCTCGTCCTGGAAATCACATGAAGCAATAACAACAATGAAAAGACCTCCAGAAATTACATTTGTAGAAAAACTCGGGAAGCCCTCAACCTCTGATTGAACCACCAGAAGCAGAGCCAAGAAGCAAGCCCACAGGGCGGGTGTGGGAAAGCCACTGGAATGACCAGGGTGTGTGTGAACGCAGTTGCCCACACGGCTTCCCAAGGGGCAGCCCCCCAGACGGACAGCCCCTCCCGGGGACGCGCGTGGGCGGTATCCAGAGTGAGTGGAGAGAGGAAAGGCGTGGGCTGGGCCGGGGTTCGGGTAGGCTGGTGCTTTCGTGGCAGGTTCGAAAGCACCCGTAAAACAGAACCTCTGAGAGAGGAAGCATCTCAGACAGCACCCCGATTTAGAAATGGAGGTATATCAACTGTCACCTCACCGAACATGACGTATAGTTGGTAAGTAAGCATATCATTAGGGATGAACATGAAAACAACAAAATACCACTACACACCCGGTGAATAGCCAAGATTAAAAAATTGAAGACCGGACAACGCCAGGTGCTGACAGGAACGCAGGCCGCAGGGAGCCCCATTCCTTGCCGGTGGGAACGCCAACGTGGCAGCCCCTTTGGAGGACAGGCTGGCGCTTCCTCAGCGCTGAACGGACCGTGGAAATTCCTCGGTAGTTATTCAAATGAACTGAAAACTCGTTCATACAAAAACCTCCATGCAAACGTTGAAAAGCAGCTTCATCACAATGGCCAAGACCGTGGAGCAATACAGGGTGGGGAATAGCACGTTTTCAGTTGTGAGTACCTGTCACAGAGCTTATTCTTATAGTGTCGGTTATTAGTTATTGTATTCTCCATACGAACAACTGCGAACTTGGTTTTGCATCACCCTGTATATCCATCAACAAGTGAATGGATAAACAAACCATTGCACATCTGTATAACACAGTGTCATTCTTTTAATTAAAATAAATGAACTAGCAAGCCATGGAAAGACTCTTAAATGTATACTACTACGTGAAATAAGCCAATCTGAAAAGGTTACATTCTATAGGATGCCCATTATTTGACATTCTAGAAAAGGAAAAACTACAGGGACAATGCAGGTATCAGGGGTGGCACAGGGTGAGGAGAGAAGGGCGTGTAGTGGAGCACGGGACGTATTCAGCGTGACGAAACTCTTCTGTGTGCCGCTCTAACGGTGGACTCACGACATTACGCTTTGTGAAAACTCATAGACTTGTGAACTTTAATGGCAAGAATTGGCTCATCAACTGTAACAAATGTGCCACATTTTCAAGACCTTAAAAATAGGGAAACTCTGGGCCAGGAAGAGAGAAAGTATAAAGGAACTTCCTGTACTGTGCTTTCTGCTCATTTTCCTGTAAAACTAAAATTGCCCTAAAAACACCTATTAGTTAAAAAAAAGAAAAAGTGAACGCATTGCCCTGGATGAGAGGGCGGTGGAGAGATCTGGAGTTCATCGTGCTGGCGGCAGAAAACCTCTGGAAGGAGGCAGTTAGAGAAGCGGCTGCACAGACCCCTGGACACCATCTGCACATCAAGGAGAGAGGGCGCCCCTGAGCTGGGAAGCTTAGGAAGCTAGCGGGACACTCCAGGACCTCTGCCAGAGCCTTCTGCTACCACCAAGGAAAATCTACGTCACTACATTTTGAGTTACTGAGAAAGGAGTTCACTTTGCTTCCATACAAGTTTACAGGACACTGTGGTGAGATGTGTGAAATTGACAAAAAAGACTAAATCTTGGTCTTGGATCGCTAAAGTCCTATGAAAAATTGAGAAAAATCTGTAACTCATGAAAGACAGTGTGAGTTAGGGATTAGCTGCTCAGACGAAAATCCCAGCTCTACCACTTACTAGCTAAGAGACCTCAAGGAAGTTACTTCTCTGTGTCTCAGTTTCCTCGTCTGTAAATTGGGAGGATTAAAATAGGTACCTCACAGGGTTGATATGAGAATCAGCTGATTTAATACAGGGTGGGGCAAAAGTAGGTTCACAGTGGTGAGTATGCAAGAGTGTCGTCTGAATAATGACAGACTGCACCAGAGAATTGTAGAGTAATCAGATTCACGGAGGTGGAGGTGCAGTGCATTCCTGGTGGGAAGATTCTGTGTTTTATAGATTTCATGTGTCTTTTTTTTAATCCTTACCTGAGGATATTTTTTCTATTTATCTTCAGATAGATGGAGAGGGAGGGAGAGAAAGAGAAACATCGACATGAGAGGGACACATCCACTGGCTGCCTCCCACACAACGCTCACCAGGGCCAGGGACAAACTGCAACCGAGGCACATGCCCTTGACCAGAATTGCACCCATGACTCATTGGTCCTTGGGCCGATCCTCCAACCACTGAACCAAACTGTCTAGGGCAAGAGTTTATTCTTGTATTATTACTTATTAATTATTGCATTGTTTTTCATAGAAACAACTGTAATCTACTTTTGCCCCACCCTGTAGTTTTAAGTATTCAGAATTGTGCCTGGTACACACATCTCCTAAATATAAGGATCTCTTAAAAATAAATATAAGCCCTGGCTGGTTTGGCTCAGCAGTTAGCCTGCAGACCAATGAGCTTCAAGTTTGACTCCAGTCAAGGGCACGTACCTCCACTGCGGTTCATTCCCAGCCCTGGTCAGGGTCGTGTGGGAGGCAGCCAGTCGATGTGTCTCTCTCACATCGATGTTTCTCTCTCTCTCCCTCTCTCTCCTTTCCTCCCACTCTGTCTGAAGATAGATGGAAAAATATCCTCAGGTGAGGATTAAAAAATAAAAATAAAATGATGAACATCCCAATAACAAATCAAATAAAGATTTAAATAGAAAATTCACAAAAAGAATACATATTTAATCTCATCAGTAATCAAAGAAATGCAAATTAGGATAATAATAAGATGCATTAACTGTCTATCAAATTGAGTAAGATGAAAACAGTGATAATACCCAGCACTGGTAGGATGTGAGGACATAGACATTTTCATACTGTGGGGAGGTAGGGATGTGAACTGGAACTGTCTCAGAGGACAGCAATCCGGCATTCAGATTCCGGCCGGCACTGCTGACTTAGCCGAGTGCTGCACCTTCTTCTCCCTACCAGTAATGCTCGTCTCCCGAGAAAGAGTCACAAGCGTCACATACTGTTTCCCAGCCCAGGGCCCAGCCAGGTCTAGTCAATGAGGTGATGAGATACAAGGGGTAGTCCGCTGGGTGGGGGTGGGGAGGCCTAGTGGAATCTGGAAATATTTTCCTCCCTGATAAAGAGACACTTGAAAGCTCTTGTGTTCACCCCTTTGCTTTCTGCTTTGGAAGTTACTCTGTGAGGACCTCATGCCTGGAGCTGACATGAGCTTCTTGCAACTCTGAGGAAAATGTCAAGAGAGCCAGAGACACTGACTCAGAGCCTTGACATTGATATGCTCAACCAACCCTAAACCAGCAGCCCAGGCACTACAGGTAATGCTGTCTGAGAGATAATGATGTAAGAATATGTCCTCATTTCTTACTACGAGTAAGAAGCAATTCATGAAACAGTATGGAATGCTATGATTCCAATTAAAATTCATATATATATGAATATAGTCACAAAAATGAGAAGTATAATACTAATGATATTGAGGATCTCTTAAAAAATTTTTTTTATTGATTTTAGAGAGAGAGGAAGGGAGTTAGGGAGGGAGAGAGATAGAAACATCGATGAGAGAGAACATCAATTGGCCGCCTCCTGCATGCCCCCCACTGGGGATCAGGCCCACAACCTGGGCCTGCGCCTTGACCAGGAACTGAATCCTGGTGCATGGGTCTGATGCTCAACCACTGAGCCAACTGGCCAGGCTGATATTGAAGATTTATTAAGCACTCGATCTATTATATCCATCATAGAGAGGCTTTAGTTATTACCTTTCTTTGTGATGACAACATCCGATGGTAAGATCTCTGATTTTTGCTGAGAAACTGAGTCCATCAACTCTGCACTGTGAGGACCTGTTGACATCTCGGCAGGCGGACACATGGGCCCTGAATCGGGACTGCTGCTCACGGCGCCATCTGCAAAGAGAACCTGAAGGAAACGCGAGTCCAGAGTTCTCAGGAGCCAGGAGGAGGCTGGTTAACACTCACACTGTGTCAAACTGGAATAGCTTAAACATAATCCACAGAAATGCTATTTGCAGACTTCCAGACTCAACGTGATAAAGCGTCGGACAGACAGGTCCATCTGGAGCTCGGAGACAATAGCTTAATAACCAGCACAGAAAATCACTTTGTTTTTCGTTACCTTCTAGGCTATTTGTTTTCCTTCATTTCCTATCTTTTATTAGATTGACTTTTTGGTTGTTGTTAATCCTCAACCGAGGATATTTTTCCCCATTGTTTTTTAGAGAGAGTGGAAGGGAGGAAAGTAGGGGTAGGGAGAGAGAGAGAAACATTGATGTGAGAGAGACACGTTAATTGGTCACCTCCCACACGTACCCTGACCAGGGCTGGATATTGAATGTGCAACCCAGGTACATGCCCCCTTGATCAGGAATCAAACTCAAGACCTTTAGGTGCTTGGGCCAGCGCTCTAACCACTGAGCAACACTAGCCAGGGCCAGATTGACTTTTTATGTTTCTCCCTTATTCACCCTTCCCCTACATAATTGAAAAATTATCCACCATTTAAATTTTTCTACTGACTACATTTAAAACTTTATCACATATTTAAGTGTTTAGTTTCTGTCGGTATCTATCTAGTGTGTACAGTATGGAGGAGCGCCAATGATACATGCTCTATCCAGTATCAGTATTTACAGTCTCCCGAAGACAGGGTTGCTAACAAGAAGTCCATCTTACTTCTGTTACAGGTGACTGGTTTCCTCAGGAAGCTTTGGGATTGTCTATCTATGTGGCCCTAAAATTGCACTATGGCATATCTACATAATCTTTTAACAATTTGTATCAATCTTGATTGGCCCCTAGTTGTCCTTTTTAATCTAAAGTATTTTTTTCAGCTCTGGGAAAATGTACTATATTATTTCTTTCATTATTTTTCCCTTCAATGCCACTATTTTCTTCTTCTGGAAATCCACATAGCTTCCTTTTCGGTGTCTTTTAATTTTCCAGTCCTTCATGATCCACCTCCCCCATTTTTCACAATTATTATTTTTAATATCTAAGAACTCTTGATTTTTTTCCATCGCAACTTTTTTTTATTGATTGATTTTAGAGAAAGAGGAAGGGGGGAGGGAGAGAGGGAGATAGACAGAGAGACAGACAGACAGAGACATCAATGTGTTGTTCCACTTATTTATGTATTCATTATGTATGTGCCCGGACCAGGGATCAACCCCACAACCTTGGCACACCAGGATGACACTCCAACCAACTGAGCTACCCAGCCAGGGCCCATGGCAACCTTTAAGAATTGTTTTTCTTTTCTTCTTTTTTTTTTTTTACCCAGTCGGTGTGTCGGTGTGGCTCAGTGGTTGAGCATCGACCCATGCACCAAGAGGTCACTGATTCAGTTCATGGTCAGGGCACATGCCCAGGTTGTGGGCCTGATCCCCAGTGGGGGACATGCAAGAGGCAGCCAATCGACGATCTCTCTCATCCATGTTTCTATCTCTCTCCCTCTCCCTTCTTCTCTCTCTAAAAAATCAATAAAGAAAAAAAAAGATTTGAGAAAGTTGGTAAAAAGGAAATTGTTATTTTTATGGACTGGAACCTCTCAAATGCCTGCCTATATTACTTTTACTCAGTTCCAAGTGTTCTTTTAGATTAACTATTTACTCTTATTTTTAGATGTCATTTATTAAGTTACTGAATCTTGTACTTTACGTTCACGGGCTTGGTCTTTCTCCAGAGTTGTTGACTCCTGGCACATGGTCCTATTGTTCACTGAGAACCCCTTTCACTCCTTGGTGCACTGTCTGGTCAGAGGGCCCCTTCCCTGCTGTCTGGGGGGGGGGTGGGGGGGAGCAGGGCGCTTGGTTTCTGGTTCCCACCCTCCAGATGGCAGTGATTTCTCAGCCCAGAGCTCCATTTGTGAGATGTCTGTGTTAGAACTCCCATTTTCAACATTTTGCTGCAGGTTTTTTGTGTTTTTTAAAAAAATATGTTTCAAACTTGGGTTTGGTTCTCCATCATTTGGATTTCATCTGATTTTTTAGGAATTCTCCCAGTCTTCTGGTCCATTGGTGACACATTTTGTTGTTCTCTAGTATTGTTGTGAATTTATTATTTAAAAGTATTTTTCTCTTATTTTAAGGTACTTTGAGAGGGAGAGGAGGTAAACACTGTGTTCAGGCTGTAATCTTGGATCATGTGTAGAACAATACATTTATTTGTACCCTGGATGGCACAGATAGTGTGTTTTCTTTTAACTATATTATCTTTTATTATTTGTCATTTTCAAGTGTCATTCCATTTTCAAATGAGTTGTTTCTCTTTTCTATGTCACAATACTGTTCCTTATCCATAGCTTGTCTGTATGTTACTTTGCAGCAGGAAAGAATAATTTATGTCACATATTCTCGTACCTGTGCAGACCCATCCAACATGTACTTGACCACAGTGCCTTGGCTGGTGATGACTCTCGACGCCTCCTGCTCCACTGGCGGCATCACTGTTTTGTAGACCTCATAGTGCTTCACCCTCTGCGGGTAGCTCTGCCGGACCATGATGTCCCAGGTGGGTTCCTCATCCACACCACATTTATCTTAGAGAGAAAAGAAGGCTTACTGTGAGCGGGGCAATGCTGTGTGGCTGGGGTTTATCTTCTTGCTCTGCACTTATTTCACTCTTTTGTCCACACACAGGAATGGGGCAGTGGCCTCATATGGCAGATGGGCCCGAGTACTGTTCTTTGCTGCCTTTGTTACAGCGAAAGGCAGCATGTAAGGTCATCTACAAGTACTGCATCGGTACCTCCTCTGGGTATAAGCCTCTCTCTCTAATGAAGTCCAGGGAGTCTCAGGGCGAGATCAGGATCGAAGCAGAGTGTGCTGTCTTAGCGCCCCCTTTCTGCCCGCTGTGGGTAAGCTCTCGCCTCGGGTGCTCACCATGCTCCCCTGGCGAGCCCGGAGCCCCAGGGAAAGGCACTCACTCGGCTTGCCCTTCCTAAATCATCCATCATCCTTCAAAGCTAACGGAATCCCCTCATCTCTAACCAAGTCCAGATTTCTCTCAGGGTGCTCCTCTTACAGCTGGCAATCGAGGAGAAAGGCACGTATCACATTCAAGAGAAAGGACTATTATTGAGAGTTAACTCCTGGCACACAGGAGCTCCTAGGCTTCTGTTAATTGAGTGATTTCCTCTTCTCAATCTGTCAAGTGGTTTATTAACATGTAGTGGTGGCATTTCAAGAACTCTATCAGGCTGGTGGTAAAATATTCTGGAATGAGGGCCCTTCATGATACCTCTCAAGTGACAGAAGTAAAAATAATGGTAAAATAATAAACATTTAATGAGATAGTTCTATGTGTTAAATGCTTTGTGTATATATTTTATTCAGCCCAGCTCAACAACCTGTTAAAGTAGGCACTTTAACTTTCCAGAGTTCTTAGAGGGAAAAATGGAGTCCTACAAGGGCTATAACTTCTCCAAGGTCACTGGGCTTAACCATTTTCTTATGCTGTAAAAACAGTCGCTGCTGTTTGTTGACCAAAACAAAAACCTAATATTGGACAATATGTTCCAGTTTAGAAAGTCTTTTCTCATTTAATACTTATAAGAAGTCTGCTTGGTACATGACATTATTCTATAAATGAAGAAATTCTGGTGGAGAGAGGTTATCACTTGTCCGAGGTCACCCAGTTAAGAACTCAAGTTCTTGGCCATTGTGGCTCAGTGGTTAGAGTGTTGGCTTGTGCACTGAAAGTCATGGGTTCAATTCCTGATCAAGGGCACATACCTGGGTTGCAGGTTCGATACTTGACAGGGCGCATGCGGGAGACAACCAGCCCATGTGTCTCTCTCACATTGATCTCTCTCTCTTTCTCTCTCTCCCTTCTACTCTCTCTGCAAATCAACTAAAAAAAATATCCTTGAGTGAGGATTCACAAAAAGGAGAACCGAAGTCTAATATCTCTATTTGTAGAGAACGTAACCTTCGCTCCCTATGCCCAAACTTACCCTGATGACGGTATTGCTACTTTGGCATTTATGTTGTATATATGTTCAGGCTTGAATTAGAACATTTATAATACATGAAAGATTTTTAAAAAATTATGTGTTTCTGACAAGAGTCATTAACTACAATGTCTACCTAGACATAAGGACGAAAATATCAAACTATATAATGAAACTAATAGAAAAGACAGGTGAAACAAGTATTAAGTTGGGATTTGGTAACAGGACCAAGTAAATAAGCAAACAAACACAATGTCCTTGAACTCGAAAACAATATCCTTCTGAGTACACTCAAAGCATCTTCCACTTGGAAAGACCTTTCATGCCCGTAGTCTTGGAAGCACACACAGTGGGTCCCCTCATGGAGAACCTGAACCACTGGGGATCCTTGGAAAGAGAAACAAGAGTCCGTGGTCTATTTTTAATAATTCATAAAACCTAATGAAAAGCAATACTGAGACAAAGAGATCAGCTACAGCATTTAGTTTCTTTTCATATGTCTGGCAAGTAAATATGACAAGTTATTTTAAATAGGCATATTCTTTTCCCTTGATAGATACCCCTCCCTCCCTCCCTCCCTCCCTCCCTCCCTCCCTCCCACCCTCCCTCCCTCCCTCCCTCCCTCCCTTCCTTCCTTCCTTCCTTCCTTCCTTCCTTCCTTCCTTCCTTCCTTCCTTCCTTCCTTCCTTCCTTTGTATATGCCCTTAGCGGGAACTGAACCTGGGACTCTCTAGTCCACAGGCCAACGCTCCAACCACTGAGCCAAACCAGTCAGGGCAATACACTGTTCAAATGCAGTGTACATAAAGGAATTCCAATAAAGATCTTTGGTTGTGAAAAAATCAGGATCCACTGATATAACGGTTACCAGGTGAAAAGATATGGTCCAGAGACGGTAAGTAATTGAAAGGGCTGCTTAGTTGGTTAGAACTCAAGTCCTGGTTCTGTGCTGGCGTTGTACCTGCTATTTCTACAACAATAGTGGGTCTGCACTCAAATAGTATTCAAATTAAATCACTCATGTAATGGCCCAACAGGTTAATTAAAGAAGTCCTACCTGTACTTATTTATTCATCTCAATAGGTTAGGAGTCATGTACAAAATCAATGCTGCCCTGGCCAGTTTGGCTCAGCGGTTAGGACGTCAGCCCGTGGACCAAAGAGTCTCAGGTTATATTCAAGTCAAGGGCTATACCCCAGTTGCGGTTCAGTCCCCAGCCCTGGCTGGGGTCGTGTGGGAGGCAAGCAATCTCTTTCTCTATTTCTCTCTTTCCCTCATACTCTATGAAGATAAGTGGAAAAATATCCTCAGGTGAGGATTAAAAAAATAAAAATAGAAAGACTATAATTATATATCGACACCTTGGAATAACACAGCTTTTCTTCACCCATTTAGCCTGCAGCCGTCTCCCGGTCCTTTGTTTGGACCAGATGAGCAGGGCAGGGCCACAGGGCCACATGGTAGTTCTAAGAGCACTGCTCTGCCCCGACTGGACCTAGAACGGAATTTCACTTCTGCCACCTGGGATGTCAGTGGCCTTGGGCGAGCTCCTGGACCTCTTGAAGCCTCAGTTTCTTTCTTTTGTAAAAGGAGATGATAAGGACTTAGCTTCTAGTAGCTGCATTTTGTCATATATGGTAAGTACTTAAATAGTGCTTAAAAAATGGCTATTATATTTACTAGCCTATTATTCCTTATCAACAACAAGTATGTTTAACTGGCAGGAAAATACCCAGTTTCAATGGTGATTGAAGTGTTTTCTACATGGCTTTTTGCCCCTCTGCCCCCCTCCCTCACCCCAGTTGGCACTCACCCACTGACTCCTGTCCAATGAAGGTCACCAGGAGCCCATTGGGGCAAGACACATTTAGGTTTTGGAAGCTGGGAACGAAAACAGCCTCTTGTAAAACAGGTTCTGGTTCTACTTCTTCCTGTAAATAATTTAACATGTGAATAATTGCTTGTCATTTTATAAGTGAGTTATTGATTTACTATGACCAAGCAAGAACTTGCTGAGTGCTTAGGGTATGACTTGCCCAGGACCCCTGGGCCCCACAAGGATAACGAGTCTCCACCCTTCGAGCGATGTATGTCCTGCTTGTAGAGGGGCACACAGACGTGTGAAACAGTTAAACGACAGTACTGAATGCTCGGTACGACTTTCCTCAGAAAAGGAAGCTATCAAAGTAATGACAATAATTAGGAAAAAGAATCATGGGGGAGCTGGGGCTAGAATTAGGGGAGGTGGAAGGGCAGACCAACCTCCCCACTATCTTCATTGTGCAATTCTCACCGTTAGAATTCCAGAGACATTATGCTCTTAGTATACGTGTCCTTATTATTCTATAATGAGCAAACATTGCTTTTGTATTAAATAAAAATAAAATAATAGATAATTAAAAAGTTATTTATAAGATTCCAAAATGGCGGCGGAGTGAACGGAGCTACACAGAACGTCTCCCAGGACCAAACAAATTACAACTAAAACACAGACAAATCGATGGGAAAAACCAACAGAAAAGCAGCTTGCGAGGACAATATAACCAGGGACACAGACTCCATCCCGGTAGGCTTGCGAAGGCGCGAGACGGGGCTGGGAGCCCACGGTCAGCAGCTCGGCAGAGGCCTTAGCTGTGACCTGCGCCCTCGGGTCACACTCCCAGGCGGCTCCACAGCGCAGCCGGGACAGAGGCTAAAACAGCCACAGCCACTCACCTTGGGCTCCGGCAGAGGGAGGGCAGACTGGACTGGAGCTGTGTCGGGACACTCGGGATTTGGAGGGCGCTCAGAGCTTTTGCTGAGTTGCAGTCACGCAGGACTGTGGCAATATTGCTCCTTCCAGGGCTCTGGGGAGAGGCAGGAGCCCCTCCCTCGGAGATCCAACCCCACGCTGTGGGCCACTGAATGCTAATTGAGGCTCACTAACAACCAGCATCTGCCCCAACCTCGGGAAATCCCCTTACCCCGAGCACCTGAGGGAGTTTTTCAATCAACTAACAACCCCAAACTCATCAAGTAACCTCGACTGCTAGCCTCCAGGCAAAAAGCTAGAGAATAACAGTACCATTCCCTGGGCTAGCAACTCTAACCAGGAAAGGAAGACTTGACAGTGGTGTTTAACATGGGTCCTTCCTCACTCATCTAAACCCAGGAGAGGGAGCCACAAACAGCAGAACACCAAAACCCACAGGGAAAACTTGGCAGGCTCCAAAGCGCACTGTGATAGCCAAAATGGTGAAACAAAGAAACAAAAGTCAAATGAAAGAACACGAGACCTCCACTGAAGATGAGATCAATGTGGAGCAGTTAGGCAAGTTCACAGAGCTAGAATTCACAGTCATGATCTTGAGGAAGCTCCACAGCATGAGTAAGGACATAGAAATGCTGAAAATAAACCAATTGGAAATTAAAAACCACCAAGAAGAGATCAAGAGTGACATATCAGAAATAAAGAACACTTTGGAAGGTCTAAAGAGCAGAGTAGAGGAAGCTGAGGACCGGATCAGTGAATTAGAAGACAGGGTAGAAAAAATCAATCAATCAGAAAACCAAAAGGAAAAAACAATTAAAAAACAGGAAGACAGCTTAAGAGAACTGTGGGACAACTGGAAACGTAATAATATTTGCATCATAGGAGTCCCCGAAGAAGAAGAAAATGAGCAAGAGTTAGAGAATATGTTTAAAGAAATAGTAACAGAAAACTTCCTTAAGTTGGTGAAGGAAGAAGGCATTCAAGTTCAAGAAGCACAGAGAGCTCCAAGTAAGAAGAACCCAAACAGGCCCACACCAAGACACATAGTAATTTAAATGCCAAAAATTAAAGACAAAGAGAGAATCCTAAAAGCAGCAAGAGATAAGCAAAAGGTTATCTACAAAGGAAACCCCATATGGCTCTCAGCTGACTTTTCAACAGACACACTACAGGCCAGAAGGGAATGGCATAAAGTAATCAAGGTTATGAAAAACAAGGATCTGAATCCAAGACGACCCAGCAAGGCTGTCATTCAAAATAGAAGGTCAAATAAAGAGCTTCCCAAACAAAAAAAGGCTAAGGGAATAAATTACCACCAAACCAGCACTACAAGAAATGTTAAAAGGACTGTTGTAATTAGTAAAAGAAATAGGAAGAAAAATATAACCAAACTAAACAAAAATGGCAATAATAAGCACATATCAACAATCACCTTAAATGTAAATGGACTGAATGCTCAGATAAAAAGACACAGAATAGCTGACTGGATAAGAAAGTATGACTCATCTATATGTTTCTACAAGAGACCCACCTCACAACAAAAGACTCACGTAGGTTGAAAGTGAAGGGATGGAAAAAAATTTTCCAAGCAAAAAGAAAGGAAAAAAAAGCTGGGGTAGCAATATTCATATCTGATTAAATAGATTTCAAAATGAAGACCATAACTAGAGACAAAAAAGGCCACTACATAATATTGAAAAGATCTATCCAACAGGAAGATATAACCTTGATAAACATATATTCATCCAATATGGGAGCACCAAAATATATTTAAAATCTTCTGGAGGACTTCCAAGGAGAAATCGACAGCAATACAATCATAGCAGGGGACTTCAACACCCCATTGACACCACTGGATAGATCATCTAGACAAAAAATTAGCAAGGAAATAAAGACTCTAAATGAAGCACTAGACCAAATGGATTTAATAGATATCTACAGAGAATTACACCCCAAAACTACAGAATTCAAATTCTTCTCAAGTGCACATGGGACATTCTCAAAGATAGACCACATGATAGGACACAAACTAAATCTCTACAAGTTCAAGAAGATTGAAATCATATCAAGCATCTTCTCAGATCACAATGGCATGAAACTAGAAGTCAATTGCAACAAGAACATGCAAAGACATTTGAACACATGGAGGCTAAATAGCATGTTATTAAACAATGAATAGGTTACCGAGGAAATCAAGGAAGAAATTAAAAACTTCCTGGAAACCAATGAAAATGAACACACAATACAAAAATCTGTGGGATGCAGCAAAAGCAGTTCTGAGAGGGAAGTTCATAGCACTACAGGCCTACCTCAAGAAACAAGAAAAATTTCTAATTAACTGTCTAACCTCACAACTTATAGAATTAGAAAGCAAACAAAAAGAAAACCCCAGAGCAAGTAGAAGGAAGGAAATAGTAAAGGTCAGAGCAGAAATAAATGACATAGACCATAAAAACAATTCAAAGGATCAATGAAACAAAGAGCTGGTTTTTTGAAAAGATAAACAAGGTTGATGGACCCTTAGCTAGACTCACCAGGAAACAAAGAGAGAGAACCAAATACACAAAATCATAAATGAAAGAGGAGAAGTAACAACTGACACCACAGAAATACAAAAGATCGTTAACAGCTACTATGAACAATTATATGGCAACAAATTCGAGAATCTAAGAAAAATGGACAAATTTCTAGAAACACACAGTTTCCCAAAACTGGACCGGGAAGGGATAGAAAACTTGAACAGACCAATAGCAACTAAGGAAATTGAAGAGGTAATCAAGATTCTTTTAGCAAACAAAAGCCCAGGCCCAGATGGCTTCACAGGGGAGTTTTACCGAACATTCAAAAAAGAACTAACACCCATTCTCTTCAAACTATTTCAAAAAATTCAAGAAGGAAGACTTCCAAACTCGTTTTATGAAGCCAGCATAATTCTAATTCTAAAATCAGAAACAGACACTACAAAGAAAGAAAACTACAGGCCAATATCTGTGATGAACATAGACGCCAAAATCCTGAACAAAATACTAGCAAATCGGATCCAGCAATACATCAAAAAAATTATTCATCATGACCAAGTGGGATTCATCCCAGGGATGCAAGGCTGGTACAATATTCACAAATCAATAAATGTGATACACCACATAAACAAAATGAAGTATAAAAACCACAGGATCATATCAATAAACTCTGAAAAAGCATTCGAGAAAATTCAGCATCCATTTCTGATAAAAATGCTCAGCAATATGGGAATAGAGGGATCATATCTCAACATAATAAAGGCCATATATGAAAGACCTACAGCCAACATCATATTCAATGGGCAGAAACTGAAAACATTTTCCTTAGGAACAGGAACAAGACAGGGATATCCACTTTCGCCACTCTTATTTAACATAGTACTGGAAGTCTTAGCCACAGCAATCAGGAAGAAAAAATAAAAGGGATCCAAATTAGGAAAGAGGAAGTGAAACTGTCATTATTTGCAGATGACATGATACTATACATAGAAAACCCTAAAGACTCCATCAAAAATTTCTCGACTTAATAAATGAATTTGGCAAAGTAGCAGGATACAAAATTAACGTCAACAAATCCACGGCATTCTTATGCACCAATGATGAACTCACAGAAAAAGAAACTGAAAAAACAATCCCATTTACCATCGCAGCAAAAAAATTAAGATACCTAGGAATAAACTTAACCAAAGAAGTAAAGGACCTATTTGCAGAAAACTACAGGACATTGAAAAAAGAAATAGAGGAAGATATAAAAAAGTGGAAGCACATACCTTGTTCATGGATTGGAAGAATTAACATCATTAAAATTTTCATATTACCCAAAGCAATCTATAGATTCAATGCAATCCCCATCAAAATACCAATGGTATACTTCACAGAACTAGAACAAATACTTCAAAAGTTCATGTGGAACTAAAAAAAACCCTGAATAGCCACAGCAATTTTGAAAAATAAGGACAAAGTAGGTAGGATCACAATACCAGATATCAGGTTATACTACAAAGTGACTGTCATCAAAACAGCCTGGTATTGGCACAAGAACAGGCATATAGACCAGTGGAACAGATTAGAGAACCCAGAAATGGTCCCAAGGCAATATGCTCAATTAATATTTGACAAAGGTGGCAAGAGCATACAGTGGAATAAAGACAGCCTCTTTAATAAAAGATGTTGGGAAAATTGGACAGCTACATGCAAAAAAATGAAACTAGACCATCAACTTACACCCTACACAAGAATAAACTCAAAATGGATAAAAGACTTAAATGTGACCCGTGAATCCATAAAAATTCTATAAGAAAATGTAGGCAACAAAATTTCAGACATACGCAGCAGAATTTTCACTGGTACATGACCTAAGGCAACAGAAACAAAGGAAAAAATGAACACATGGGACTACATCAAACTAAAGGGCTTCTGCACAGCAAAAGAAACAATCATCAAAATCAAAACAATCATCAAAATCAAAATCAAAACAATCATCAATCTCCCACTGTATGGGAGAACATCATTGCCAATGATACATCAGATAAGGTGTTAATTTCCAAAATATATAGAGTACTCATACAACTCAACAAAAGGAAGACAAAGAACCCAATTAAAAAATAAGCAGAGGAGCTGAATAGACACCTCTCCAAACAGGACATACAAATGGCCAAGGGACATGAAGAAATGCTCAATATCACTAATCATCAGAGAGATTCAAATTAAAACATCAATGAGGTATCACCTCACACCTGTCAGAATGGCCGCCATCAACAAATCATCAAACAACAAGTGTTGGCGAGGGTGTGAAGAAAAGGGGACTCTAGTGCACTGCTGGTGGGAATGCAGACTGGTGCGGCCACTATGGAAAACAATATGGTGTTACCTCAAAAAATTAAAAATTGAACTGCCATTTGACCCAGTGATCCCGCTTCTAGGAGTATACCCTAAGAAGCCTGAAATACCAATCAGAAAGAATATATGTACCCCCATGTTCATAGCAGCACTATTTACAATAGCTAAGATCTGGAAACAGCCCAAGTGTCCATCAGTAGATGAATGGATAAAAAAGCAGTGATACATATACACAATGGAGTACTATGCAGCTGTAAGAAAGAAAGATCTCTTATCCTTTGGACGACATGGAGGGACCTGGAAAGTATTATCCTAAGTGAAACAAGCGAAGCAGAAAAAGACAAATACCACATGATCTCACTTATATATGGAATATAATGAATATAATGGTCTGAGGAATAGGGTAGACCCAGAAACACGGAAGTAGGGTAAAGACTGACAATCCTCAGAAGAGGGTGTGGTGGGGAGTGGGAAGAGATAAACCACAGAACTTATATGCATGTATGCATAACCAATGGACGTGGACAACAAAGCTGGGATCGGGGCGAGGGTGGGGGTAGGGAGGAGGGTGTCAATGGGGTAAAAAACGAGAAACATCTGTAACAAAAATAAAATTGAAAAATAAATAAATAAAAAAGTTATTTATAAATTAATGAGGGTTTGAGTATGTCTACTTAAAAATAGTAATTAAGCCCCGGCAGGTGTGGCTCAGTTGGTGGGTGTCATCCCATGCACTGAAAGGTTGCTGTTCAACACCTGGCGTTGCAGGCTGGCGCTCTGGCGGGGGGAGGGTGCAGGAGGCAGGGGCTCAGTGTTGCATTTTCAATGTTTCTCTCTCTGAAAATCAATAAAAATATATAAAATACTAAGTAATTGTATGCTAACTATGCCTAAATGCCTTGTTTGTTTATGTGTGCTGCAAAATGGAAACTTTTCTGGAGCACACATCCAATCCCTAATGATAATCATTTCAGTTTTTCCACTTGGCTCTCTCGTTAGCCACTAAAATCATTCCAGCTGATCTCCCTTTGCTGGATCTGCAGTTTATTCTAACTAGGCTACTATTATTGATCACTTACATTTTCTGTCTTTGTTACTAACAGAGAATAAAATCTGAATAGTTAGCTGAAAATCAATTAAAAACACAAAGCACAATTAAGAGGAAAAGCCTTATGAAATTCTGTCAAGTGAGTCCGGCCGGTATGGTTCAGTGGTTGAGTGTCGCCGGTTCGATTCCCAGTCCGGGCACATGCCCAGGTTGTGGGCCAGATCCCCAGTGGGGGGCATGCAGAAGGTGGCCAATTGGTGTTCTCTGTCATCAATGTTTCTATCTCTCTCTCCCTCTCCTTTCCTCCCTCTCAAAAATCAATAAAGGAAAAAGAAATTTAAAAAGAATTTCTGTCCAGTGAATGATAATACTCAGACTCAAACCTGCCATGACAAATCTATCATCACCCACAAAACCAGTAATTATACCCCCCTTTTCATTATTGCCAATTAAAAAAAATGTTGGGTGAACCAACTGGTGTATTACCAAATTGCTTTCAGCCAAATTAATGGGATTATTCTGTTCATTACTTGAACATTTTTACTTACCGAATGTCCTAGCTTGAGAAAACGCATCTAGTACAGCTATGTAAGTATGGAGAAAAGGCTAAGTAACATTCAAACCCCACAACTCTTAAAGGGCTAGAGTCTGAAATCAAGGTCTCTGATCATTTTCAACACATTTTCTTCTTGTAATAAGTTTGGTATTTGTACATTGTATAAACGGAACAACTGTAGCAGTAAAAGAGTGAAGATTTGATCAGTTGGTTCCGTCTTTCTTTCTTTTGATCTGTATTTTTCTATTAGGAAAATGGTTAGAGGTAAAGCATGTGGTGTGTGTGTATGTGTGCATTTGGTGAAGGGTTGGAGATAGAGGGTGGACTCCTCTAGAAGAGGGTTGTCCTTCATGTTGCTGAATTCTTAGCACGTCAGTCAATACCTAAGTCCAAGGCTGCCAAATGTAAATGTTTCCACTCTTTAGAGAGTCTCCTCTTCCAGTGTTGCATCTCAGTGGAACTAAACAAATCATTTAAAATAAGAAATGGTAGAACTTGTAAAAGCACCCAAGAACCAGGGCGGGAAAAAAGTTGAAGTAGTCATTCTGAATTTAGAATGAGTGACTGAGGTAGTTTGTATATGACAGTATGTCTCCTGGCCTGAGAATTTAACTCCTGTGAGCAAATCTCTTCTTGTTCACTCAGAATGGAAACTTCAAGAAATGTTAATGCATCTGCACCATAAAATATATGCACTGTCACGACACTATTGATGTGACTCATGATTTTTAGAGCGTTGACATGGAGGCAGAAGCACACTTTAGAACCCATGGCAGGGCCCATGCACCTTTTTTTCTTCTTCTTTTGGGTGCTCCTCTTCTTTAAGAGAGTCTTTGGGTTTTTCTCTGCCTTTGGGTTTCACTTTTCCTTTGGCTTGAGGAACAGGCACTATCACAGGAATCACTGTGGGAAGGAGTGCTGATGGAATATTCAGCATTGCTTCCAAGTTAGGGTCCTTGTCCTCTGTAAGGAGAAAACAGTAATTAGACATCTACATCTGATATGTTCATTAGATAAAAAGTACATCTCATGCATTCATACATGTCGGCAACAATTTCAACCTTGCTGAATATGATGTATCAGTTGGACAGATTTCAGGCATCGTGTAGTTGATTTGAAAGTCAAGATTGTAGATAAAGTATTGGAGGTTAATGCAATGATATATTTGATGGAGTCATTATTTCACATGTTCTTGCCTTCCCATCTATATTATAAACTCCTAATGATAGAGCAGTAACCACCTCTTCATTTAATTGAGACATATTTATTGAGAAACTCTTATATACAAAATATTTGGAGTAGTGGGAAATAATTGAAACAAAACAAAACAAAACAAAACACGAAAGACCTTACAAAGCCAAAATAAGATCTGCACTCAAATAACTTCAATTCAAGGACATATTAAATAGGAACATAATAAGGGATACAAACAAGGAAATTCAGAAAAGACAATTTCTAAGCTGAGAGGACAAATGAAGTTTTCTTGTAGAAGATTGCTTTCATTTGGGTTTAAAAACTGTCAGAATTCTAAAAGGAGAGCTGATCTGTGGAGAGTTGTGTTGGGAGCCTCTGAGCGTTCACTCCTCCTTGAATTTTATTCTCCTCTGGGTTCCACGCCGCCGCTCCCACCTGGATCTCCTTTTCCCTCTCTGGCCGGTTTTTTCTTAGCCTCCTTTACTGATTCTTCCTCTTTTGTCAATCTGTGCAATGTTGCTGGTTCCGGTGCTCTCCCCCTCATCCTTATACGACAGATGTCCTCAACGTGGGCTGCCCATGACTACTCATGGAACCCAACGGGACAGCCAGTGCTCAGGCCCCCACCTTGAGCTCCTGTACCAGACTGGGGACGGGGCCCAGGCATTCATCTCTGTGAGACGTCACATGTGGTTGTGATGCTCAGCCTGGGCCGAGTACTCGGTAAGATAGGTCGGGTCTGAGCGATCACCTTCAGGACTGGGGCTGCAACTGTCATCCACTTGCTAATGACTCCAAGATTGACATTTCAAGACACAACCTTTCTTTTCTCAGCCCCGGATGCTTATTTCCAGCTGCTTTTGGATGTCTCTCCCTGGTTGTGGTACTGGACACATTTCAGACTCGGTAAGTGGCTCCTCGCCCAAGCCGGGTGCCCTCTCTCGTGCTCACTCTCGTTAACGCCATGACCCACGAGGCACCTTACTCTCAACTGGGACATGGAAGTCATTTGCATTTTCTCCTTTTGACTCACCTCCTACATCCAAGCCCTCAGAAATGTCTCTCAAATCATGCCTCCCCTATCTAATCCTAGCACCTCAGCTCAGATTCTCACTTTCTCGTGCTTACATTTTTTGCACAAGTTTCCTAACTGGTATCATGACACCTCCAATATCACCACTCAGTGTACTTTCCAAACTGTCACTGAAAGTATGTTCCTGAAACAGATCTGATCATGTCACTTATGTGAAGACCTCTGCCACTCACTGCTCACCCAGGACAACGTTCACCTTCCTCCCCCCAGTCACACTCCACTGTCCCCTGTTCTGTAGAGATGGACGCTTTCACAAAATCCAGTATCCTTACAGATGGTTCTTACTGTCTAGAATTCCTGTTCCTCGTTGCTTAGTGGGGATAATTCCCACTTCTCTCTAAAGCCCCATCTCAGATGCTTTGCCTTCTGTCTGAAGTACTTTCTAGCTGCTCCAGTACTCTGTTTACACATAATTTCTACCACTTACGCAGTTATTTTTCTGTTTTCTTTTCCCATTAGACAATGGATTCTTTGAGTAATGGTACCATAGTTTCATTCATATCGGTGATGAATGACCCATTAGAAGCACGGTATGTAAACCAGTGGATGACATCTAGTTACAGGAGCTAGCTGGAAACTCCTCCCCCTCACTCCCATCCATTTACTCATTCGGTAAATATTTATGGAGTACCTAGTACTATAAATTGGGTAGCCAATGTGAGTGAGACTGAGAGGAACTTGTAATGGGCAGTTCCAGTAAAGAAACCCTCAGGTACAATGCAGTGTGCTCAGTCCGTGAGGGAGGAGTACAGAGGCGTGGGAACCCAGAAGAAGGTTATTAACATAAAACGCCTCGGTGCAGCCCACACTGGGCCATACTGCATAGGTCGCCTTTCCATCAAGGTGTCATGATTTTAGATCACTGAGCTTGGTGCACACTGTTCCTGGCATCTAGAAGCCCCTGCCTTAGAGTCTCTGCCGAGGCCATTGTCACTCACCTCCAAAACCCAACTCTCACGCTGTGCTGCTTGATCCGAAGCATTTCACAGAGCAAGTCAGCTATAAGCTGAGACCCGAGTGTGGGAGGAAGTTCACTTGTTGGAGGTGGTGGTGTAAGTAGCAAGAGACCGTGCTAGGGCAGGAGGCACAGCATGAGAGGGTGTGTTACAGATAAGAGAGAGCAGAGTTCACTCGAGGAACCAACAGGCACAAGAGGAACAGGGAGCGAGATGTGAAAACAACCTAAAGGTCCATCGGCAGACGACTGGATACGTAAAATGTGGTACATACATATGATTCCGTTTTTAAAAAGAAGAAAATTCTGCAATATCTGGAAACATGGATGATCCTTGAGGACATTGTGCTAAATGAAATAATCAAGTCACAGAAAAGTAAATGCCACATGATTCCCCTAAATGAGGTATTTAAACTAGTCAAATTCCATCAGAATGGATGGTGGTGGCCAGCGGCTGTGGGGAGTAAACTGGAGTTACTGATCAATGGGCACGCCGTTTCAGTTAGGGAAGGGGAACAGGCTTAGAGAACTGTATATCCCCAGTTAAACGGGAGAATGAATTGGAAACTTGCTTAGCCATTAGCAGGTAAATGTTCTCAAATATTAGTATAATATGCATCCTTAAGGAATTTATTATATATATATTAATTAATTATATATATGTTAATTAATACATATATGTGTGTGTATTTTATATTTTTTTTACAAAAATTAGTGCCTTCAATTATTTTTAATACATAGGAAGTAAAAATTACTTATCCACACTATAAACATTTTCAAATGTCATACTTAAAACCTGAAATTAGCACCATTTTAAATGAAATAATTGCATATTACTTAAAGATTAAATCAAGAATAAGAAAACCAGGAAACAGCAGCAACATAGTCAACAGAGAGTAGACTGTCAGTACTTTAATCTAACATAATGATAACCTATGTTCAGAGGGGATAGAAGTTTTTAGTGACTGTGCGTGATATAAATTTAAATACATAATCTGTTAGACACTGAATGACTTTTCCAAGTGCCAGTTTAAGAACAAATCAAATACAAAATTAAAAGACAAAAATCCCAACAAAATAAAAATACTAACAGATTTAATGGGCTCTCTAACTCACTGGAATATTACAATATTTGGCACAAGGTAAGACACTGGATTATATACATCCATGAAATGTGTCTCTGCAGAAATGCAAGTCCATAGTACGACAGGTTATTAAATCACCACGCTCTACACAGTTTTAAGGCTATATAGCACAGGGATTATCTTTTGATTTTTGTAAAGCTTTTAAAAAATCTGTTGTGGTTAGATTCCTGTAAAATGCATGGGAACCCACAAGATTTTCTAGTTAGTTTCTGGTAAAGTGACATTATTTTGCGGTTTGTAAGGAAATAGCTTCCAGTTGAAGAATTTGTTTATTAAAAATGGGGTAAAGAAATCCTTCAAGATGTCCATGAATGGCTCCTTTAAGACCAATGTTCTGAGGCACTCTGAGTAGTGGTTCTCTAATCGCAGGATTCATAAAAACAGTATTCGGTAGAAAACCAAGAGGATTCCTTGGCAAATCATGCTTTCTTTGGCACCAGCTAACAGACTTATCTTCCTAGGCTAGTTAACAAAGATAACTGAAATATATATGTGTGTATATGTGATCTCAGATGTCTGTGTGGTTATAAGATTTTATATGATAAATGTTTCAAAGAACTTTTCCTTTCTAAGTATGTGTATGTACGTACGCACACGTCCATGTACACACCTCAGGTGCATTCCCACCCTTCAGGAAATGAGGGGCTTTCCATCAGCACGTGCTCAGCAGCACGCGAGCAGCCGGAGGATGGCAGGCACCCTCGGCCATGGGACCCTCGTGCTCTGTCACGTCTCTGTCACCTGGCACAGCTCCACTGGATCCATAGTAACTGATCGACAGGCAGATTCCATTTTCCAAAGTGGCAGAAAAAGACCCAAACTTGCTGACAGCCTTATTCTTTGATTGTTCTGAAAGACGAAAGCAAATCGAGGACATTTCCATTTTAGTAAAAAGGAATAGGAGCCAAACTCAGTGCGAAGTGGAAATCAACTAAATACACAACAACATGAATATCATTAAGTAAATTATAATATATATATCAATGAATAAATATAAAATCTATTAACAAGTTTGTTTTCAATTACTATTTAATGAATAAAAAAAAGCTCACGATGATAAAGAAAGAAATGCACTACGAATAGTGGTCACTGTAGGAGTGGTAGAGTTATTGGCCACTCTTCTTCTTCTTCTTCGAATATTCCTATATTCCCTAACATTTTATAATAAACCATATATTTTTATATCAAGAAAAACAAAACATTAATTAAAAAAATGTTTGTTTTAAGTTCTTGGGTACATTCAAACTTGTCAAACACTGTGTTCTTGAGTTTGAAAAATACTGTGACCATAACTAAGTTTATTAGCAAGACTTAGTTATTGTTTTTATTACTAACTTGAATCCAAAACATTTTACTAATGAACTCATCTCCTTTTGCAGGTATAATCTGCATCACATTGTGCAAGAAGCAATTTCCCCATTGGGTGTTGCCTAGAGATGTCAAATCGTCTTATCAGGAAGTTTCATGGTGTATAATCAATGGACAGCCACTTGGAAGTCTCTTCTATAAGCAGATAGAGACTCCCATGGTCAAATTTAGGAGTTTTCTCTTGTCCCTGCAACTTGAGACATTTGATACTATAGGGAGAACTAAGTAATAGAGCACAGGAGGAAACCCTTCATTTGCAATGAATATTGGAGAGAAGTTAAACCTTCAGTATGCATCAACTAAAAAGGACCTGATACAAGTGCATAAAACAAAATTCAGGCCAGAAAGGACACTGCAAACTCAGTGTTACTAGATAAAGGTAGCCAGGCTAGGTAGACGCTGTATTACAACTGGAATCAAAAGCTGGGTGCCCAGAGGGGACAAAACCAAGTAAGTAGCCCACTATGGGCTATGCATATAATGTATATACACATGCTCTGTCATGTCTCTTTCATTAGGGAAAATGTGTATAGCCAGAATGACAAAACACTTCAGTTACCAGAGAGGAAAATCACATGCTAAATGCAGGAACGCGTGTGTATTTTGTCAGGTGGATGGGCTGAACACATTGCTGAATTATTGACCGCAGAGAGGACTCTGCTTACCTGCTTCAGTACATTGTTCTCCCTCTCTTCCTTTCTTCTCATCTTCGGAAGAAGAATCCTCTTCTTCTTTCTCCTTTTTTATAATTTTTTTAGGGTCTTTTAAATGAATTATAAAATGGTGTTTGTCCTTTTTCACTTTCACTTTGATAAATGTTGAGCCTGGGGAAGGATCATGGGATAGAAGACGGGCTGATTGTGATGCCTGTTAAGTTCCTTGAGAAGACATTGAAAGAATGTAACATAGAATTCAAGCCAGGAAATGGAAATGCCTGGGATGTCACCACTTTTGTTAAAAGATGCCTAAAGCAATCAGTGATGGTAGAATTCGAGGAATATAAGGCAGGTGGATCAGGGAGATATTTGCTGCCTTTCTATTCACATCTCAAATCAAATCAAAGAAAATAAATTGGCTGAGACTAATGTATACTTATACTCGACTTTAATCACATGACATAATATGAAAGGGTTTTGCAACTTATACAGAATTACATAAACAGTAGTTATTATTGTTAGTAAGAATTTTTCTAATACTACATTCTCTCTTCTCGTGTTCTGACTCATTTTTGTCTCCTCTCTCAGTGTTTTCTTCTTTTTTAATCCAGTTTGAGCACATTATCACCTCGCAAAATTGATAGGATTAGGATAAAAATTTTGCATTTACTATGAACCATCTGAGACTTATATATATTGTATGCATATACAAATCCCACTAAGAGTGAGAAATGGTCATTGAAAATACTATTACAATACCATTACAAAACTTGAGTCCAGTGTTTTTCTCAGTTATGTGATTCTGAGCTCCAATTCGAATGACTAATAATTGTATACTATTCTTAGAGATGATATTCAAAACATGAAATACTAATGCACATGACAGTATAAATAAATATGCATACTTATAGAGTAATAAAATCTCTTTCATGTTTTATTTTATTTTTAAATTTTTTTATCTTCACCCAAGAACATTTTTGCATTTATCTTCAGATAGAGCAGGAGGGAGAGAGTGGGGGGAGAGAGAGAGAGAGAGAAACATTGATGTGAGAGAGACAATCGACTGGTTGCCACCCACACGATCCCAACCAGGGCCAGGGACAAACTGCAACCGAGGTAGGTGCCCTTAGCGGGAACCAAACCCAGGACTCTTTGGTCCTCGGGTCAATGCTTAATCGCTGAGCCAAACTGGCCAGGGTGTCTCTTTCATGTTTTAAATAAACCTTATTTAAAAAATGGTCTGGCATTTGATATGTCATACCACAAACCATTCTTTAAATAATATGAATAATTTGCAGTCCTCACTTGAGGATGTGATTCTATTGATTTGAGAGACAGAGGAAGGGAGAGAGAGAAAGAAACATCAATGTGAGAGAGATATATTGATCTATTGCCTACCGTATGTGCCCCAACCCAGGATCACACCTGAAACCTTTTGGTGTACAAGACAACACTCCAGCCACTGAGCCATTGGTCAGGGAGGCTTTTTTGTTTTGAAACCCATTGGTGTGATCCTTTATGTGATGTGGCGGTTACTATCTAATGATGCTTCCACTTGAGTCATGATTTCACATAGGGAATAGCATCTAACTCTTGCCATAATTTCCTTACTAAATTGATAGTCATTAGATGACAAGAAGAATGAAAGGGAAGGAAGGAAGGAAGGAAGGAAGGAAGGAAGGAAGGAAGGAAGGAAGGAAGGAAGGAAGGAAGGAAGGAAGGAAGGAAGGAAGGAAGGAAGGTTGGTTAGGGAGGGAGAAGGGGTGGGCTGGAGGCAGACTGTGGGGGTGGGAGGAACCTATGTTGTCCCTTGCTGAGGTGCATCACCTTGTGGACATTAAACAGGGTACGGCTCACATCCTCCACACTGACCTCTCAGCTCTCAGAGACCACTGATCCCTACCGGACAATAAGCTAACAAATAAAACCCAGTCCTCAAACCTACCTGAGGAATCTTTAAAGCACATGAAAGATCAGCCCTGCCAGATGCCTCTGACGGGTCCCTGAGGCCATATCTGCACTTTTCTGAGAATAATTAAGCATTTCTTTCAGGGTTTTCCAGACTCGGTCTTCCTCAGCTCATCCGTCCCTCGCCCTCTTAAAGACTTCTGAATCCAGAGGCAATTTCTCTGTTGCTAAAATAGCTGGATATCGGCAACAGGCCCCCAAGCTCTGCCCCAGAGCCCAAATGAGACATTTGCTCTAAACTCACAGTATGTGCTTGGCTACTGGGAAAACACTATGTGTTGTACTTAATATTATTAACTATTTGCTGATTGCAGTCACTATTATACTATCTCCCACTGATACAGAAATATTTAAATATTTTAACAAGTGGAGTTTCCTATCTGAGTGTCCCAGCTAACCTTGCAGGGGGCCTGTGCCTGGCGGATCAGTTGCAGCAGAGGAATGTGAAGTCTGGCAGTGTTCAATGTCGTGGGCCCGTGGCCACTCTCGCCTATCACACTCAGGAGTGCCAGGGCCCCAGGTGAGCCATTAACTGTCTGCTTTCAAAATGTACCTTTTTCAAATGTTGTCTTTTCTACTTCAATCTGTCCTCCATCCGAAGGATACAGATAATAATTCGTGCCCGAGATTTGGATGGGTATATCTCCCATATTGTATCCATGAAACTACAAGAGAAAACATCATGCTTTGAGTGTGGAACAGTAACCAACAAAAATCAGCTCATCAGCTTAGTTGCTCTAAGCTTCATTTCTGCTGAAGGATTCGTCTGTCACTGTGGACTCAGACCAGTGCCCACATTAATGTTAGTACCTCCTGTCATGTTACAATGACCAACAGAATTCAATGCGGTCCATGATTTTAAACTGTATTCACTGGAGCACTCTTGTAACCAGTGAAAATCAAATCATACCATTGCCAAGGCAGTGCAAGAAGAGATCAATTTTGCTTTCACTGGCTGTTAATTTTTGGTTTAAAGTGAACTGATACATTGAGCAGTATTTCCACATGAAAATGTTAGGCATTTTCTACTCTTGCTCAGAGAGCGCCAAGTGATCCTGACGGCTGCTAAAGCTTGAGGACAACTGTCACAGAGTAGTCGCTAGAAAGGACAAGGGCTGCTTACATTTCTTTCCATTTTTTTTTCCCTGTGAAGTTTTATTGTAAAACTGCCTGAAGGACAGATTGGCAAAGAGAGGTTTGATAAAAGCTCATGAGCAAAAAACACGGTGCCCACAGAGAGACAACTGAATGTACTCAAGTCCTGTCATCCGAGACAGGTGAAGCCAACCTTTGACCTGTCACAGCTGCCTGTTTACATAAATCTAAAAGTGCTTTTGTGTCAAATTTCCATATTTTCTGTCCTTAGTAACCTAGCTTCATGGCAACTCAAGAAAGACTGGCCTGAGGGTGTCTTGTCTTGGAGATTGGCTATGAAGAAGGTCATACGTATCAGGGTGCAATACGGGTCCGAGATCAACTACCCTAGAAGAAACCCCAGGCCTTTGCAGTGGTGCTCAAGACTGGGAATCTAATGCTTCCACAGAAGCTGTGTTTCCCCCCCAAACAATTATTAATGAGTCAATAAAGTTTTATAGGAAGTTGGCTTTACCGGGTAAACCACCTCAGGTTCCGGTTCCTGGAGAATATCATCTAGTATTTCTGGGAGTTTTATTTGCTCTTCTTTATATTTCTCCTTGGGAACAGATTTTTTCTTTGCAATTTTACTATCTTCTTTCTCTGCCTTTTCTTTGCCTTTCTTTTTACCGGCGTCCTTGCTCTTCTTTTCTGCCTTTTTTTCTTCCCTTATGCGCTCCTCTTCTGCTAATCGATCTTGTTCTTCTTTCCATGCCTATAAACGCATTGAAAATGGTAACGGAATTTTAAAAGAAATGCTATCCCATTTGGATCCATTTTGGAGGACATTTAACCTGATCTTTCTAAGAGGTATCTGGCACATCAAAATACAGAACAAGAGACCTTGGGGTCATCCTTGACTCTCCCTCTCTCCCCGACCTTCTGTATACCAAACACTGCCAACTCTCTTCAGAGATCTGTCTTTCCTTCAGTGTGTTCTCTCACTCTCTGTTGCAATTATCATTAGTTTAGGTATTTTTATCTTTAGCCTGAACTATTGCATCAGCTGCTTAATGAGTCTCCCTGACTCCTATACTTTCAACATTAGTTTAATCCACAATTTAGGTGCTAAACATGGTTAATCAGCAATATGGTAGATCAGATGTCTGAAGAAACATTCTTGGCATAAAAACATTTAAAATATTAGCCCTGGCTGGTGTGGCAGCTCAGAACTTGATTTTCAATGGGTTATGAGGACTAGAGACATAATTCGGGAGATCAGACCAGAGACCTCTGAATAGGTCAGGTGTTTTATCTTGCACCAACGAGGAAGACCATGGATTCTAGCCTGCCTCCTTGGCCCTGAGTTAAAGTATGTGGGAGTGGGAAAAGAATCTCTCCTGAAGACTCCTAATCACAAGCCTGTCCTCACATAGATTAATGGCCAAAATGTACATTATCTTAAAACTTCACACTAAAAATATTTATGTGAGCTCCCAAATGAAAATCACAAAACATGAGGAAACAAAAGACAAAGCAAGAACCTGAAGAAGAAACAAACTGTAAAATTATATTTGCAAAGGCTGCAGATATTGGAATTATCAAATAGAGAATATAAAATAAGTGTTTCAATATTCTGAAATAAAGAAAAAGAGGCATCAAAAATGTAAGTAAGAAATGAGAAGCAAATCAAAAATAACAAGGTGAATTTGAAAGCCCTCTTGGAAATTGAACAGAACTTTTGAAAAGGCAATTTTGCAAGCGATAACAGCTGAGATCTTTCTAGAGTGGATGAAAGACACTAATTTTAACCTTCAGAAAGGCCAATAAATCAAAAGCAGAAAGTGAAGTGGTGTTCTGGACCCAGCTCATAGTGTATTGAAAGCATTTATTATTACATTTTCAGAAATTGTGCAAGCAGATTATTAGCCACAGCCATTATTAAAAATTAAATTACACAAATGCACCATCAAATAACACATTAAAGCAAAGGCAACAAATACTCAAAACTTACCACCTTCCTAATTATTTTGTTACATTTCATTATTATCTATGCTTTTGGGCAATGTCAACCATATCTGTATCAGAGAAATGCAATATAATGGTGTGCTACTGTATATTGCTTCCAACTCCGCATTCAGTGACATTATATTGGTAGCTTGAAAGTGGCCATGTGGGAGTATTTACACTAAAGATATCAACAAATGCCACAAATCAGGGATTAACTGTTGATTATCCAGACTTAAAACAAGGATAGAAAAAATGTTAATAATTCAGATTAAATTTAAAAGTGTGTCATATTTGAAGCTGTTACATTGTAACTAGCACAAAAAATTGAGGAAATAGTTTTCCAATATTTAAAATTAGTACCTGATTTAGCAAAGAAGTTGCTCATGTCATTGACGAATCAGTGAGATATATTCATTTGTTCACTTTTGTCTTACTTGTTCATGTCAATGAAAATATCAATCAACATTCATATTAGAACTACACTTGTGTGCCTATTGTAACTGTAGGTTGGCTAAGGACACAAGAGCTTAGTAAAAGTCAATGAAGGTATTCTATGAGAATCAATTGACTAAATGGAATTTATAGTGAAGTATTATGTGTTTTATTATCTGTCAATTGTGTACTATACATACTATATATAAGTAAAATTTAGAATAAACTTAGACACACACACACATTTTTTTCCTTAGAGAGTTATTACTAAACATTTACCAGAACACCAACGAATGTTTTAAAAGCAGATAGAGAGAAAAGATAAAGTGTCTATAAAAGGAATGACATATATTTTAAAATTAATTTATTAACAACTACAAAGGCAGCTATGAAAATATGAAAGAATACCTTAAGGGTACTAAGTTTACAAAAAGGTCAACCAAGAACTATATAAAAGAAAACTGTGTTTAGTGAATAAGGATAAAATGAAGCCATTTTTCAGATAAGTGAAGACTGAGATTTAATAGCAGCAAATCCTCACCAAAGGAAGTTCTAAAGGAGAAAGATATGAGAAGAAATGCTCCACAAAACAAATAATAAGCAGAGATCCAAGATGGCAGTGGAGTAGGTGAAAGTTATACTCACCTCCCAGGACCAAACTGGAATTACAGCTAAAGTATAGAAAAATTATCCTGAATAACCAACTGAAGACTAGCTACAGAGAAGCCTTATAACCAAGGACTTACAGAGGAGGCCACACTGAGACTGGTAGGAAGTGTGGACGTGTGAGAGAGCTGGCCAGGCACTCATGGGAAGCAGCTGAAGTCCTGGAGGGATATATCAGGTGTAGAGGGTTTCCCTTGAGAAATATGGGGTCTAAATACCAAGCTGGGCTCCCCAGCCCAGAGCACCAGCCCACATAACATCTGGCTGTGAAAAGCAGTGGGATTTCTGTCCACAAGGGAGAGATGGCTAGAAATGCCTGAAGATCAGAAACAAGACAGGGATGTCTGCTTTCATCACTCTTACTCAATATAGTACTGGAAGTCCTAGCTATAGTGATCAGATAAGAAAAAGAAATAAAAGGCATTCAAATTGGAAAAGAAATAAAACTGTCACTCTTTGCAGATGACATGATACTGTATATAGAGAACCCTAAAGATTCCACCAAAAAACTACTAGAACTGATAAATGAATTCAGTAAAGTAGCAGGATACAAAATAAATATCCAGAAATCAGTTGCATTTTTATACACAAATAATGAACTACCAGAAAGGGAAACTAGAAATAATAGTCTCATTCACAATTGGTTCTAAAAGAATAAAATGCCTAGGAATACATTTAAGCAAGGATGTGAAAAACCTTTACTTGGAAAATTATAAGACATTCAAGAAAGAAATTGAAGAAGATACAAATAAGTGGAGCATATACCATGTTCATGGATAGGAAGAATTAGCATCATTAAAATGTCCATATTACCCAAAGTAATCTACAGATTCAACACAATTCTTATCAAGATAACAATGGCGAATTTTACAGAACAAGAACAAATATTCCAAAAATTTATGAGCAACCACAAAAGACCCTGAATAGCAACAGTGATCTTGAGCAACAAAGAGTAGAATGGAAATTAGTGTTTACATTCTAACCTTTTCCTATCAAGGGCCAGATAGTAAACATTTTAGGCTTTTTGGGCCAAGAGGAAAAATCAAGCGCTAGTAAAATGACAGTCTATCTGGGCAAAGAAAAAGTAAGACCCTTACATTATACTATAAAAAATGAATTTTATATTAGCTATCTGAACACGAAAAGTATGTCTATGAAAATATTCTAAGACAGTGTAAGAAAATTAATGTGTAATCTCAGGTGGAATCAACCTGAAGGAACCAAAAACATAAAAGTCCTGAGACCCTAAAAAAAGTGACAGATTTTTAAAATCTTTTTTTGATAAGCTATGACCTCCATACAAAAAAAAGCACAAATCCTAAGTGAATAGCTGAATGAATCACCACCAAGTAAACACTACTGTTACCACCACCAGGTCAAGAAACAGACAATCTTTAGCCGCCCAAAGATTCCTACCCACTTCCACTGCCCCAAAGGCGACCATTACCCAAATTCGTGATACTCTTGTTTAGCTTTGCCCTTGGTGGGGAATTGAACCCACAGCCCTTCGGTCTGTGGGCCAATGCTCTAACCACTGAACCAAACTGGCCATGGCTAAAAGTTCAATAGTTCTATAGAAACGTAACTGGTACTTATTAATAAGGTAATTATCTAATAAATTAAAATGTATCTAAATTATAGACTAACATATTGCTATGAAAATAAGTTAGATCTCTGCATAATGTCTGAAAGTAATATTCATGATATGTTGCTAAGAAGATAAAAGCATATAGCAGAGTCAAAAACCAAACCAAATCTAAACCAAAACCAAACAAATGAAACCTTTATATCTGTGCACACATGCTGTATGAGCATAGAAAACACAAAATGGTTAATATTTCTTTTTTTAGGAGTTTAAGAGAGCCAGGATAATTTTGACTTATGAAAAGCATATGTTACTTTTATCACTAAAAATTCCAATGAAAAATTCACAAACAAAATAAACACCTGCCACAGAAACAGAGTATAACAAGTTTGCACAAGGCACTGCCCTGGATTTTGATTATGTAAAAATGAATGACAGCTTCTCGTAAAGGCTTAGCATCTGGTAAAGGAGACAGCTTAGAGGAGAGAGACTGTCCTTTCATTACAGATTCAATTATTTCTGAACGTTTAGCAAAAAGATCATTTCCTCTTACTCCACACAAATTCTCACCAAAAATTTTGAATGTGTGATTACTCAGTGTCATTTATTTCCTTCCTTGTATTACCTTGAGAGAGCCTTCTAAAATGAAAGAACTTTTTTCCTTCTCTTTTTCTTTTTCTTGATCTGTTATTTCTGTTTTGTTTATTCCTTTGTTACCTATAACCAGAGAAAATTGAACTTCTTAGTAATTCTCTAAAGTTTCATAGAAGGACCGAACGTCAAATCCCTGCCACAGCCCCCCGCCCCCAAATCCCTTTTGTCTTGAATTTTAGATTCCTACCCAGGGTTAGTCTTGGCTTCTGTTTGTTCTTCTAAGGAATCTCTTGTTTTAAACTCACTCTTGGAATCTATAATTATTTTAATGAGATACACTAACTCTGAATTGACCTCTTATAGTCAACAAATCTTAGGTAACTGAATGTATCAATCTTACCAAAATAAAGATATTTGGCATTTCCCTAACATCACATTTGATCTGTATAACGCAGGGAAGCATCAGACTTGGTAGGAAGTGGGGCCACTATTCCACTCGGGCATGACTTCATCGTATTTGGAATGCAGGTATTCTATTTTTTAGAGAAAGCAAAGAGCCGCAGCAATTTTGCAGGCAACTCTATTTAATCCTAAAATATTCAGTCTTGGTTAAATTAAGAAACAAGAGAATGTCTTTGGCGTTGTATAAGTTCAACAGCTTGCTTACTATTAGATTTTTTAACAGGATTCATTTTGCCAGGAGGAACAACTTTGGCATTAACAGACTTCAATTCCCGCTCAGCCTCGGTCTTAGCAACCTCCTCCTCAGCCATTTTACATTCCTTGTACACAGCTTCTTCTTTCATGATCCAATCTTGGATGGATTTTGCAACAAGTTCCAAAAAATTCCTTATAAAATAGAAGAGCAGATGACAATTGAGTTATTATTATTAAAGTCAATAAATACTTAAGATACTGACAGATCAAATGAACGTTATAAAATGAACTGATCCTCAGTTGCCTGGGTAACAAGGGTAACAGACGCAGAAACATGCTGGACGTATTTTGTACAAAGCCGTCAACTACAGATTCCCAGTGAGGATACAAAAGCTGCCCAACTTCATTCACAATTAAAGACATGTAAATTTTAATAAATGAGATATCTCCACCCAACTCAAGGATTAAAAAATTTGATAATAACAAGAGGTGATGACAGTTTGGAGAAAAGGCCACTCTCAACACTGAGTCGATGAGTTTTATGGTGCAATCTCTTTTTCGGGAAATTTTACAGTACTATGGAAACTCTTTTAATTGGCTGTCAGCTAACTCACTCGTTGGAGTAGCTGAAACACTCCAGTGTTGCCATAAAATTTCCCGGCCTGTGAACAGCCACATCCTAAATACCGTGCCCTCAGCTACTCCCGCATCTATGCTCACTCAGAGAGCTGTTACTCACCGGGAGTCGGTCATATTTGTTCCCAAATCCATTCATCCTGTTTATACTGATTATTATAACTATTATTTCACTAAATGTTAGGCATGCGTTTTTATTGATTTTTTTTTTTTGAGAGATGGAGAGGAAGGCAGAGAACGAGAGAGAGATTTGTTGTTCCACTTATTCATGCATTCATTCGTTGCTTCTTGTAGGTGCCCTTACCAGAGACTGAACCCGAAACCTTGACATATGGGGATGACCCTCTAACCAACTGAGCTACCTGGCCAGGGCTGAAATCCTATGTATACTTACAAGTGAATGTCCAAAGAGAGCTGTTTCTGAGGGAAAAAGTTGAAATATTTAGGTTTGATGATAAGATTAGTTATTATCAATTGTGTAAGTATAATGACTAAAGTCATGGGAAAAAAAAAATAAAGCTAGATGAATTCTACACTTAGATTGCTTCATAATTTTCTCTAATTCTTGATTCCTTTTAAGAAATAAATCGAGCGTTGTACACTATGAATTACCGGTACCAACGTCACCATCTGGAAGGTGGAAGGCATGCAGACTCAACACGTCCCAGACGGACCCCTGCTCTCCCCCGACTCGCCCTGCACAGCCCCGAGAGCCGCACTCAGCTGGGGCAAGTCTACGTGCCCAGGTGACAAGAAAGCCATCCTGACTAGTCTCATTTTCTCATGTTCCTCTTGCTGTCAGGATACCCGAATACTTTTTGAAAGCATATATTCAAAGTTTGACCACTTTCACTTCCTTGACTGCTGTCTTTCTGGTCTAAGCCACTGTCACATCCTGCCAGGTTGGTTTCCGTTCCTACCCTTGACCCCTGCCATCTATTCTCAACACAACAACTAGAGATCCTTTTATTTATTTATTTAAACATTTTTTTTTCTTTACTGATTTTAGAGAGAGAGGAAGGGAGAAGGAAAGAGATAGAAACATCACTTGGCTGCCTCCTGCATGCCCCTCACTGAGGATCGGGCCCACAACCTGGGTATGTGCCCTGACTGGGATTTGAACCCGGCAACCTCTTGGTGCATAGGTCGATGTTAAATCACGGAGCCACACCAGCTGGGCACAAGATCCTTTTCATTCTTAAGTCAGATTGTGTTTCTCTTCTGCTCAGAAACTTTCTTTTTTAATTTTTTTTTTATTGTTAATCCTCACCTGAGGTTATTTTTTTCCATTGATTTACAGAGAGAGTAGAAGGGGGAAGGGGGAGAGAAACAATGATGTGAGAGAGACACATTGATTGGTTGCCTCCCCCATGCACCTCCACAAGGGCAGGGGATTGAACCTGCAACCTAGGTATGTGCCCTTGACCAGGAATTGATCCCAGAACCTTTCAGTATACGGGCTGAGCAACACTGGCCAGGGATGCTTAGAACCTTTCAATGAATTTGCATTTCAACCAAAAACCCAGAATACTTACTAGTGATTTGTGATGGGGAAACACAGGCCCATATGCACAGCTACACCAGTATTCAAAGGGATGAGAGAATACAGACATTTCAGCATGCAATGATTTCGAAAGTTTGCCACCCACAGATACTTTTTGAAAGAATTATTCACAAATGTATCCCAGCTGCATTAAAAAGAAATTAATCCAAGAAAGAAGACAACATGGGATATAAATGAAAGGGCTGAGGAAAAAGTGCAATTAATAATTAAATGTAAAGAACTATTTATGCTATTTATTTGTGATTAAAATAGTACTTCACAATTGGAAGCAAAAGTTCTAGAAAATTTCAAGATGGGAGGTAGAATATTTACTGGGAGTAAGTAAAAATATGCTAAACTTTTTATATTTATATATGTATGTATGTATGTTTTTGTTAATCCATACCTGGGGATATTTTGCCATTGATTTTTAGATAGAGTGGAAGGAGCAGGGAGAGAGAGAGAGACACTGATGTGAGAGAGACACTCCGATTGGTTGCCTCCTCCATGACCCTGACTGAGGCCGGGGATGGAACCTGCAACCCAGGTACGTGCCCCTGACTGGGAATCAACCTGTGACCCTTCAGTCCTTGGGCCAATGCTCTAACCACAGAGTCAAACCTGCCAGGGCAATATGTTAAACTTTTTAACATTTTCTGTGAAATGATATTAATAATCATTAACTCTGGCTATAATATAAAAATGTTTAACTATGTGATTGAAAAGGGTAAGTGTAACCTCTAGAAGAATATGAATAGAATGTGTGACAAAAACAAAACAAAAACCACACGCTAAGAATAAGCTAAAATACTCTAACAAAAGGAAGGAAAGGGATTAATCTTAAAATAGAAATATATTTATAAAAGTAACTGGTAAGAATGAGGCCCAACACATTATCAATAAAAAAAAAAAGTAAATAGATTAAATTACTTAAAATGTAAAGTTCTTTAATATTGTTATAATTATGATTAAAAATTTTAAAAACAGAGGCTCTCAGAATGACTGTCAAAATTCAAGTTGATCTTTACAAGACACGTATCTACAAATCACAATGATGCAGCACAATAAAAGGGTGGCAGGTGGCTGACTGGGAAGCCAGAAGTCTGGGTCCTGGGCTTCTGGGAAGAGCTGCTCTGTCCCTGAGACACTGGCCAGCCCAGATTTCTTGCTGCAGGAGAAAAATAATCCTCTTACTAGTTTAATCACTGCAGTCAATTTTTGTTTAATACAGTGAAACACAATATATTCCTAGTTGACATGTAAACTGATTGAGAAAGTTACATCAGTAAATTCTTATATAAAAGAGATTTTCCAACATTATTAGTATCAGACATGGTTAAATTTAAAATGAAAAGTATTAAAGGGAACCCAGAGGGATGTTTTAGCATGTTGATAAAAGTTGCAATCCATTACAGAAGGATGCTTTTAAAAACACGGTTTCTACAATAAATTTATACACACACACACACAGACACACACACACACACACACACACACACACACACACACACAGTCCACATGCAGAACAGAGAGGGGAAATAGACAAAGCTATAATCATAAAGACAGACATTAATACATCTCTCTCAGAAATGGATGGTTATCATGAGACTACTCTTTTTAATTTTATTCCAATAGACTGGAAAATCTAGAAGTCATGCATGATCTCACAGAAAAATATAAATCACCAAAAGTAATTGAAGATGAAAGAGAAAATCCGAGCAGAGGACAGACTTGCTTAGCACAACACCTCAACATGCGTGAAGTAAAAAACTGATAAGATTACAGGAAGATATTGACTTATTTACCATCACATAGTAAGCTTTAGAAAAATAATTTTTCTCATTAATTGATCAAGTTTTCAAAAAGTAGAACAAATATGTAAGACTTAAAAAATACAACCCTGCAGTAAAAAACTGGAGAATATACTTTCTTATGCAAAGAAGAGCATTTATAAAAACTGACATAATACAGCAAATCTCAACAACTTCATATTCTATAGAACATGTTATCTGACTAGTATCTTAAAATTATCAACTATAACACAAATGTAACACACAGCCAAATGTTTAGAATTAAACTCCACATTTCTATGTAATCCATGGGTCAAATAAGAAAATATGATGGAAATTAGAAATAAAATATAATAACACAGTCAGATTTTTTGTGGAGCTGCTAAGGTGGTATAAGAGGTTTTGCCTTAAATATTTACAAAGCAACACAAAAATAAACAAAAACCAACTCAGAATCCTGAGATAAGCTTTTAATTTAAGAAGTTAGATTAAGAACATCAAGCCCTGGCCGGTTTGGCTCAGTGGTTGGAGCATCAGCCCTCGGACCAAAGAGTCGCGGGTTCGATTCTGGTCAAGAGCATGTACCTCAGTTGCAGTTTGTCCCTGGTCCTGGTAGCACGAGCGGCAACCAGTTGATGTGTTTCTTTCACATCCATGTTTCTGTTTCTCTCTCTCTCTCCCCACCCCTTTTCCCTCCTTTCTTCCCTCCCTCCCACTCTATCTGAAGATAAACAGAAAAATAGCCTCAGGTGAGGATTAAAAAAAAGATTAAAGACATCAAAATAATGCAAATAAATTAAAGAGAAGAAATAACAAGGAGAATAAAACAAAATAGAAAAGGGGAAAGGATCAAAACCAAAAGTTAATTTTAAAAAAATGTAAACAAAATTGGCAAACCTTTGGCAAAAATTGATTCAGAAAAATATAGAGAAATCACAGATTACAAGTATTAGAAATTAAAAGAAAAACAGATAAAATACATTAAATAGGCAAGAATATCATAATCAACTTTATGCCAATAACTTTGAAAACAGGTAAAATGATCAAATTCCCAGAAAAAATCAAACCTAATTCAAAAATAAACAGAAAACCCAGAGAGTCTAATAACCATGACAGAAATGGAATCAATCAATAATTGTACCTCTTCCCAGGTCCATATATGTGTGTGTGTGTGTGTGTGTGTGTGTGTGTGTATGTGTGTATTATTATTATTTTTTTTTAATCCTTACCTAAAGATATTTTTCCATTGATTTTTTTTTAGATGGAGTAGATGAGAGAGAAACATCGATGTGAGAGAGACATATCAATTGATTGCCTCCCGCATGACCCCAACTGGAGTCGGGGATCAATCCCGCCACCGAGGTTTATACCCTTGACTGGGAATCGAGCCCATGACTCTTTGGTCTGCGAACCTATGCTCTAACTACTGAGCAAAACTGATCAGGGCTATATATTTTTTAATTTATTGAATTGAGAGAGAAAGAGAGAGAGAGAAACATCGATTGCTGTTCCACTTATTGATGCACTCATTGGCGGATTCTTATATGTGCCCTGACAAGAGATCGAACATGCAACCTTGGGGTATCCTGACTACACTCTAATCAACTGAGCTACCCAGCCGGAGCCCCAGGACTAGATATTTTTATCTGTACGCTCTACCAAACACCAAAGGAATATATATCTTAATCTTATACAGACTCTTTCAAAAAATTTTAAAAAATAGAAATAAAGGGAGAACATTCCCCAGATAATTTATAAGGCTAATATGATCTCAAACCTCAAACCAGACACGAACATTTGAAGAAGGGAAAATTACAGCTGAATCTTGTCTGTGAATACAGATGCAAATCTTCTAAATAATATATTAACAAAGCAAATGCAGCAATTTATTAAAAAGAACAAACTATATTTTTCACAGGAGCACAAGGTTGGTTGAACACCAGAATACCTATTAATGAAACTTAGCATTTTCACAGATTAAAGGAAAAAATATGAACACCTGAATTGATACAGAAAAATCATTTGATATGACTTAACCATTTATGATTAAGAACTCACAGCAAACTAGTAACAGGAGGAGACTGACAAAGAGTATTGACAGAAATCCTACAGCAAAAGTACATATTTCACAGGTAAATATTAAAAACCTGGAACAACACAAGGAAGCCTTCTCAAAATTGCATTGGAAATCCTAGTGAGCAAAAAAGATTAGAAAAGAAAAGTATTATTATTGGCAGTAAAAGACAAAACATAAAAAACCATAATATCTAGTTCAAGATATTATCTTGGTATGCTTATTACATGCCTTACTCCACAAATAACTGTATGGCTCCAGAAGTCGTATTCCTGTGTATGTGTGTGCGTGCACATGGCCCGTTTCCCCAGTTATCCTCTAAGTTCATTCTCCGTATCGTCCTGTATCCCTTCAGACTAACAATGCTATACAAATAATACATACTGGATATGTAGGGTGTCCCAAAAATGTATACACAACTTTGAACAATTCTGAAGCCAGTGTTTATTAAAATATATTTCATTTTCAAAACATAATAGAATCTACAAACACCCTGTATACATTTTTTGGGGACACCCTGCATATTAACCAGTATTAAAAAAATAACAAAATGCCTTTGTTGTTAATGAAAAGAGAGAGCAAGATTTCTAGAGAGTAAAGAAATAACTAAGGAGCTTGGAAGAAAAAAAAAAATCATGGATTCCTAGAGATCTCCGTTTGCTGGGAACCTGACCACTGTGTTGATATGTCTCTCAATCACCCTGCTTGACAGTCTGTCCCAAACCAAGTGGAGTCACCCTACACCAGCATGCAGAATGTCATGTTTTGTAGTTCATACACAGAATCTTTCAGAGGTTGTTTTATTAGAGTCTAAGTAAATCAAACGTAAGGTAATAACATTTCCACTAGACTCAAGGGGGCCAGGAATCGTGTCTTCTTTAGTGGTCTAGTTTCAGTACTTATCACAGTGCCTGGCACACTTCAGATACTCAACTCTGTGACTGGGTTGGACCTACAGTACTACACAAATGTATTCATTGAGCTGAACCACCTAGCTTAGGCTCCGAAAATAAAATCTAAGAAAGTAACTAGCAAGCTAACTAAGCTAACTAAGTAAACTAGCTAAGTTGGTTACCTGAATCCGACATTGGAGTGAAGAGCGATATTCCAGTGATCACAATGCAGGCGTTGTCTATTCATTGGGTTGTGAAAGACTAAAAGTAGAGAATTGTCTTGGGTATGGTAATAAGAATCTATACACTTGTATTGCTGATTGGCTTCTTGAAGAACCTGAAGATAAAAATAATTGCATTGTTGTGTTATTTTTTTCCCAAGAGAAGGGTCTCCAGCTAGAGCATTTCTCTGCCCCTGCTCTTTCTCCCCTTATCTTCACACTGTTATTCAGGGGCTAGATGTTTTTTGGAGCATTTCAGCAGTTCTTATAGAAAAACAAATCCTAGGCTCTAAACACAGAGGCATTTGCTCAAGTGTTTTCCGTTACGGCTGAGCAGTTATTAATTTAACATTTTCCATGTTTTCATATAGATCATCTCATTTCATCATCATTAAAACCCCCAGATAAATACGTGTAATTATTTTTTAGAATCCTCATTTTCCCCCCGCATGAATTGGGGTTGAGAGAAGATGAGAGATTAGTCCTAGGACACAGGGTCCGTAAGTCTCGGTGGCCAGGCTCACAGCTGTCTTTTGATTCTAAATGTCACAATTTCACACTCCACAGTGTGCTCCGTACTATGCCAGGCGGTATTACAGAGAAATGAGGCCAGCAGTCTTTCTGATACATATTGTTTCTACCTGACTTCTAACCTTGGCCTTTTCCAGAACATTCTACCTTAGCATGCACTGCAATTACAGCCCCCGATAGAGGGCACAGTGGGCAGCATGTCCGTAGAAGAATAGACAGCTGTGGGTTTTGTTTTTGTTTTCATTTTCAATATAGCCGGGCGTAGGCAGCCCTCGTTCTCTGTGTTTGCATGATGTAAAGGCACGGAGCTGCATATTGGGTTAGGGAAGAACTACTTGACTCTTGCTTTCAATTTTACACTGGTAGCGGAACCAGAATCATACATTTACCACACCAGTCTCATCCATTGTCTGAGTGTCTTTATGGAGTAGTAGTTAAACTTTTACATCTGTTCTCTGAGAGCCATTAAAACAAATACACATGTAGTGAATATTTTTGCATTAATTTTTTTTATGTAGGGCATTATTTATTACTTAACTTTTTTTGAAACGCAAATTCCTTTGACTTTAATTTTTTTTTAATCCTCGCCTGAGAATATTTTTCCATTGATTTTTTTTTTTTTTTTTTAGATAGAGTGGGGGCGGGAAGGGAGGGGAAGAGAGAGAAACATCCATGTGAGAGACATCGATTGGTTCTTCCCGCATGACCCCAGCCAGGGCTCGGGATTGAACCCACAACTGAGGTATGTGCCCTTGACTAGGAATTGAGCCACAACTCTTCGTTCTAAGGGCTGACGCTCTAACTGCTGAGCCAAAACGGCCAGGGCAAATTCCTTTGACTTTATACTCCCAAACAAATAGCATGTCTATTTCTGATGAACACATATCCTTCCTCCTCTGAAATCTGTTTTCACGTTCCCTTTCGACGCTGCGATACACAGCACTAGTTTCTGAGCCACAGTGGCTCTTAATCAATGTTTAACTTTTCATATTATATCATCTCCTTTTTCACACCTCGACTTTTACCTATTATTCTGATTAATACTGTTGGTCTCATTAATTAGTTCATTCGTTTGTAAAAATCAACAATTACTGCGTGCCAGGTACTGTGTAGGTTCCAGGAAAACCGAAATGAAAAAAACTGTCCTCTGAAATCTGATGAAGATTCTTAGCGATCATTCTGAAGTCCAGAGAGGTGTTCTGAGGAGGGATGATTGACGGGACATCTGATTCGCAGAGAATGGACTGGGGTGGAGGAAGCAGGTCGGCAGGACACTGCATCAGGACCAGCAGATCGAAGCTGGGCTGCAGCAGCCGGGGAGACGATGGCGAGCTGGGAGGTGCTTTGGAAGCGCACCCCTCAAAACTAGATGACGGGTCAGACACATGGGATTAAGAAAAAGTCGACACAAAGGATGCCTCTCAGCCTTTTGGTTTGATGGTGACATTTTCTGAGATGGATGAGGAGAGAAACATGCTTCTGGTGGGACAATTATGAGCTTCAGGTGGGACACTACAGTTGTGATGCTCATCAGAAATTCAAGTGGAATTTGGAGGTAGGTATGCTAGTTTGGAGTTGAAGAGAGAGATTTATTTAATTATTTGTGTTTTTAATTTTTATTTTTCAATTTAAGTTTACTTTCATTATCATTTTGTATTGGTTTCAGGTGTACAGCCTTGTGGTTACACAATCACATCCTTTACAAAGTGTTGCCCTGATATTTCCAGTACCCACGTGGCATCAAGTAGAGCTGTTATACTAATGACTACATTCCCTATGCTGTGTTTTACATCCCCATGACTATCTCATCACTACTAATTTGCACTTAATCCCATCATCTCTTTCACCCCTCTCTACTCTGGCAACCACCAGTCTGCTAAGAGAGAAATAAATTGGAAGATAAAATTTTAGGAGTCATTAGCATTAGGTCACATATAAGAAATGAAATCATTCAAAGAAGGTTTAGAGAAGAAAGAAGACAGTTGGGAGCTGAGACTTGAAGCACTTCAATATTTAGAAGTTAGGTGGAGGAATAGTCAACCAAGTTCCAAATGGAGCAGTGCAGTATGGTATCCCGGCAACCAAGAGCAGCGACTGCGTGATGAGAAAGTGATCTGCTCTGTGATGCTATTAAAAGGTTAAAAAAGATAAAGACAAGTGTATATTAGACTTGACAGGACAATTGTTGGTGACCTTGAAAAGTGCTGCTTCATGGAAGGGTGAAGACAGAGCCCAGCTGAAATAAAATAAGGTCTGAAGTGAACTTCCAGTTAAAGACAGAAGATTAAAAACATGTACACCCTCACACCTCACTAAAAAAAGAAACAGTAAAATTATTGGTTTTTAATATCACCAAGTTGAAGGCCATGGGAGAGGAGACAAAGGCAACAACGTTTCAGAAGCTGGAAGGCAGATGGATACTTGGGAACCGACTTAGCAGAACACAGAAAGCCGAATCTGCAGAATAATTGTAGGAGAGACCAGAAGCAACCTTATTTGTGTGCAGAAATGCAGAAAGGCTCAGAAAATGGCAGTCCTACATGCCTCTGAAAGTAGCATTGAAAATAAGAAGATTAATTTAAAATCTTTTTAAGAAGGCTTTAGGGCCCCTGGAAGCCCTCGGCAGGCTTGAGCAGCCAGGCGGCTGCCCATCCCGTCTCTCCATCCCGTCTCTCCCCCCACCCCCAGCAGAAGAAGGGATTATTACCTCCAGAAGGTGACCCAGTGGATTCTAAGAAGAGGGACCCTACGTACCACTGAGAAAGAGATAGACTACAGAAAAAAAGGAATTGTATAAAAGTCTAATTCAGCATTGTTCAATAGAAATCTAAAATGAGCCACAAATCAATTACATTATCAATATAAAAATCGTTGAGCCCTGGCCAGTTTGGCTCAGCAGTTAGAGCATCAGCCTGCGGACCAGAGAGGCCCAGGTTTGATTCCCTTTAAGGGCACGTACCTAGGTTGCAGTTTGTCCCCGGCCCCGGTTGGGGTTGTGTGGGTGGCAGCCAGTTGATGTGTTGCTCTCACATTGATGTTTCTCTCTCTTTCTTCCTGCCTTCCTCTCTGCCTCCTGCTCTGTCTGAAGATAAATCCCCCCCCCCAAAAAAAAGGTCCTCGAGTAAGGATTAAAAAAATATATATATATTGAGATACATTACTTTCTTATATTGTCTTTGAAATCAGGGGTACACAGTATTTATACAGTGATATATAGATATATATCATATGTAGTATACTTACAGCACATCTCGATTTGAACCAGCTGCGTTTCGAGTACCATAAGCTACATGTGACTAGTGGCTACCACAGTGGACAATGAAGATCTAGAGACTGAATGGTAGGAAGACTAACTGCCTTCCCCCCATCATTCAGCTCCCCAAACCCTGACAAGCAAGTTCTGTCTTTCAGACAGGATATTAGATCATTTTTCTGGAGGATCTAAATGGCCTAAGAGACCAGACCTAACATACCAACACTGATGGGACACCTTCCCCCCAAATCACCAATGAAGAAGTCCAGTTATTGACACCTCCTCACCCCGACCTCATGCAGCACCTCCTGTCATATTTTAGTGTCTGGTTATTAATATGAACAAAGAGGCAGATACCATTCAATATTGCTTTCTAATATGAAAAATGGAGACAAAAGATAAACACCCCAAAAAAGAACTTGAGAAAAAAGAGACACTGCAGGGAGACAACACTAAGACTTCAAAGGACTTTAATATCCTCCTAGAGATAAGAGAAGATACGGTCTTAGGGAACATGAACAGGATGCTATAAAAAGGTAATATAAAATTATAAATAGAACTTTCGAAAATCAAAATGATAACATCAGGACCAGAAGACACAGTAGAAGACCTGCATGCAAGCTGAGCCATTTCCCAGAACAAAACACAGTGTTGGAAACTAGGAGCGAAAAGATAAAGAAACCGAAGTAAGTCCAGTAAGTCCAACAACAGAAACAGAGTAGTCACAGGAAGAAAGAACAGAAAAGATGCGGAAAGGATGGTCAGAGAAATGATTCCAGAACACGTTCCAGAATACAGAAACAGGAGTTTTACCAGTACAACACTTGCAAGTAGAACCACACCAAGGAACATCAACAGGAAGTCTAGACCACAGGGACAAAGAGACAATCTTAAAATCCTCAAGACAGAAGGAAAAACAGACTCAAACAACTGACCAGGAATCAGAATTTTATTGATTTTTCTCAAGGAGAATCCAGGAAGCTAGAAGACCATTGAGGAATGCCTTCTAAGATTTGAGGGAAAATGCTTTTTAACTTAGCATTTTACATAAAACTAAACTCTCAGTTAAATGCCAGGGTAGAATTAAGATGTTTTCAAACATACGATGCCTCAATAATTTACCTGCTACATATCATATCTTCATTCAAGAAGCCACTGGAAGAGGTAGTCCCCTACCAAAAGAGAGTAAGCCAAGCGTAAAGAAGACCTGGCATTCAGGAAGCAGAATCTCTAGCTGGAGAGAGAGGCAGAGGATGTGGCCAAGATGATGTAGTGGAGGGAGCTCCCAGGACCACAGCTGTGCAGCAGGCCTAGGGGCGAGCAGGGGCTCAGAGCATGTGGGAGAGCGAGCGCTTAGATAATAAAATTGATAGAATACTTGTTAGGTTCGAATGTATTCAAAGGAAATTTACTTTGGTAGGGAGCTTGCGGATGAGTCACGGTAAATGCATAGTAAACAAATGAAAGAAAAATGGGAAACTAAACTCTAGGCAAAATAGAAATTGTGTCAGGAAAGGAAAATGTAATGGATACTACATAGTTCAGCTGTAAAGAACAAATTATACAATTGAAATAAAGTCAAGATTGAATCGAAATTTATGAAATAGTTAACAGTGTCAGAGGGGGGCAAGGAGAGGCGCTAGTGTGAACGTAGTGTGTGTGTGTGTGTGTGTGTGTGTGTGTGTGTGTTGGATGGGCGTGGGCAGCTGTTTTCTCAGTAGGGAGTCAGTTGATGGTAATGCCTAAAACTAAACAAAATACACTTGTTATTTAGAGAAAACTGAGTTAAGTAACAAAAGAAAAAGGTAATGGCTGGAAGGTTTTTACATCTGGGAAAACAGGTGTGGGGTGGGAGGGAGCTGCTCTTTGTCATGGGGCTACACGTAGAACTCTCTGGCTTAAAAAATACGTGGATGTAAAACTTTGAGAAAAGTAAAATTGAAATTAAGAGGACAATCAAAAAAGAGTACAGTTTTTTGCATAAAATGTAAAAGCAACAAAAGGTGCTCGTTCTAGGATCACTGTTAACGGAGTGGCTGAGGGCACAAGTTCAGGGACCAGGTTTCTTGGGTTCACATCCTGCTTCCCTCACCGACCAGCTCTGTGACCTTGGCCAAGTCACTACAGGTCGGGGTGCCTCAGTTTCCTACCATTAATATAGTTTCTTACTATAAAATTATTTTACATGAGCTAAAACCCATATCAGCCATAGTCTAGCATATGGTAGATGCTCAATAGTTATCACAGGTTCCATTGACCTGTTCACTGCATCAGAAAATGCTCTGAAATGTAATGAAACTGAACAGAACTGACAGGCAATGGGGGGTGGGGGATCCAAGGCTGCTTCCCAATAACACCTTATTTTTTTTACAAGAAAATATGTGCAGCAGTCACGTACACTTCTCTTGTTCTCAAACGACTTGATGAAAATATCCTTTTGGAAAGCACATTTTAAACTATTTTGGAGATTCTCTGGGCCTGCATAGCTCGATCTGAGAATAACGCATTTTATAGCTGAAGTAAATGGGAATATGGATCCAAAGGAGAGTTGAGAGAGGCTTAGAAGTGAACTGTTGTAAATCACACCATGACCTCTCCAACTCCCAGTCCATTAATACCTGCAGCAGAACTTTCGGTTTAAAATGCTCAGTGAAACTCCAGTCCATTAGACTGCGTTGCTGTGTTTTCTGTATGTCCTCTAATTCTGCTTCCACAGTCATCTTCTTGGGTTTCTAAAAAATCATAGGAATACAATTTCAGCTTTAATTTGTGTAAGTCCAAATGGAGCCCTCTTGGACTTCATCAGCTAACCAGCGTGCACTCCATCTAATTGAGGGAAATCTGCATATGTATAAATCCATATGGCAACATTTTAGGAGACCTGCTGCCAGAAGAGTATGCTTTTGACTTTTTTTTTTTTTTATGGGCAACATAATCTAAATATTTTTATTGTTAGGTTATACTCTTCTGAGTCCTGTTAGCAATTATAGGCAGGTTTTCTGAACTCACTTCAAGACAGTATTAGTTCTACATGGCTGTATGGTCAGCAGGTGTTTGTGAGGTTGCCAAGCCACATTGTCTAGAGAGGAGCATGGAGCTTGGAAGTTTTGCTTAATCGGGCTGGTGAAATTAACTCCTTTCTCTCCAGTCGGAGCCAGTCTGAGGATTTCTGAATACTCTCTCCCCTTCTCTGGCATCTGCATTCTCCTGCCAAGCATCACTTTTTTTTTTTTTCTTTTTTAATGTTTTTTATTCTGGGTCACGTTTTTCTCTGATGATCTTACTTGTCTCTACACTTTTAGGAAAGTAATTTCTTACCTTTTCAAGAGAATCAGCCTTTGTGACTGCTTCATCTTTGATCTCATTGTTCGTGGTCTGCTCTGTAAATCAAAGACACCAACATCCAGTTGTGTTTAGGCTTTGTTCTTGCCTTTGTCAGTGCTGCGCCTTTTTGTTGCCCAGATGATCTATGTTTCTGTGCTGAAAAGGTAATTCCTGAAAGGCAGGTTTCATGCCTCCAAAAAGGTGTTTGTGTCAATAACTCTAAATCAGTGTCTATCTAGAAAAGTGAGACCAAACCCTTTGAAAAGAATGCACCTTCTTATATATACATTCCTAAATTACATCAGAGATGCTGACGTCAGACTGTATCACTCATGACTATGTACCTTTACCTTTACAAGTTGCAAATATTCACTGATTAAATCATGTCAGCTGCTTAGTACACACTGTCTGTCTTGTAACGCTGACAATGATCACAAAGCGTTTTCAAACTTCTGAGGGTCATATCTTGCTAGTGGCAGACTAGGTCAGGGGCAGGAGATGTATGGGAAGGAGAACTACCAGATAAATGCCCCTCCAATGATGGAATGGTACAATTTCACCATCCTGCAATGCTTTTCTTACATTTATTAATCATTATTTATGTAGAAACCATTTAATGAGCATCTATAGATTTATAGATGGAGTTTAATTTAAGTTAGTTAAATGAATAAGTAGCTGGACTCCACTGAACCATACCACGGACCAGCATCAGTCATGCACACTAGCTCTCCTTGTGACCAAAGAGTATCCTGATATGAGGACTGGGATTGAGACATGATCCTTGACTATGGAGCAAACAGCCTTATGAATGGGCAGAGAAAGAACAGATTCATGTGGTTGATTTCTGCTTTCATAATTCCTAAAGTTAACACATGTTACATGGAAAAAAGAGGTGCATGCTAAATTAGTTTAACATGGATAAACAAGCCTCTTTACTGTGAACATCTCCGAATTTGTAATATGCTCTTATAATTGTGAATCCCTATTAGAGAAAGGGATAAAGTATATAGCATATTCCAAATAAGACCAAAGAAATGGAGTGGGGGATGAATCTTATAAGATATTTGTGGTGCTGCTGAATCACTGAGCCAACCTGACTTTTTATCACCCTTAGAATAATAGAAAATTAATACCTATAAAGGAATATACAAAAGGGCTCCAGCCTCTCTCTCCAAATTCATCTCCTTCCACTCTCCCTTGCTCACTCCACTCCAGACTCACTGGCCTGCTGGCCTTGTCTTGAGGGTTTTGCATTTGCTTTTCTGTCTGGCATGCTTTGCTCTGAAATACTCATCTGTTTCAAACTCTTACTTCATTCATACTGTTGCACAATGCTATCTCCTTAAGAGCCTTCTGACGCATACCTGGCTTTATGTTTAATCGTGGGATTTATCAGTGCTTGATACTGTTTATTTGTTTTGTTTTGTTTTGTTTTTTTGGTATGTGTCCCTAGTGGGAACCGAACCCAGGGCTCTCTGGTCTGCAGGCCAATACTCCAACTGCTGAGCCAAACTGGCCAGGGCTATTTATCTATTTATGTCTGTCTCTCCACCTCCAATGTGAATTCTTAGAGAATAAGAACTTTAATCATATTTTCCCTAACAGTACCCTGAACACCGGCATATGTTAGGAACTCAGTATATATAATTGAACGGGGAATCTACATCATATATTGAAACTAGAAAAGTATTTAGAAAGAGCAGAAATGTGGAAGAAACCCTACAACAAACACTTATTTTGGGGTAAGCATAAAATTTGTGCCAAAGGGAACCATATCTGGGCTTCCAGAGGGAGGAGTTAATTATGTCTAATAAGGAGGGGACAATGTTTTTCTTTCTTTTAGGAGCATAGCTACTTACATTTTCATGACTAGTTCCATTTTGCCTTGGGCTACTGAAGGTGACAGCATGAATGTTCCATTTTGATTTAGAGTCAAACTATAAAGTCAGTTTAGTTCAGTATTTATTTAAATACATCCACTCAAGAGAAAACTCAGGCCAACTATAACTCTAAATAGACCATGATGTCCCATGTGTCCTTGAAGCAATTGACATGAAATCTGTGGAATAAAAATTATTCTATTCTGTGGTCAGCCAGATTTCCAGGAGATTTGATACTCCCTTCTGCGTTTAAGGATCCAGCAGAAAAAGTCTTCAGTTTAGAAAATATGTTCGAAAAGAATCATGCATCGGTTACTTTGTCATAGCAAAGAACATTCACAAACTAATCTCAACTCTTTATTTAACAGCAGAGCTAATATAATTTTTTTTTCTTTCTGATTTCTGCCTTCAGCTGCATAACGCTTTGACAGTGTGATTCAGTAGTTTTTGACACATCTGGAAATGGATGCGTTCTCATCCCTTTGAAAAACAGCTTTCCTAATCTGTTTTACTTTAGAGATAACAAGATCCCTCTGCAAAGCAGTTACTTTATTAAAAAAACACCCAACAAGCATAAAGGGCACATCTAAACCTATAGCCTCACGGTTATCAACTCTCAGTTTTTCATAAATATCCAATAGGCCCTGTCAAGTTCAAAAACAGTCTCAGATGGAAATCCAGTGCTTGGTTAAGAAAAGCACAAATATTCAGCCCTTCACGTCCTGAAAAGGCTTTTATATGTATTTGATGCTAAGATGGTTGTGCAAGGAATACATGAACAATTTCTGCTTTGTTTAAAAAGATTTAAAGTGGCTGCGTTAGAAGTGTGATTCATGGTTACGGGGAAAATGCAAGATCACAACAAGAAATCCTCTCATACGGAACAGACACAGCGAGGCACTAAGCTTCAGCAGCCTTCCCCCGCTCAAAGGTGACAGTTCCTTGGTGTGGGCCCGCATATACCACGTAGAATCCCGTACAAGTCATGGCTTCAGCTCTCAAGACTGCTCACCCTCCAGGATACACTGATAATTTTCAGCCCTGATAATTTAGGAAGTTGCTATGACATCTACTTTGCACCAGGATCCCGAATGCCAATTTACGTGGTTTGACCACCAGGTGGCAAAAGTTGCCTGAGGAAAACCATGGACCAGTTGCTCTAAAGAGGAAAGAAAAAAAATCAAAACAAAACAAAAAAACAAAGGAAAAAAAACCCTCAGGTCTTATATCTCTCCTGGCTTATTCTGGCTCCATATTAATTCAAAGTGACTTATTTGTCATATGTGTATATTCCCATTGGATACACTAATGCTATAACATCCCTGGTTAACCTATTTGGCTTAATTTTTTTGTGAGCTAGGCTAACAGATAAGGGCACGTAGAACAGAGAAATAGTGAATCAACCCTATTGGGAAGAAAAGAAGGAGGACCCAAAGGTAACAAAATCTGGTCAAGTATCAGTCAAGAAGAGACTATGAATATGGTAAACCATTAGATGCACCACAAGGAATTTCTGGAGCTGAGGAAGCTGCGAAGTAAGCTCTGGTTTGGAGTTAGCCCTCTGTTGGAACCCTAACTTCCTATATGGTTGGACCTGTTACGTAACCCCCTCTGAATCTTCATTTCCTCAGCTCTCGAACTGGGATAATAGTATCTTCCTCATAGCCTTGATGTTTATATAAAGTATTAGTTAACATATGTGACATAACATAGTGCTTGGAATATAGCAGGGCAATATTCAAGTAGATCTGTCCTTCATTTTACTCCATTGATGACTTCTTCTACCCTCATCTAGATAAAGGAAAATATTAAGTTGACCATTTAGTCAATATTGACTTTAACATCCGTTCTCTTGTGGCACTGACCACTCATTTTTTTTAATGCTTTAAAAAATTATAAAATATGCCCTGGCCGGTTTGGCTCAGCGGTTAGAGCATCAGCCTGTGGTCCCGAGAGACCCGGGTTCGGTTCCCACTAAGGGCATGTACCTCGGTTGCAGTTTGTCCCCGGCCCTGGTTGGTCGTGCAGTGGCAGCCACTCGATGTGTCCCTTTCACATCGATGTTTCTCTCTCTCTCTCTCTTCCTCTCTCTCCCTCCCACTCTACCTGAACAAAAAAATGGAAAAAATGTCCTCGGGTGAGGATTAAAAAAAAAAATTATAAAATATAACACATACAGACAAGTGTACAGAACATAAACAATTGGTATAATGAATAATGGTAAACAAAGGTCCTAGTGCTCTAGACAGAGTGCATGTGTCCCTTTACAACCTCAACCTCCATATTACATTTTCATATTAATCCTGATTCTTTCGTGTGTGGATTATTTTGGGTTTTCTACACACACGATATTTATAAGTAATATTTTTGTTTCTTCATTTGCAAACCTTACACTTTTATCTCTTTTTCTTACCTTACTGAGTTGGCTAGCATCTCCAATGTAATGTTAAATACGTGTGTTTAGTGGATAGCCTTCGGAGCTCAAGGAAAACCTTTCAACTTTTCATCTTGATATATAATGTTTGTTGTAATTTTAAAATAACCTTTAGAATGTAGAGTAATTTTCCTTCTATTTCTAGTTGGCTAAGATTTCTTTTATAAATTGCTATAGAATTTTAAGTGTCTTTTCTGCATTTATTAAGATGATTATGTCATTTCCTCATTAATGTGCTAATTAATAAATTATATTGATAAATTACATATTTTTACAATGTATGTTCTTTCCTTCCATCCCTGTTGTAAAAACAACTTTTTCTGTGATGTATTTTTTATCATTTTTTATATTGCTAGATCAGTTTGCCTACATTTTATTCAGAATTTTTGCATCTATGTTCATGAATGAATTTGATTTTTTATTGTTGTTGTACTATCCTTGACAGTTTTATTATAAGGTTGATGCTAGCTTCATAGAAAAAAAAGGCAGGAGAGGATACCTCTTTTTATTTCCTGGAATAATATTTGTTAAGATTTAAATTATTTTTAAAAATGTTATCACTAGTAAATGAGCTCGGTTGGGGTGGGGCATGTCCTTTTTGAGAAAATGTTTAATTATTGATTTAGTTTATTTAAATGGTTAAGAGACAATTCAGGTTTTCTATTTCTTCTTGAGTCATTATTGGTAAGATATACATTTCTAGTAATTTTCTCATTTCATGTTTAGATTTAGTGGAGTCAAGTTGTTTATATCCTCTTACTATTTTTAAATTTTCTGTAGGATTGAAGGGAAGCCTGTTTCTTTATTCCTGTTATGATTTTATTTCTAGAATGGTTATTCATACTTTTCTTTTTTGTGATGGGCATTTTATGAAATATTTATCAATTTTAAGTCTTTTCAAAGAACCAAATGTTTATATTATTTGTTCATCCTTTTTGCATCTATGCCATTGATATACTTTATTTTTTCCTTTTATTTACTTGAATTTATTTTGTTAATCTTTAATTATTTGAGGTTGATGTTTAATGTTTAGTTAATTAAATTTTAGCCATCTTTAAAAAAACGTATTCATTTAAATGTATCTTTAAAAATGTATTCATTTAAATGTATCCATGTAAAGCTCTGTACATCTCTCTTTTTTTTTTTTTTTTTTTTGTGGTACATGCCCCTAGCAGGAACTGAACCCGGGACCCTCTGGTCTGCAGGCCGGTGCTCAACTGCTAAGCCAAACTGGCTCGGGCTGCACATCTCTTGTTATAGCTGCATTATACACATTTTGATATCCAGTATTTTAATTATCATTCACTTCAAAATATTCCCTAATTTCCACTGTGACTTTTTCTTCAATGTAAGTGTTATATAGAAGTAAATGTCATAATTTTAAAATGTGGGGATTTTTTTATTTTCTTGTAATTAATGTCCTTCATAATTTCACTGTGGTCTGAGAATATACTCCATAGTTTTGATCCTATAAAAATGTGTTGAGACTTTTTTTTATGTTTTAGTGTATGGTATATATAAATATATACATATACATATGTATACACACACACACACACACACACACTCTCAATCCTCACCGAGGATATGTTTTTATTGATTTTAGAGAGAGTGCTTGAGAGAGAGAGAGAAACATCGATGTGAGAGATAAACATCAATTGGTTGCCTCCTGTACGTGCCCTGAACCAGGGATCAAACCCACAACCTAGGTATGTGCCCTGACAGGGAATTGAACCCACAACCTTTTGGTGTAAGGGATGCTCCAACCAACTGAGCCACCTGGCCAGGGCAGTATGCCCTTAATATTTTTAAGATAAACATACTTATAGCATTTAAGAAGCTAGAACGTTATGGAGGCTTTAATATGAATAACTGTTGTAAGTAGCAGGAAAGGACAAGTAATGCCATAAAGGAAGTGTAGACTAACTATGACCATGGACATCCCAAGGAGGCATTTCCAGATGGACACATCTGACAAAGCTTCATGGAGGTACTACTGAGACCTATTCAGAATCTAAAGAGAACTCTGGGTGGAGAGTACTGTGGGACAAAAGGCACAGAGATGGAAAAGAGCACCTGTACAGAGGAAAGAGGGCCGAATTCTGTTTGACTGGAGCATGAGATGAGTGTGTAAAAGGGGAAAGTAGACAGGGGTTTGGAAAAGCAGTTTGGTGCCATTGGAGAAGCATGTAAAACAGGCCAAGGGGTTGGGTTCTATTTTGAAGATAAAAATTTTAATATTCAGTATTCACTACTGAATATCATTTGACATTCATTGAATGTTATACACAGGAAAATGATTGAGCTATATTTGAAGTAATTAATCTGACAGCTATATGTACAATAGCTCAATAAAAATTTAGCTTAATATTCTTCTATACTTCTATACCTCCAAATATGACAATATTTATGATGTTATATATATCCTACAATGAGAGTAATTACCCAAGCTATAAGGAGGAGAGACAGGGAATCAATGTTCATTGAGCATTGATTTTGTATAAAGCTCTGTACTGAGCAGTTCATTATGTTATTGCAAGTAACTTTAAAATAATTTTTTCATACATTTATAATAACTGATGATAAAAGTTTATGAAATACTAATGATAAAAATTTTGATTGTGGCCCTGGGTGGTTTGTTCAGTAGTTAGAGCCATGGCATGCAGACCGAAAGGTCACAGGTTTGATTCCCCACCCTGGTGAACGGCAACCGATCGATGTTTCTTTCTTTATCTCTCTCCCTCCCTCCCTTCTTTCCTTCATCCCTCCCACTCTATCTAAAAATCAATGGAAAAATATCCTCAGGTGAGGATTAACAACAACAACAAAAAAGGTTTTGATTATGTTTAATTATATTATAATAGCATAATTAATAATTATATGTGTTAAGTAATAAAAATGCTCTATCTTTACTAAGATAAGAGTGGACTAAGAGGCTTTAGGATATTTTTAAAAACAAGGAGGATTTATGGAATAGCAATACTCAGTAACAAAGTTTAATTACCCAAATAACTTAGATATTAAACAGTTTTCAAATCAAAATAGAGAAGAATTTAAATAATGCATCTTGAATCACTCTTTTGGCTTATACATTCTTAATACAAACACACAATTACTTACCCAAAGGTTCAGGTTGTTGCCGGGTCTTCAAGCTGGTGTCCTGCTGTGACCTCTCTCTATTATTAGGGTCTAAGGGTTTTTCATTATTCGGGTCAGAAAGCTTTATATTGTCAGCATCAGGTGGACTAGGATCTGAAGGTTCTTTATTGATCGCATCATCTTGCACAGATGTTGACCAATTCTTGTCCATAAATAAAGCTTTGTCTGTGGTTTCAATATCTAATCAGTGTAAAGAGGACTCGTGAGCTACTATGCTAGAAAAATCAACCACCACAAAATGCAAGAATGTCTTTTGTTCCCTCCCTGCAATGTACCTGTTTGGTATTTGGCCTCTTGGGTGTTCATTTTTTCCATGTACTGTTGCCTTATTTGTTTAGCAAATCTGGCAGGGTTGTCCCAAGGTATGTTGAACATCTCAGACTCTGTCCCATACATTTTCCTAGAAGGCATTAGTTTCCCTTCTTCATCAACCTCAGAGAGTTTCAGGCTCTCAAAAGTAAACACTTTGAAGGCTCTTTCTACTTCATTCCAGCTCAAGGGTTCTGTAAGAAAGCAGGACCTGGGCTGCCGGGAATGCTCTCGCCACCGCATGCACAGGGCTGGTGGGGGCAACCAGGGCATCTGTCCACTGGAAGGACAAGGAGTCAACCGTCATGAGTTTTGACCTGACTAACATGGGCCCCACAATTCTACAACGAACATCAAAGGTACCTAATAATAAGAAAGCTACATAATCACAATACAGTTTATCAAGCTAATACTCCCAAATTGCTTCATAGCTTAATAAATATTAGGGGTCCAGATTAATTCACATGGACTTTCCAGGGTACCATACTGGTTGAATATGGTTAAAGCTTATTCCTTTTAAGCAAAAGCACCCTTGCTGCTAAAATAAAAAATTACTCACTTGTGTCTAATACATCCAATAGAATTTCCTCCTCATGAGGACTCACAAAAGGCCTCTTTCTAGTCACTTGAACTGGTGCTATTCTTTCCATAACTGCACTTCAAAGGTTATCAGCATTCAGTGGGCTCTATTCATTTGCATGTTTATTCTCTTACACAAAAGTGTATCTATCCATCCACTCACTCACGCACTTGTTCATTCGTCTTTGTGTTCTATGTATTAGGCTTTCTCATAGGTAGGTGCCTGAGACCCAAAGAGAAGATTTGGTTCTTGTACTGCAGAAGTCCAAGGTAGAGGGGCAGGAGGTAGTATTAACAACTAATCTTGTAAATCAATATAAAAATATTTTGTAATTTGCTTAGAGTTAGAAAAGAAACAAGAACAAAGGATCTGCACATGCTATTCCCTTTTCTAGGTCAAATGCTTTCTTGTCAAATAAAGATGTCTTTGCAATTTCTCATTCCTTCTTATAAGTAGGAATGTTTCTGCATATTGCCTCAAGTGGATATAGAATTTGGTTTTAGGGAATGATTGTCTATAACATAAAATTCCAGTGAACTCTGCAATGATTTTAGATATTGTTTTTACAAATATATTTTTATTGATTTTTTAGAGGGAGAGGGTGTGAGAGAAACATCAATCTGCTGCCTCCTGCACACCCCCTATTGGGGATCAAGCTTGCAACCTGGGCACATGCCCTGACTGGGAATCTAACCGGCAACCTTCTGGTGCACGGGATGAGACCAACTGAGACACACCGGCTAGGGTAGACTTTAGATATTTTTAATGACCTCTCTTTTCCATTGTCTTCTCAGAGCATAAAATGGCTCTTGCGGTTGTGAAAGGAGGTTCAGTGGAATCAACACCCTTGGTACCACACCAACAGGAAGTTCTCTCATCCATTTATCCTCCTAATTTGGATAGGATTACCACATCATCTCCAATGATGTCAAAGAAGGGATTCGACATTGGGGGCGGGGAGCAGGAGAAAATAATAAAATATATTCTTGTTATAGAAACACTGTAGAGATAAAACCCAGTGCAGCAAACTGAAGAAGGTTAAGCATTGTAGCTATCATAGTATTGTTACCAACGTTATTCAAAATAAGACAATTGTAGTCAATCCAAATACCTACCCCCAGCCTCTGAAAGGTCTTTCAACAATCAAAATACTTTTGGGTGTAATCTTAGGAGGTATATATGACCATAAATGAATGAGTAGAAGCTAAGACAAAGCAATGTACTCACCATTTGTACAAAAGTGCATGAGCTCATGAATTGTAGCTAGACGTTTTGTGCTGTTCCATGGTGGGGGCAGAGGGAATTCAAGTAATTCCCACAGTGGCAACTTGGACTGCATCTCCTGCTCGATTTGAACTGGGTCAAAATTCTTTTGGTCCTGATGAAAAAGAGCAGCGCAACAGAAGACCTTGAAGTAGGCTGCCAAACGCCTCATGCATATGGAGAAGGCAAAACATAATCCTTTCCCTCTCATTTGGGAACAGGGGAAATCAACGGTAATTGGGGAAGACAAACTAGTGGTATTTTGCTGAGGGTCAAAAAAGCTAGTTCTCACTTTGCCAGAGGTTCTCCGGTCGGAGAGCCTTTTCTGGCCTCCACTAGTTTTTCCTATTAGCTGATGTTTAAAGCAAATAACTATCAAGTTTTAACGCAAATGTGGTGTAGTCACAACCAATTTAATGGTTCATTGGACCGCTATAATTAGGCACATTTCCTTTGCTGACATAAGTTCTCCCTTACACGGTGTTCATTTTCTGAGATCTCACTTTGCCAATAGGTGTTCATTTGGTATATTACATCTAATCAGCATTGGTGGAGCCATCAGAGTGAGATCACAAAAGGGCTCTCCTGCGGTAGTTACCTCCGGCCGCAGGGTTCTCAGTACCTGGAGCGCGTACTCCTTGTGGGCCAGCGCATCGTGGTAGTTCAGCAGTAGGGGGCCCCTGGGCACTGCTTTGCTCTTCCTTTCGTCTTCAGGTAAAAATATTTTACAGAGATTCTATTCAAATGGAAATAATATTGATTTGAAGAGAGAATCCACACTGTTTCAAAACACGCAAGCGTACGGGCTCTCTCGTGCCATCTGACCTTTTTCTCACTCTCCGGGAGACAGAGCGAGGGCAGGATGGACACAATGTGAGCTGCGATCCTGTGGTCCAGCCCGTCTGCTCTGGGGGGCGGCTCCACCAGACTGGGTGGGATGAGGTCTTCTTCGGTTGCCACAACCTGTTAAGATAGAGTTGGGAGGAACTGGTTTAATGGTCAGCTCTTTATTGAGACTCATGTATTTCCATGGCTCTTAGCACCGGTGAAGTGCAGTGTTTACGCAGAGTGGCAGAGTAATAACCAGTGACCACCATCCACGCATTCAAGGGGTGCACCTTCACACGCGTGATCTCAGGTAAGCTTCACAGCAATGCTGTGGATAGCGCAGGTGTTATTTTCCAGCTTACACGGAAAGAAACCAGGCTGCATGAAGTTAGGTGGCTGGCTCAGGCCCAAGGCTACTGACTGGGAGAAATGGGGGTTCAGGTCAAGTCTGCATTCTTTCTTCAAGATAGAAAAGCTATAGATGGTGAGAGCAGGAAAGGGTAATAGTCTCCTGCATAAGGAGAAAGTAAGGTCTAGAAATATTACATACCTTGTTCAATTTTACTTGGTAAACAAAGAAAGTTGAAATATAATCAAGATAGGCACCTAATTTTTTTTTTTTTTTTTCATCCTCACCCGAGGACATTTTTCCATTTTTTGTTCAGGTAGAGTGGGGGGGAGAGAGAGGAAGGAGAGAGAGAGAAACATCGATGTGAAAGGGACACATCGAGTGGCTGCCACCCGCACAACCGACCAGGGCCGGGGACAAACTGCAACCGAGGTACGTGCCCTTAGTGGGAACCGAACCCGGGTCTCTCAGGACCGCAGGCTGACGCTCTAACCGCTGAGCCAAACCGGCCAGGGCAAGATAGGCACCTAATTTATAGCTTTTCCTTCACCTGAAATCCCACCTTCATCCTCTGTGATTTCACAGCCCTCTGCAGGGTTCCTCAACTGTGGAACAGAGACATCTTGAACTAGATCATTATTTGTCCTGGGGCTATTTTGTGCACTATAGAAAGTTTAGCAGCATCCCTGGCCTCTACTTATTTGATGCCATAAGAACCCCTCCAATTGTGACAACCGAAAATATTTCCAGACATTGCCAAATGTCTTTAGGAGGCAAAATCACCCTCTGTTGAGAACTGCTATAGACTGATGACAAAATAGCCTTGTCCTTCACCATTTGTGAACTCCTTACATTCAGAAGAGTGACTCGTGTCTCTACTTCTATCTTCCAACCAGCTCCTGGACTCACTCCAATCACAAAGACCACTCAAAAATGTTCTATCTCTGAAATGTGAAACTCTAATATCCCATCCCATAAAATCCCATCCCATTCCTCTTACGCTTCCATTATTTTTCATTATTACTAAGCATTTATTCAGCCAACATATATCTATTACTGAGTGTGCTCTGTGCATCAGGCACTGAGAGCATTGTCCTCTTCGGTGCTTGGAATGTCGCAGGTGGCTAATACCTGTCTGTTGCTTTGAGTTGAGTTGAATACAATAAGAAAGACTAAGATAAATAAAATGATGATACTGCAAGCTGTATAGGATTTTTATACTTTTATAACTTAAAGATATAATAAAATAAGCAGTTTCCCAAAAACCTACGGGACAATTAAAGGCAAACATGACTGTGCTTCCTAATTGGTTAAAAAATTAAAGTGGTCAACAAACATAAACATGTATACTGGAGTGGCAGCCAGTCGATGTGTCTCTTTCACATCCATGTTTCTCTCTCTCTCTCTCCCTCCTTCTCTCCCTCACTCTCTATCTGAAGATAAGTGCAAAAATGTCCTTGGGTGAGGATTAAAAAAATTGTGTACTGGAATGTGTGATATCTATGACACAAGAACAGTAACAAGTAGTTCTAAAAAAAGATTATCGAATTTGTAAATTAAAAACATTACTTCTGAAGCAAAATTTCAGTAACAGACTGGACTCCACTGAGGAATGAATTAGTTGGAAGTTAAGCTGGAATTCCCAAAAGAATAAAATTAAAAGAAAAATTAAAAGACAAGGAAAAAAAAAAGAGATAAATTGCAATAGCCTTCTGTATAATAATGACAAATCAATAGAAAAAATAATATTTTAAAAACATAATTTAATTCAACAAACAAATAAATATTCAGTGTCTACTGTGGGTTAGCTATAGTTAGTATGTGCTGAGCATACAGCAATGAACAAGACTAGATTAAGTGCCTGCTTGCATGGAGCTTACTTTCCCAGTCATAGAACAAAGGTAAGACACAAAGCAAATACGTATATTTTAAAAAAAAGCAGCTGTTGATAAGAATATAAAATACCAGTGATATGGTAGAAAACGCTGTGTTGCTGTGGGCCTTCTTTAGATCAGTCATCAGAGAAAGCCTCGTTAAGGAATGCCACTTCCACTGGGGACTGAACAACAAGGAGTATGCACCAGGCAGGCATGTGAGAGCAAAACATCCCAGGAAGAGAAGCTGAAGTGAAAACTAAGGTGGAATTGAGTAGTGTATGAAGAAAAACCAGGCGGCTTATGTAGATAACGAATAACGTGTGTTGGGGAGGAGGTTCGGTGGAGAGCAGAAAATGAGACAACAGATACAGTTCAGAATCATACTTTTTTGTTTTTTAAACTTATCTTTACTGTTGAATGTATTTCAAATGTCACTCCCTTTTCCCCCCATTGATTCCCTCCTCCCTGCTCCCGCCACCACCCTGCCTTCACCACACTATTGTCTACGTTCGTTGATCATGCATATATGCATGTAAGCTCTTTGGTTTATCTCTTCCCATTCCTCCTCCCCCCTTCCCTTTGAGGTTCATAAGCCTAACAGACAATTTGTACTTCTTAATCTTTTCACTTTTTCTCCCATCCTACCAACCTCCCTCGCATCTGGCAACCAACAAAAAGTTTGCTGTATCTATGATTCTATTTTGCTTGTTCATTTGGTTTGTAGATTCAATTGTTGATAGATATGTATTTATTGCCATTTTATTGTTCATATTTTTGGTCATCATCTTCCTCAAGAAGATCTTTCAGCATTTCACATAATACTGGTTTGGTGGTGATGAACTTTTTAGCTTTATCGTGTCTGGGAAACTCTGTATATGTCTGACGATTCTAAATGATAGCTTTGCAGGACAAAGTAATCTTGGTTGTAGGTCCTTGATTTTCATCATTTTTAATAATTCTTGCCACTCCCTTCTGGTCTGCAAAGTTTCTTTTGAGAAATCATCTGGCAGTCTTATGGGGGCTCCCTTGTAGGAAACTGCTTTTCTTTTGCTGCTTTTAAAATTCTTTCTTTGTCTTGAACATTTTGCATTTTGATGATGATGCATCTTGGTGTGGGCCTCTTTGGGTTCTTCTTGTTTGGGACTCTCTGTGCTTCCTGGACTTGTTTGTCTGTGTCCTTCACCAAGTTAGGGAAGTTTTCTGTCATTATTTTTTTCAAATAGGTTTTCAATTTCTTGCTCTCTCTCTTCTCCTTCCGGCACCCACATGATGCAAATGTTGGCACGCTTGAAGTTGTCCCAGAAGCTCCTTACACTATCCTCATTATTTTTGGATTCTTTTTTCTTTTTGTTGTTCTGATTGGGTGTTTTTTGCTTCCTTATATTCCAAATTGATGGGTTGCTTCTTGGCTTTTTCTACTCTACTATGGATTCCCTGTAAATTATTCTTTACTTCAGTTAGTGCATCCTTCATTTCTGACTGTGCATCCTTCATTTCTGACTGGTCCTTTTTTATGCTCTTGAGGTTCTCACTAAGTTCCTTCAGCATCCCTATAACCAGTGTCTTGAACTCTGCATCTGTTAGATTGCTTATCTCCATTTTGTTCAGTTCTTTTCCCAGAGTTTTGTTCTGTTCTTTAATTTGGGACATGTTTCTTTGTCTCCTCATTTTGGCTGCCTCCCTGTGATTGTTTCTATGAATTAGGTAGAGTTGCTATGTCTCCTAGGCTTCGTAGGGTGGCCTATTGTAGTAGGTGTCCTGTAGGGTCCAGTAGCACAGCCTCCCTGATCACCCCAGCTGGGCCCTTGAGGTGCACCCCTCATGTGGGCTGTACACCCTTCTGTTGTAATTGAGTCTTGATTGCTGTTGACACATCAATGGAAGGGAATCCATCAGGCTGATTAGCTTCAAGGATTGCCTGTGACCTCTGACCACCTTGGAAGATCAGCTGTGTAGGGGTCCACCACTCAGAGCAAGACTTACTTCAGCAGGGCTCTGCTACCCCCCGAGTCACTCCTTGAGTGTGTTGCTTGTGGAGGTGGTTTGGTGGTGGTGTTTTGATATGGTCTGAAGCTGTCCACTGGGTGTGCTTGCTCTGGGGCAAGGTCAACCACTTCCTGTATTTTACCCGGGGCCACCAGGCATAAGCTACAAAGCAATCTGCAGATGGCTGCTTCTTGTGCTAGGCTTGGAGGTGCCCAGGCAAAGCCAAGCTATGAAGCAAAGCTGGCTGCTTCTAGTGCCAGGCCTGGGGCCACTTAGGAAGAGATATGGGGCTTGCTGCGGCCAGATGCTCCTGGTTTGAGAGAATTTAGGAAAATCTGAAGCAGGAGCCAAGACAGCCCAACCCTATGGTAAAGGCACTGAAAACAGCTTGGGTGGGTCTGAAAGTTGGGGCAGTGACTCAGGGAATCACCAGGGCGGGGAAAACAGTGTGAGCCAGGTTGCTGGAATCCCAGATATGGTTGAGGTCTGCTGGCCCTGTGGGGGAAGGGCTCACCAAAGGAACAATGGCCTCCACTGGCACATCTGTCCAGGATAAAGCTGCCTCCCCAGCTCTCGCCCTAATGCCAAACAACTCAGTTCTGCCCTGTATGTCTCTGGTACATTTCAATCTGCCTCCCCCACGCTGGAGCCTGGAGGGTGCAAGTTCAAGTAAATCCCTGTGTGTGACCTTTAAGAGGAGCTGCCTGGGGCTCCAGAAGCCTCAGCCTCCCTGACCCTCAGTTCCTGCTGGTTTTTACAGCCAGAAGTTATGGGGATTCTCTTCCTGGCGCTGGAACCCTGAGCTGGGTGCCTGGTGTGGGATGGGAACGCTCACTCCTCAGGGAGGACCTTCCCAGCCGAGGTGTCCTCCTGATTTTTATCCGCCACACGTGGGTGTGGGACCAGCCCGTCCGCGCCTCTGGCCTCCTACCAGTCTCAATGTAGCTTCTGCTTTAATTCCATAGTTGTGCCTGGCTGGTGTGGCTCAGTGGTTGAGCGTTGACCCATGCACCAAGAGGTCACTGGTTCGATTCCTGGTCAGGGCACATGTCCAGGTTCTGGGTCTGATCCCCAGTAGGGGGCATGCAGGAGGTAGCCAGTCGATGTTCTTTCTCATTGATGTTTCTCTCTCTCCCTCTCTCTTCCTCTCTCTAAAATCAATAAAGAAAAAAAAAAATTCCACCTGGCCAGTTAGAGCTTTGGCCTGCGGTCTAGAGAGACCTGGGTTCGGTTCCTGCTAAGGGCATGTTTGTCCCTGGCCCTGGTTGGGTCATGCAGGAGGCAGCCACTCCATGTGTCCCTTTCACGTCAATGTTTCTCTCTCTCTCTCTCTCCCTCCCACTCTATCTGAACAAAAAATGGAAAAATGTCCTCAGATGAGGATAAAATAATAATAATAGTTTTGTAGTTGTAGGACTTACATTCAGCTCGATGTCAGGCGGTTCTGAATGATGGTTGTTCTGTAGTTTAGCTGTAATTTTGATGTGGTCGTGGGAGGAGGCGGGACTGCGTTCACCTACCGGCCATCTTGACAGGAAGTCTCTCAGAATCACCAGTGTCTTTAAGGACCAATGTAAGGATTTGGATTTTACTCAGAATGTGGTCGGAAACCAGGTAGAACCCTTTATGCCAGAATTACAATGATAACACAAGCAAAGCCAGAAAGAAAGACAGACACGTACAAAGGAAAGAGTCCCCGACCGACATCAGACTCCCTGTCAGCACCCAGCAGGGCAGAGCTGTCAGAATGCTTCCCGTGCAGGCTGACCAGCTTCAAAAGCAGCTTTTGCCACTTACCACTTGGACAAGTGACTTAACCTTTTTATGCCTCAGTTTCCTTCTCTGTAAAATAAGAAATCAAAATAGTTCCGGTTTTATAGGGCTTTTGAAGGATTAAATGAGTTAATAAAAAACTCTTCTCAAATACATATAGAAAAATCCCAAGTGACCATGCACATCAGGTCACTCAGGAAGACCAGGAAATTGAAGGAAAAAAACCACATTTTAAACATGTGTACCATGTTTACTAACCATAACGCAATAAAATTAGTTGACAATAAAGAGTGGCAATAAAAATAAAATATTTAGAGTTGAACACATTGAAAGCATCAGGATGTAGCCAAGAAATACTCAGAAGAAAACGTGTAGCTATAAGTAAAGCAAACAGACAAAAAATAAATCAAATAAGCTCTCAAACAAAATGAAATACAAAATAAACCCCCCAAAAGCAGGACATAATAAGATAATAAAATAAAAAGTAAAAAGGAGTTGATCAGTGAATCAAAATGTTGTTCTTTAAAATGACCAAAACAATAGATATATCATTGACCACTATGATGAAGAAAAGAGAGAGCACAAATAAATAAGATCATTCATAGAAAAGCAACATGACCAAATATGGAGGAAATTAAAAAATGCATATAAGTGAATAAAGAACTTTGTATGATATTCAAAGCACACACAAATGGACATTATTTAAAAAAAATTACTATACTAGTGTCTAAAGTTGGCTTTTGAAATAGAAAAATATGATAAAATCTACAAGTATAAAAGACAATTTAAAGATAGTTAAAGACCATTAACCACCCCATCCATCTATCCTTTCTCTCTCTGCCATTAAATGACAAAAGATGCACAGTTTAAAAAAAATATTTTTTCTTTATTGATTTTAGAGACAGGAAAGGAGATAGATAGAAACATCGATAAGAGAGCACATTGACTGGTTGCCTCCTGCACGTCCCCCCCACCACTGGGGATTGGGCCCAAAACTTGGGCATGTGCCCTGACTAGGAATCCGACCAGTGATCTCTTGGATGCATGGGTCAGCGCTCAACCACTGAGCCACACCGGCCCGGCAAGACACAGATAGTTGTAAGGACATGTCTACTAAAACTTCAAGGAATATTATATAAACTATTCCAGAACACAGAAAAGAAAGGGGATTGAAGGTGATGCTCAAAGCAAATGTTAGTTTGATCTAAAATGTTCAGGAGAATGCTTTCAGGTGCTATGTATATAATTTAAAATAGTTTTTAAAAAATGGAAGCAAGGAGAGATGAAGTGACTGATGAGGTTATCCCCCAGGAAAAGGGCCTCTGAGTGTACCCACCTACCTGTTCCAGCATACAGTGCAGTATCAGGGGCACAGAAATGAATTCTTCTGCTATCTGGTTCAGCAAATCGTTGTAATACCTCATGTCTACTTCTGCTGTGATGACAGAAGCCACTGTGAAATAGACAAAATGTCACTGCTCAGTCAAGATGCATTCTCCATTTCTTCCATCAAAATCTCACCCACCAATTCAAGCGATGGCCATGCACTGACACAGGGAGGGGCTGTGGGGGAGGGACAGCCGAAACCAGTACGGACAGTCACTACTCCGTAAGGCCTCAGCTCGCGGCCTAGAACACTCCAGCAACAGGGCTCACACGTGCCTGATGGCGGCACTTGTGGTTCTTCATTTTGTGCTTTCTTCTTCCCAGGGGCTGGAGCAACAGGCTGTGGAACCTAAGAGAAATATGAAAAAGAAACAGCTGAGATACCCAGCCGGGAGACGCTTTCATCAGACGCCAGTCTGATGGCATCGGACAGGATGCTGAGACTGTATGATTATGTTCGCACCACAAAACCATTTGCTGATATTAGGATCAAACAAAAGGAAGAAGTTAATGGGTACAGACACTTTTTGTTGTTCCTAACAGAGCTCACTGAGCACCTGCTGGGAATGTGATGGGGAGAGGGGGCAATGAGAGTCACAAAGGTTTTCCTCCGGGGTCACTCAGACGCATGCCATTCTCCCTCTCAGAACCTGTCAATGGTTCCCCATCACCTTCAGGGTGCAGCTCAAACTCTTTCGCTCAGCCCCAGTGGACATCCGGCTCCTGCCTGTCCAGCTTTAGTTCACGTTGCTGTTCTCCCCTGTGTCCACGAGGCCTGGGAGTCCTGACCTAGGCCATGGTCCTGGTTTGGGCCACACGTCTCTTCTTCGACCTCATGTCTTCACACATCTTTGCCCCTTTCTTGCGGATACCAGTCTGTCCCTTTCCCTCAGTGGCTTTCCCCTATCCATTCATACTCGGCCTTCACCGCATCACTTACCCTGCCCGGTGAGACTTCCCTGACTCCCCTCTCTCCCTCCCGCTCCTCCAGATCAGGGCGGGTGCCACGTGTCGGTGCTTCTACTCCTGAGCTCTCCTCATGCTGTGTGGAAACTGCTCTCGACTCGACTGCTGTCTGCTTTAAGAGTTAGGCTCAGTGAGGAGGGCAGAGGACGTCTTGCTCGTTGCGATGCCAGGACCTTGCCCAGGGCTAGCCCATGGCGTGTACAGATAGACATCGTGAAGAACTGATTCATAGCCCTCCCCGTTCCACTGACGGCACAATGGGCTAGACATGGCGTGGCGCCTCTGCATGGGCAGGTGCTGGGGAGCCGTGGAGAGTCCCTCCACACCGGTGCCCTTGCATACCATCCCTGGGCCTTTCCTGGTTCCCATCCACACCTATGAAATCCCAGCAGGCGGCATTACCTTGCTACAAGTATTTATATGGTGTTTTCTTCACGTTTTATGAATGTGAAAATTAAGTTGTTCAGTTCGTCATTCAGTCCACGACAAAAGACACCCGAGCCCGTGCCTACCTCAGAAATCCACGTGACTTCCAGGACAGGCTTCTCACTAACCACCTGTGGGACGTTAATGAGCCGCATGCTTTCCAGATAGTGCCGGTGCTGCCGCTTCCAGTTCAGGCTGTTGTACATCAGGCAGGCAATGTTGTCAAAAATGTTCGTGCCCAGTTCCAGCTACAGGCGACGGAATGAATGAAAACCAGTTATTAGTTTCATACTGTTGGAATCAGATGTACAGTGTGTATCTGCCTTAACAGGTAAACCTATCACTTCAAGATTTCTTTCTTTTTCAATTACAGTTTACATTCAATATTATTTTGTATTAGTTTCAGGTGTACACCATGGTGGTTAGACAATCATATACTTTACAGTTTCCCCCATATTTCCAGTACCCACCTGGCACCCTACATACTTCTTACAATATTATTGACTATATTTTCTATGCTGTACTTTACATCCCCATGACTGTTTTGGGACTCCCAATTGTACTTCTTAATCCCTTCACCTTTTCCACCCTAACCTCAAACCCCCACCCCACCCCCCTGGCAGTCATCAGTCTGTTCTCTGCATTTGTGAGTCTATTTCTGTTTTGTTTGTTCATTTATATTGTTTTTTAGATTTCACATATAAGTGAAATCATATAATATTTGTCTTTCTCTGACTGGCTTATTTCATTTAGCATAATTTCCTCTAGGCCCATCCATGCTGTTACAAATGGTGAGATTTCAACCTTTTTTATGGCTGAATAGTATTCCATTGTGTAAATATACCACAGCTTTTTAAAATTTATTTAAATTTTTTTTTTTTTTTTTTTTTTTTTTTTTGTGGTACGGGCCCCTAGCAGGAACCAAACCCAGGACTCTCTGGTCTGTAGGCTGACGCTCAACCACGAGCCAAACTGGCCAGGGCCACAGCTTTTTTAAAAATCCTCACCCGAGGACATGCTTCTATTTCTCTTCAGAGTGGGAAGGAGAGAGAAAGAAACATCAATGTGAGAGAAACACATCAATTAGTTGCCTCCCACGCAACACCAACCAGAGCCAGGGACCGAACCGCAACCAAGGCATGTGCACTTGACCAGAATCAAACCCATGACTCTTTGGTCTGTGGGCTGACACTCCAACTGCTGAGCCAAACCGGCCAGGGCTGTACCACTGCTTTCCAACGCACTCATCTACTGATGGACACTTGGCCTGCGTCCACATTGTTGTGAATGACACTGCAATGAACATAGAGGTGCATATATTCTTTCTGATTGGTGTTTTGGGTTTCTTCGGATATATGCCCAGAAGTGCAGTAGCTGGGTCATAAGGCAGCTCCATTTTTAATTTTTGGAGGACCTTCCACACTGTTTTCCACAGTGGCTTCACCAATCTGCATTCCCACCAACAGTGCATGAGTGTTCCCTTTTCTCCACATCCTCACCAACACTTGTTTGTTGATGTATTGATGATAACCATTTTGACAGGTGTGAGGTGACACCTCATTGTCAAACCCATCACTTTTTTCGGGAAAGCACTTCCCGAACCACTGCGTCCCGGCCGTGGAGTCTTCATCTGCTGAATCATTCTTGCTCTTCTTGTCCAGCTCCCACTGGAGGGCCTGTGGCTGCCTGCTGTTGTAAGGAGCCTACTTAATGCTTGAATTCAGCGAAAAGCACCCTAAAGCTTGCATTCAGTTTCAGCAGTGTGGTGTATTTTCTAGGTACCTCAATTCCTAACACAACACCTTAGATAGGTGATTTCCACTTCCTCAGCCCAGGACAAGCTGTGGATGATTTCTTGCTTGACTGCAGGAAGCACGATAGGCAGCCGCTCAGCCTTGACGTCATCCACTCGAGCACACTGCCGTGTACATGCCAGAGTAGGTCTTCCTTTCCTCCCTGCCTCTCCTTTTCTCTCACCCGTGGACTTAAAGGGTTAAAAACAAAAACAAACATGACAAAAAACTAAGACATCCCGATAGATGGCTGCTCCTGTCATACCCACAAGTTTTGTGATCTGGCAAGTAAGTTATAAGTCAGATGCTTCTGTTACCTGGGCTTTCATTTCCAGAAACAGAAAGGCACTGCTTTCCCGAGTCTGTCTGCTTGAAAGCAGAGGGGGATTAGAGAGGCTCACCTAGGTCTGAGCGGAAGAGGTGAGGTGGAGGGAGAGCTCCTGGTGGGGCCAGGGAGTGAATCAGTCTGGCAGGCGGCCAGGGGCTGCCTGGCTCTGACCACCTTCACAGCATGGCTGCCAGTCCGGGCTTCACGCGCCCCCTCCAACACTGGGCACTCTTCAGTCAGCCTTCAGCCTGCTGTTCTGTGCCCAGAGTCTGGCATCAAAACATGTTTTTACTTGTATTTTTAAGAAATGTAGTAAAACTTCTGCCCAATGATCCCTTAGCCTAACTAGTTAATTTATTTTTAAATCAAACAGCAAATCATATGCTAAAAGTCAGAAAATTATTTCAGCAACCAAGGTCTTAACTTGAGATGTTACAGATGTCTTACGCAAGCAGTTAGCACTTCTTGATGGGCACTTGTTTGATGTAAAGCTTTCGTTACCTTGGTGGAGCAGGAGTACAGCCTGACTGCTTGCAGCCACAGGCACTAATGCTTTCATTCTTCCAGGGAGGAAGGCTCCTCGCTGGCTCCTGCCTTGGACATGAGGCCATGATCAATGTACAGACATAGCTGAGAAGGTGACACGTGTATTGATACCACGTATCTAGTCTACTTCGACTAGACGTAGCTGTTCTTTTCAATTGATTTTGAGAGAGAGGAAGGTGGGGCAGAGGAAGGGAAAGAGAGAGAGAGGGGGGCATTCATCCATGTGTTGTTCCATTTATTTCTGCATTCATTGGTTGATTCTCGTAGGTGCCCTGACCAGAGATTGAACCTGCAACCTTGTCGTACTGGGAAGATACTCTGACCAAATGAGCTACCTGGCCAGGGCTACTTTGCTGTTTCTTAAGTGACCCTAAGTTTCAAATGAACTTTGGTCTTCAATATGAAATCCAATGTCCTTTTCTTCCGGAACCCAACTCCATTACTGAACTGCTTTGCAGGGCTCCAACAGACTCCTGCAGTCAAACCCAGAGCACGGCCTGGCATGAAGAAGATGCTCAATAAATACTTGAAAACTGACTAATAGGAGATCAGTGTGTGCAGGTGGGTAGCATGGCCCTAAGTGGTTCCTTAGACAGGTCAATGCTTTCATTACCTTTACCTTTTAAATTGACAATTAAAATTACCTTCATGTCCCAGCTAGAAACCCTATATGTTAATCTTTTAGTTTCAAAGTCAGGAACGTTCTACAAGAACTCATATTTCAACTAAGCTGATAACATCTTTTCAACATAAAATAAATTTTCTGATATTCGTCATTTAAACTCATCTACTCTATATTTTAAGAAAGGAAAATATAGATATATTCACTTTGTTTAAAAGTGGAGTAATTAACATCTTCTAATGAACCAAAGCAGAACGCGGGGGCGGGGGCGGGGGCGGGGGCGGGGGCGGGGGCGGGGGCGGGGGCTGGGTCTCGCGGAGCTGGCGCCCTGGGCCGGTGTTCACATTTACACTGACGATGCCGTGAAGGGCACCCCACCCTGGTACAGTGCGTTTCAGCTGCTCTGGGTCTGCGCCTGGGCATTAAATAGGACGCACAGAAGGGAGCCCGAGCTGGAGCCGGAGCTCAACAATCTTGGTGTGAGGCTGCTTAGAAGACTCTTCATTGCCTCCTCTGAGTTATGGTTCGGGATTTACATGGCTGCATCTCCTATGCCCTATTGAACCAAAAGATAGGATACAAGCTCCTTTCTTGACATGACCCAATGGAGAGGAGAAGTGTTTGCCTAACACATAAATTTGTGGATGTGGGTTTCTGTTAGGCATAGGTTTTACATGCTTAGGAAAAGAGGGAACAAGTAGAGAGCTAGCTTTGAGGGAGGATTTCAGCTGGGCGCGGTGGCGGAGCCTGTGGTCCCAGCTACTTGGGAGGCTGCAGCTGGGGGATCGGATCGCAGGGGGATCGGATCGCAAGGGATCGGATCCTATGAGCCTAAGAGTTCTGAGCTGTGGTGCGCTACTCCCATCAGGTGTCCGCAGTAAGTTCGGCATCACTATGGTGACCTCCCGGGAGCGGGGGACCACCAGGTCGCCTAAGGAGCGGTAAACCGGCCCAGGTCGGAAACGGAGTAGGTCAAAACTCCTGTGCTGGCCAAACGTTTCAAAAATACAATTTTGGCAATAAAAGCAAGGTCCTAGAAAAAGATGTTTGGGACCAACATATAAAAAGAAAAACAATGTAATTCGACAAACTGTAAAATTTACTATTGTCACAATTAATATATTAAGACTCTACTGCCTAGAACATTAAGGTCTGAAACAAAACCACATCACCAAATAAAAGAATAATCCTCCTTTATCTTCATCTACATCTTTCTAAATTTTTTATTGATTTTTTATCTTGAGAGAGAGAGAAACATCGATTTTATTGTTCCACTTATTTATGCATTCATTAGTTGCTTCTGTATATGCCCTGACCGGGGATTGAACCCTCAGCCTCGGTGTATCAGGACAATGCTTCAACCAACTGAGCTACCTGGCCAAAGCTCTTCATCTACATCTTATTGTTTGTCATTAATTCATACACTAAAAGCTATAGAATCGGGCTATAACCATTATTGGGCATTCAAGGTTATCACTGTCTGGAAGATAAAGGACAAAACCTGATCTATAGTCAGTGATCAATACATACCTGTGGAATGAATGAATGGGGTAAATGGAACCACAGTGTCACATGTGCACACCACTCGCCCCCATTATTGCGGGTACTAACCATCATCTCGCTGTCCGACCAGTCGGAAGGGTAGTCATCTGCCTTGACCATGTATTCAAACCGAGCAACATCAAAGAGATTTGTTTCAGGTTTCTCATTATTCAGGATTGGTTCCAAGTACTTCCAGAAAATGTCAAGTTCTTTTATGGTATTCTTTTTCTTCAATTTTTCAGCTTCTATATCTAATGATAGCAACATGTTTTATAGGATAAAATGAGTATTGAATTTCTTCCCACTTTAAGTGAACATGGTGGCAAGATGTCTTGTGCAGTCCCAGACAATGCAAATAAATAAATGTAATTTTGAGAAGACTTTGGACCTGGACTACATGATTATGAAATCAGAGGATTTTACTCCTGAAGTTGGTATCAAATATGAGCTTGTCCCCCCCTCTTCATTTTACAGTTGAGACCCAGAAAGATTATGATAAGGTTACATATTTTGGGAGCTAATATGTTCAATATTCTCATCACTCTTAGACTGCATTTGTATAGGAGCATTCTTTCTGCCCATTTTTTGACCACTTTCGTGTCTATTTGCTGTGTAGCTGGTTAGAAAGGCAAATGCTTTGGTTCCCTTTTCCCAAATGGCTAAAAACCAACGGGGTCATCAATTTATGCTTCAGTTAACTTTTGGTCATATTCAAATAGCTACTAGCTTCTCTGGGCATTTGTTCTCTGACTACAAAATAATGACGATTTTCCATAAAGTTACACTTGAAAATTTGAAATATTTATGTTTATTGCATCTATAGATAAATAGGTTCTACTACCAAGATCTCATTGGTCTACTGTAGACTACTTTTCTATCACTTATTTTTATAAATTAAATAATTTGTATAGAGAGACTATGAAGTTTATGGAGCGTTTTCCCCACTGGCTCCAATAATAAGTTATTTAATGTTTTAACTATCTTTGAAATAGAAGTTGCTGGGTTTGAATCTACTCTTACTTAATAGCTGCCTCTAGGCCAAGAGGCCTTTTTGGTAAAATGGAAATGAAACACATTTCTGAGGCTGGTGGTAAAAACTATATGAATCATCATATGTGTCTAATAAATGATAGCTATTGTTATCAGTGGTAGCAATTTCTTACTTGGAACAGGAATTTAAAAAATGTAGTGCTATAGAAATTGGGATGTGTAAGTTGCAAAGCACTGGTCAAATGATATTATTAATAAATAACAAGAAAGTAACAGCAGATGGCAGAAAGAGCCTGGACTTCTGCGTCACACAGGTTTACACCAAATCCCAGTTCGGTCGCCTCGGGTATACAGTAGCACAGAGGAAGTCCAGCACAATGCCCTTAGATGAAGACCTCCAGGCTCCAATGGCTGAATGGCGGTGTGGTGGGGACTTCGTCCCACACTCAGTGCCCTAAGGCCCAGAAGATAAGCCGCCCTTTCTGACTCCTCACAGCAAACCAGGAGCAAAGTAGCCCAAGCACCCTCCGTTCTGATCTCCCTTGGGCCACTTGGCGACTGCGGCTTCTGGAAGAATGGATTATCTACAACTGATCTATCCACCCCTTGCTTTCAATAAAATGTTCCTGAGAAAGGTAGTTGGATAACCAAGTTTTCTGACCTGCAGTCTATGTTCTCTGTGGCTACCCAGCGATATAAACACAGAATATGATTTTAATTTCCAGAATTTACAACACCTGGCCAATGCAAGCAGAATACAAAGCGAATCAAAGTCTTGAGAGGATTTAATAACGTACGTATTGTATGGCTATGCTTTGGAAAGAAAACCGTACTTATACTTTAAGGACAGTGGGTAGCACTGAAGGACTCAGTGAGTTGTGTAGCCGACTGCATACCTTCTGGCTGGAGGAAAACTTCCTGCTGCTGGCTAACTGCTGCCAGGTGCGTCTGCAGAGGTTCGTAATTCTCCGAAGAGATTTTAATCACGCTGTTTATGGGGATGCCAAGCTCAGTCATAATCGCTAATAGCTGAGGATTGTTGAAGCCCACAACGATAATGTAATGTTGGGCACCATCATCTGGCTCATCGTCTGTTCAAAATACCATAAAGAGGAGGAGTGGTCATTTGAAAAGGGAACAGGTTGCACTCCGCAGTTCAATGGCCGCATACATTATGCTTGTGTCTATAGTCCCTCTGGCTTGCAGAAGGCCCTGCAGTTGGCTGGAATGCAGTCCTGTTGACTGGTTTTCATTACTGCCCTTCCAGTAAGAAGGTTGTGGCCATTTTATAAAATATTAAGTCACTTTTGCAAATGAGATGTAGGCATAATAGGAGGACAGACAGACATGGGGCCCAGAGTCATGGAAAACGTGTGCTTGGGATTTTGTAAAAACAACAACAACAAAGTTTAGGCTGTGATTTTTTTTTTGCTTCTAATCTCTTTTGAGCAACATCTGGATTTACTCCTGAATTACGAGTAGCTGCAGCTTTGTGGTATTTTATAAGTAGAGGTGTTTACAGGAGAGGGAAATATTGAATATGGACATGCTCCCTACCAAAGTATTCTGTGTATTTATGTCAATAGATGTGAAGCCTATGCAGCAACGGCTGAGAGTAGATGGTACCTGCAAACAGTACATCCCACAGTGGCCCAGTGAGATCAATTTTAAAAGAGTGCAACAGATGACTCACTTTTAATTCTCAAGTAATGATTCTTATCTATCACTAAACAAATCAGTGTTGATATGGTCCATGGAATCCATAATATCACTGCTTCTAACTCTAGTGCGTGTAGAGCAGAGACTCACAGGGGAGTCAGACTGGGAGGAGGCGAAGCCCATCTCGCCCAAATGTGATGCAAATGGTAACAGGTGGCCCCGTTTGGATACCTGGGAAGTGGCAATAAGTTACTCATAGCTGTCTAATTTAAGTCATGTTTATATTAACAATGTAAAATGAACAAAGTTTCGAGTTGTTCTGAGACAAACTGGTTGTGGGAGAAGTCAAGGGCAGGAGCTCTGTGCTCTGCACAAGTCCCACATTAACTGGTCTCATTTTATCACCACTGTGTTCCACTCATTCCAATAGTCACTTTTCCCTTTGCCTTATAATCCCATCTGCCTTTAAAAATGCTTCCAATAAGACAGTAAGCTCTCTAGTGCCACAATCAGCTCATCATTTCGTCCTTTTGGTGAACTATGACAATGTGCCCACGGCAAGACAAGTGGTAAATAAATACTGGCTGAAAACATAAATGAATTGCGAATAGAAATATTTTTCTATTAGGGGATCACAGGTAGTCTGTGGTGTATGGTTTTATAAAGAGTGAAAAGGTTGGGGAAGGTGAAGCCTAGTTATTGGGGTGTCTTCTCAAGTTGCTTCATAGGTAGTGAGGCGAGAAGGGAAAGGCCACCAACACAGGAGCATCTCACTGACCGATGTAGAGCTTGGTGTCGTCCTCCTCCCCTCTTCGCTTGAGCTGGGTCGTCTTCTTCACGGCTGTGCTCACCTCGGGCTGATCCTTCCCCTTTCCTTTGGCCGCCTTGGCATCTGTGCCCTTCTTTTCCTTGGGAGATTTCAGTTTCCCTTCCTCCTTTTCTATCTTAAATCTGTCTTCTGTCACCTGGAGAGAGAGAACACTTTTTTTCAACGAATCGCACAGTGAGCAAGCAAAGGCGTTTCCACCGTCAGGTGAATTCACTGGTTATTTCATTCAATTGCTTGTTGACTCATCTATTCGATCCTCAGGCCAAGAGAGTGGAGATCCCGGGCTGAGCCTGAGCTGTGATGAGGAGTGGAAGAAGGGGGTGCTGAGAGATGGTCACACACACAGCCTCTGGAAGGGAATTCACCCTGAGGGAGAGTCAGGCAGGCCTCGCAAACCACCTCCGGTGCTGGGAGGCAGGGCGAGTGGAGGATGCTGACTACACTGTGAAGGCGGGAACTTAGGTTCATCAACAGCCTAACCTGGGGCAGGGTGTGTGTGTGTCTCTCTGTCTGAGCCTTAGAGAGAGGTGGGATAATTAACAAAACAAAAACGTAAAATTAAAAACAATAGGTTTCTCTAAAATCACCTTGATAAAGTTTTCATTGTTTAAGTAGTGTATGGACTATTTTTAAAGATTAAAACATTCTTTGGGGAACCCAGCACTAAGGAGTTACTTTAATTACACTGCTACTTAAAAATGTCTGGACATAATCATGTGGTTGTGATGTGTCATTCAAAGATGGGAACAACCAAACATGGATTGGCAAAGCTAATGTTTTGCTCACTGCTGGGAGGTGAGCTTAGACACCGGATACCACAGAGAAACCCGATTTCCCCACCATTTTCTTCTTAAACAATTACCGAAACCTTTGTACATTATTTCATAATGTAATTATGCTTTCAATTAATATGCAATGCGTACAAATAGGTTGTGTTCATTGAAATGACGCGGCAGTATTGATCATAAAATGGCCATACGTAGGGTCCAGAATGTGCCTCTATTTTTTATTTTTTTCCACATTCAGCAAAATTGGAAACAAAAATAAACAAATGATTGTAGCAACAATACAGATGGGCTCTGTATTTTCCTGAGGTCATGAAATCACATTTGAAAGCCTCTGTTCTAAGACCTTAGAGACATGAAGAACAGAAGAGCCAGCGCTTGGGCGCCCAGTGAACGGAGCGGAACCAGGAGGGGACCAGCATCTCCCTCCTCTTCCTGGGACCCTGGAGGGAGCCGGGCTCATCACAGTCAGCACTTCAAAGTGAGCAGTAAGTGAGCAGAGACCTACCTGTGTAGTATGCTTTCCAGACATCATCATCTTTAATTTGTTCTCACAAAGCAGCCTACAATGGTAATTGGATTCCCAATGTCTACACTAAGACACACAGCTTGTGCTCAGACACACAGCTGTAGCAGACACACAAGCTGGTTTGATGCAAACCGTAAACTCATTTTATTTCTATGGTACTCCTATATTTTGTTGTTGTTAATCCTCACCCAAGGATATTTTTCCATTGATTTTTTTTCTTTTTTTTTTAGAGTGGAAGGGAGGGAGGGGGTGACAGAAAGAGAGAAACATTAATGTGAGAGAGACACATCGATTTGTTGCCTCCTGCACAAGCCTAACCAGAGGCAGGGATTGAACCTGCAACCCAAGTACGTACCCTTGACAGGGAATCGAACCCTTCAGTCCGGGGGCTGGTGTTCTAACCGCTGAGCCAAATTGGCCAGGCTATGATACTCCTGTTAGTCTCAGTCTTTGATGACCTCTCACCTCCTTTCCCATGACTGTCTGCCCTCCCTCGGCTCTGTCTTTCCAGGGGCTGAAAGGAACTTGCTGGGCTCTTTAGCTTCTCCATAGTGCTTCAGCTCCCTCCGCGCCCCTCTGCTCTGGGCCTCCTTGTGCAGTCTCTCTCTCTCACTCTGGTACACCGGAGAAAAGCTTCTTTTAAACCAATTCCCATGAGAAATGATCAATATTCTCCTCCCTCCTTTCACAAAAGGATTTCAAAAATATCTATAAATGTTGATTCACTTCTTTAAATAACTTTTTTAAATTATAAAAAAAATTATTCTTGAATATTAGGGGAAAAAATATAGAGAACTTACAAAACTCACCATAATTCCACCATCCAGAGAAGATGAGTGGAAGATGATGTTGAATGCCTTTTTTCAAATTATGTGTATGCGTCATTTTTACATAATTGTTCTTGTTCTCTCTATACAACTTAGTGGTCTGTATTTTCCATTTAACAACGATGCACTTTCAGTTGGTAGGATTTCAAGAAGTGTGCAGAGTTCCCAGGGAGAGCAACCATGCTTGCCCTACATGGTAGCATCTGGGCCGTCCTGCTGTGAGACCGCCTGGTGCAGACCCTAAGTGGGAGAAGCAGAATAAAGGGAGCACCTGGGCTATCCCGGCAGCCAGGTCCAGGCAGAAGTCCTCGGCAGATGTCTGAACATGTCCTTTGCCCTACCGGGTCCCGTCTGCTCCCCCATGGCTGCCTCGTGCGGTGTGCTGCTCCCCTTCTGTTCCTCATCCTCCCACCCTCCACACTTGAGCTGAACCAGGACGGTCCCTTTGACCCTCTGGTCTGGACAATGATTGACTGCTTGACCTCTAGAATTCTACTTTGGTCCAAAGGTAAAACATGCTTTTCTACCAAGCCCCAAGCACCAAAAAATCACCTCCCATCTTCTTCCCCTTCCCTCTATTCTCTCTCATTCTGAATAAGCCCCTTCATGACATATGAGCTTATGTTTTGAAATTTGGGGGCAGGATAGGGCAGGATACTCTAATTAGCTGAGTATGCGGAAAGTTAGTCCCTCCTAAATCATAAACTAAAAATTTGTTTACTCCAAATTCTTCTTTGACCTCTTTTACTTCTGGGTAACATAGCATGCATTTCCTGTTTATTCTATGGTGATCTGCTCACAACTCGAAGAACTTAGAGGCAACTCTTGCCAATTCAAGATAAAAATTTAGGAGGGGTGCATCCAAACGGCCCCTCTTTTCACCATGTTTAGGGAACACATGTTCCCCAGAATATGAAGGGGAGAGTCAAGTTCACTACGGAGAACATTTTATTTAAAATGCATTGTGCACAAAGAGCATCTGGATGCCTCTGGCCGGGAGAGGCCTTGGCTAGGCACAGAGCTTTCTCAACCAGTTAAGTTGCATAGCAGATGTGGGATTCTTAGCAACAACCAAAAAAAGTATTAGCATTTTGCCCTGGCTGCTTTGGTCAGTGGTTAGAGCATTCGCCTGCGGTCCAGAGAGACCTGGGTTCGGTTCCTGTTAAGGGTACGTACCTCGGTTGCAGTTTGTCCCCGGCTCCATTGGGGTTGTGTGGGTGGCAGCCACTTGATGTGTCTCTTTCACATTGATGTTTCTCTCTCTCTCTTCCTCCCTCTCTTCCTCTCGTTCTATCTGAAGATGAATGCAAAAATGTCCTTGGGTGAGGATTAAAAAAAAAAAAAAAGTATTAGCATTTCATGTACTCAGTTGAGTATCAAGTGACACCTATTCAGAATCCTTAATCTTGTTATTCTCACTTTTTAAAGGTAAAAATACAAATTCTCCCTGTCTGAAACAGGGCAACATAATTATTTGATACTTCAAATAGTCTAAATTGTATTTTATTTCTAAATGACTCCTTGATGTCAAAATTCAAATACCTTCAAATACCTTGACAGGTGTTCGTTCTGTTGTTCCTCACAATGAGTGGAGGTGAAGGTCCGTGGGACAAACGGCCAACAGCTCTCCTTCCTCTGCTTGTTTTAGTTACTAGTGCTTCTTCATGTTTGTGTACAATTTTGTGTTTTACATGTGCTATCACAAGATTCCCACAAAATATTATTAAGGATATAGGTAAAAACCATGCTCAGGAAGGTTACATGACTAAGCCATTTCATTATTATGTGGCTTATGAGAAACTAGTTCTGTCTCCAGAGTGCTACTATGGTTCTCTTTCCACGATCTCATAAACCATCTGTTCCACTACTCACAGATGAGAGGACAATAGATAGGCTGAAAGAAATACACGGTGTCAGACTGGCTGGTGTGGTTCAGTGGTTAAGCATTGACCCACGCACCAAGAGGTCACCAGTTCGATTCCTGGTCAGGACACATGCCCAGGTTGTGGGCCCAGTCCCTGGTGGGGGGCATGCAGGAAGCAGCCAATCAATTATCTCTCTCATCAATGTTTCTATCTCTCTCCCCCTCTCCCTTCCTCTCTCTAGAATCAATAAAGAAAAAAAAAATATATATATATATGTGTGTGTGTGTGTGTATATATATATGTATATATATATATGGTGTCAAATAAATTTGAAAGACGGTAGATTAACCAGACTTATTTTCCTGAAACTCCCCATCTGTAATCTAATGTGCTATTAAATCTCCAAGACTGCCCTGGCCAGTTTGGCTCAGCGGTTAGAGCGTCGGCCTGCGGTCTGGAGAGACCCGGGTTCGGTTCCCGCTAAGGGCACGTACTTCGGTTGCAGTTTGTCCCCGGCCCTGGTTGGTTGTGCGGGTGGCAGCCACTCGATGTGTCCCTTCACGTCGATGTTTCTCACTCTCTCTCCCTTCCTCTCTCTCCCTCCCACTCTATCTGTACAAAAAATGGAAAAATATCCTCGGGTGAGGATAAAAAAAAAAAAAATCTCCAAGACTTAACACAGTGATTTCCATGTTCATTCAGCAGGAGGGTTATTTATTTTTTAATGAAGAGGAGAGTCTAAATGGTTCTAGAACCTATTTAGGATATACAAAGTTATAGGGACATTTTGGGGCCCAATTAATCAGTTTCTAAAAATCTATTTTAAGGAAATTATCTAAAATATGAAGAATTCTATACTATAAAGTTGTTCATCATAACATTGTTTTTGTGAAAAAATATGGAAATAATGGAAATGCTCTACAATAGAGGGATGGTAGTCTACATAATATTATATAACCAATAAATTAATAGATGTAAATGCTGTGGTAAGATGTAAAAATTATCTTAATTTTAAAAAAGCTGAATAAAAATGTTTTATAGTGACTGTAGCTATATGAAGAACCAAATCCACAGAAAGGACAAAAGAATATACCAAATTGTTGATGGCATTATGAACATTTGGTTTTTCC